TTAAAAATCTATCATAAATCTTATGAAAATTAACAAATATGGGGTAGGTTAATTGTGGTATTTATCGACTATTTGAACGTAACTCTTGAGATGCCCACTTTCTGTTGAACACGTTAAAATCCTACGTGACAAGGGGCGAATCCATTAATACTATAGCCAATAAATATTATTCTAAAGAGACTACAATCTATTTGAATACCAAATGGTATGATAAAGACTTAATAACTTAAGTAGACTAGCAATAAATATAAAATTAGGCACTTCATTATGTAGAATGGTTAATAAATAATATATGGAACGGAAAAAAATACTGAATTTAACGACTAGTTGCGAAGGTTCATTTTAGCTTACATTAAATTATATTGAAATTTTATAATCAAAAGTAACTAAAATTTTTTCTATTCTTTTCTTTCGTTTAGTTATTAATTAAATTATTTGTATTTTAACAGATTTCCTAAACGGAGAGAGTTTTGGATTTTATTTTATCTTAGTTGAACAAATTCCATGTTCTTTTGTTTAGTTACATTAATACAAAATAAAACCTAATTATTGGCACCGTTTTGGGATATTTTTCTATAAATAAAACTATATTTTGCTTAAAGAGTTACGGAAAGAAAAATAAATAATTTTATAATTTCCATACTAACGGGGCGCATCTACGGAGCAACATTTTTGTCGATATTGTTTGAGAATAATATTTAATTTTACTAGAATAGATTAGACGATTTTTTGTAATAAAAAAATAAAAGTTCACTAAAATCATTCAATTCTCATACAACTTATTTGTGTAAATTCAGAGTAAAAATTGTTCTCTATCGAACCAAAAGTCGTTTATAAAAATTCTAAAATAATTTGTTTCGTCTCTCACTATGCTATATATGTATATCCTCTAAATGTTATATTGGGAATATGAAACTGGAGTGAAATTGAAATTGCAGTGACACTAAACTCATTAACATTTATATTATTTTGCAGTAATATAGTATATCGAATTGCAATTTATATATAACTGAAGTATTTACGTGATGGAAATTGATTCGCCTCCTAAATCTGTGTTAACTCTGACAACGTTAGAAATGAATTCATGTAAAGGTGCTAAGGTGAAATTAATTCCATCACAAATCCTTCCCATATATGACCAATAGACGCTTAACTTATGCATCCATTGACAGCTTCACTATCCTACTTATTAGCTAGCTTTACATAGCTTAATGCATCCACTACAGAGTTTTTACTATTAACATACAAATGTACATGTAAAGAAGAAACAAGTTCACTGCAATTTACTTCCCCATGAAGGAACAAGCATGCCATTTGACCACATACGTTGAACTGTTGAACTGTTTCTCTTCTTTGATTGTACAATTAAAAATAAGTCAGCTCTATCGTTTATTTGTTAGTAATCTTCCATGCACATATAAACCAAAGACAAACACACTCTAAATGGTTTAGTAGAAGACATAAAGTCAACCGGAGGGACAGAAAACATGAAAAGCCGGAACAGAGAAAGCACCGAACAGAATACAAGACAAAAAAACACAGACAAACAAACAATGTCTCAGAACACGACATACAGTCGATGTATATGAAACGAAAAACAAAAGGAACTCTTTATGACTGTTTATAATTATATCATATTTTGTAGCTTTGATGAAATTGGCATGCACCGTTAACGCTATGCGAGGTGACAGAAATAGAAATATGGAAGATAACAAGTTGGAAAAGGATGATAAGAGTGTGTTTGTCTTTTTATATGTGCAGGGATGGGATGGTGGCTTGACATCGTCGCGAAGAGATTCGCAAGACAAGATGTTACAACGGTAAGTGGTGTGAGATGACGCCAGTGAGTTTGTCCATTGCGAATCTGGTATTAGGTGTTTGAAGAAATTTATTGCTAAGTAGCACTGGTTAAGAATATTTAATGCCAATTACTAATTCATTAATATTTTGATGGTAATAAAGAGATTGAGTGTATTCCTGATTAAGAAAAGTGTTTATTAGTTTTGCAAGAAATATTAAAAACAAAGAGCATGATTGGTTTTTGTGGACAAACTTGCTGTGCTTATAATTTTTTGTTTTTCTATTTAATTTCTTTTGCTTACGGAAATCATTCTGCTCCTTATTTAAATATGCTCAAAAAAAAATATATACATATATATCGTGCTTAATTGTATTATTGCTAGGATTTAAATTTATTCAACCAATTGCACATCGGTAAGGTTTCATTTCATTTTTTTTTTTTATTGTTATTATTTATGTTAAAAAGATACAGCTATAAGAATATTAAAAATAATAAAACTGTTATGATACACGTTGGTAAAGTTCCGCTACTCTACTGTAAGTTGCCAGGTAAGGTAGTGAAAATTAGATTTAGTCGTGAAACCACCTGTCTAGAATATCTAGATAGATTTTTACAATCTTTCATTAGGTCATCGTTTGTCCAAGTATATGATTATATTGACCTAATAATTTATCATTAAGGACTCGAAACTGCCTTCTGAAAACTTAAAATTTTGGACAGTCGTTTTGATGATAAATGATAAGATTTAATAAGAAATATTTACTAAAATTCTAATGAAACTATCTTACAGCGCAACAATAAGATACACGAATATTTTTAACAATATTTGGACAGCTCTGTCTGTCTACTTATTGATTCTATTGGAATGTCTACAGTACAACGTAACTTTAGTCTCTCGTATCATCTAAATTAAATTGATTCCATAAAATAACTTATCTCACAAAAAAATGTTTGCCCTCTCCCTTCTGTAGTAGAACGATAAATTTGATCTGTGACTGATCTTATTTTATCTGTAAATTTGTATTGAATTTTTCCTGAAGCAATTATACCACCGGCAGCTATAGAATATCAATTTTCTTTATTAATGTTTTTAGGGTAAAATTTTTTTCATATAATTTGAATAACTGTATGAACGTAGACTGTGTATTGATAGTTCTTTGGAAGAAAACACAATAGACATTTTGAATTTAAGTAGTCACGGACTCTGATTGACTCGTCGTAACAACTGGACTGTCTCATTATTGAGCATTTGCCCAGGGATTTCCGCATTTTGTGTCTCAAATGAACCATGAAGAAGACTTGGCTTGTCATAAGGCTCTAGAAGGTTCAGGTGCTTCAAAGATGGGCCCATTGATCGACAACGCTCTGGCACATCATCAGTACATAAGCAGATGTTTCTTCAACTTCCATACATCCTGGGCTTAACGTACAGATGATTATGTTTAAATTAATCAAATTGCTATTCGAGAACAAAGTTCAGTCAGAAACACCTTTTGATTTTCTAATGTCTTTTCTATACGATTTGAATGGGCTACGTAAGAGGTAAATTTCTCCCCATAAAAAAATATTAGCTTGGCCGTGTACTTATCTTGATTTTTAGTTTTTCTTCTATTGCACTATAAACGTTTCACCCAAGTCACTTTTTACGACATAGCTGTCGACATGAAAAAAATGACAGCATGTTGTGATCACCGCGTCACCACATGCAGGTGTTCCATACCACACCGTCTGTTTATTTAAATTTAATCATAAATCGCTTCTTGAACTTCGTCATTGGAATGTGTGTGTTTAACGACGAAAATTTGTATTTATCATTGAAATATCTCTCGATTTTATTTATAAACATGTCTCGGCAACATAATGTTTGCACTCAGTTTTGATATTTCACTCGTCTAGTCAAAAGTTTTGGCGTTCGCTTTAATTTTCTCTCAAGTTTTTTTGGCACCAATTTCTTTTTTAATGGTATTAATCATTTCAGTGATATTTACGATGTATTATTGACTATAAATCTACTGTAATAAATTTGTTACTACTAGTAGGTGTATAAATTCATTAGATTCCGCCGTAAGCCCGCCAAGTCTATCTTGTTTGTTTCTAACTCTGTTTTGACGATCATAGTAGACACGTTGTTTTGGATGAAAGTGGTTCAAGGTTTAATTAATTGTTGAGCTTATTTAACTTTTCTGAATTGGATTAATTATTGGATATTTATTATTATGATGGGCAATGGGGATGTAAATGTTTTACTGTCTTATTTTTCAATCATAATTTTAAAACATTGTTATTAGACTGTACATATTTTATAATGTAGTTAAAAGAAATAAACATTTTGAATCTGACTTCAACTATTTAGCATGGCTAGTAATTGTGAGAGCTATTAGGAATTTTGGAGTCGTATTATTAAATTTCCAACTGAAAATAAACCATCCGCTTATTCACAGTCATAATGTAGACAAACAGTCGCCCGGGGCGGCCATTGCCGAGCGTAATGGTGCTCGCATTACACCAAATTACCACACACCCTTATTACATATTTTCGTCTTTCTGCCTGTGACATTATTCTTTCTGAAATCATCGCTCATCTCATTCAATTTAAACGTTAATTTAGAAATGTTTGCTTTTCATTTCGTCTCTTTTTTGGGTTTCATTCGAAGTGATTTTTATACTGATCTTTTAACTTTTCGGTGCTGACATCTGGTATGAAGTTTCCATATCGCCTTATTTTGTTGGTATTGTTCATGTCTATAGAGAGCTATATAGACATGAACAGTTCCATGTACATCATCATCATCTCAGCTAATATCAGTCCACTGCTGAACATAGGCCTCCCCCATAGACTGTCATAAGGAACAGTCCTAAACTACCTGTATCTACTGACTCCCTGCACATCCTTTTATCGTGCATTACGTATTCATTCAATGGAGATACCATTGCAACTTCTCGAGATTACTGCTGGTATAAGCTCTTCAGTTTTTCTTTTTCTTTTTTTAGTTTTTCAGGAAGTTCTTAATTTTTTCTGTATTTTATATACAATATGTTTGCCAAATCTGAATCGATTTATAACTTTTACATTTGATAGGCTTTACTCTCGTGTCCTATTCTCACTTTTAAAGTCACCGTCATATTTGTGAAGCTAGATTAGAACTTATTAATATTGCCATTATAAAACAATTAAAGTGTAATTTTACGTTGTCCACAGTGTCTGAAGATGTGCCGGTACAAAGAAGCGCTCCGCTGCTGCAATCGCCTCAATACACCGGGGGAAGACCACAGCCTTACAGTAAGTGCTCTCCATACATAATATGTTGAATTAAATCAACTGCTTCATAGGTATTCGTAACTTATTCATACATAAACGAAAATTCAGTATTATCTTTATATAAGATTAAATCATCAGCATTCTTTTACACACCTGTACGGTACCAATGACATTAAATATGTTTCTCAAAGAAACAGCAAAAAGTTTGCTGAAACATGTATTATGTATTGTGTTTCTTTGGAAGAAATATTCATTTTCATTAATACATTTTGTAATTCGAAATTTGCAAACAAGTATTGAATAAATATAAAAAAATGTCTGCACATTTAATCCATATATGTACTCTGTGTATACATAAATATATATATATATATATATATATATATATATATATATATATATATATATATATATATATATATATATATATATATATATATATATATATATATATATATATATATATATATATATATATGTTTATCATTTACCATCTCAAACACCATTCAGTCCAACCATTTTTACCTTCTATAAACTATCAATATCTACGAAACTACTTTCTGAATTGATAGAAAAGGGACAAAAAAATGACGCATCACAAGAGGGTTTTGTTACGGACTTACAAAAATAAATATATTTTGATGTTATCTAAAAGTTTACTGTCAAAAATTTTGCTAATTTGATTTCCTTACAAAGGGGCCACTTCAGAAGTTCCCCCGCTTCCACATAGAACTGTTCAGTATCAAGACATTCGAGAATTCTCTACAAACTTTTACCTTAATGTTCACGTTTATAGAGTGAGGAAGTTTCGCGTCGGACGTATTGGGGTGCTGCGGACTTTAATAAAGATAAAATGTAATTTTCGAAGACAGGTTGATTACAGTTATTGTTCGGAAATCTAAGAATACATCGCTAATCATGGAATCCTTATCATTTATTCAGCTCTGTCGTTCCAATTCAATTGATTTACAAATATCTATACTTGCTTGTTACTTGGCTTGTCCTTTTTTTAATCGATTGATTTATTTAAATTAATTGATTAAAACTATTTTGTTTAATTCCGCTCCATTAGTATGTCCCATATCTGTCTATCTGTCATTGTTTTCAGAATCTCTAAAATCTTCCATATTAGTCATCAATCTCCGACCGTCATTCAGTCCACGCATGTTTTGCGATTATTATTATTATTTTATAATAGTGACCAGTGAAAAAACTTGTCAATTAGAACGCAAAATGACACCAGAGCTTATAAAGTACTTCCTAACGAATTGTCATATTCATAATGTTTATTCACATTATCTAAACTTGCTAGTTTAATATATGTACATTATAATATTTTTGTCGCATGAAGTAAAACAACGTATTGAAAGAATTTCCACAATCAAACCACAAAGCATTAGCACCAGACCATCAATATCTATCAATAAATACTGAGCAGTTTCCCATTCTGTCAGAGTGCATCGGGACACAACTAAATCCCTTGAAACTCGGCGAACTTGAAAAGTCCGTAACTCGAAAAGCTCGGAACTCGGATTTGGGCGGCCATAAGGCGGTTTTAAAGCGGACTTCGCTTCTAAATATCTGTAAATTCAAATGGCAGCGCCTGGAAGTTTCAGCTATTTGGTTGTCTGCTTTTATTTTGCATGCAGTAATAGTATGAAATATACTGTTTTGTTAGTCTTCACATTGTATTTGAATAGGAGATTTGGTAACATTCATGAGAAAAAATTTCTAGTTTATCACTATGCTGGCCAGGTGGTTTGGTATATTCTAATTCCTCTCTACTGATAACTGTTTTATATTTCATAATAGAAATCTGCTTTGCTATTTTTCCGGGTTGTTCTCTAGTTAGTCTGAAAAACAAAAGTAAAAAATCCAAAATTAAATTTAACAAACAAATCTCAGATTGTCACCATTTAGGAACACTTTAAAGAAAATTTTTCAATTTTATTCAAATTGAGACCAAATGGCTCATTCACACAAGACTAGGCGAGGAATAGCATCTTTTATGCATGCAATTTTCGCCCTAGCTGAAAACGTATGCATCTATCTTGGAATTTGAGAGATGATGCAGTCACTTATACCTTATTATCACAGCCGTCTGCTCTCAGGTATATTAGTTACTATTTGAATACTGATTTTAATAGCTTGTATTGTTGTTTGTTTCTTTATTTAAAAAGAAAACATTACATTCCTGTTATCTCGTGCTAAAATAAATAGTTTGTTATTCAGAAGTTGTCATGTTTCTTTTATATTTGGATTCTTTATTAATTTTTTTCTGGTAAATTTATGTACATGCTCCTTCTTTATAGATATTCTCTAGTTGTTAATTTACTGTATAAATTTTTTACATCTTGTATTATTATGATTTATTCTTAATTGATACATATTTTGGCCGACCTTTAAAATATAAACCCAACTAAATATATATATATATATATATATATATATATATATATTGATTCTATAAGTAGTTCCTTACGGCCAATACATTTTGTCGACCGTTATTATTAATTGTTAATTAATATAAATTAATATATTAATATACTTTTAATATTCTAAAATACACTAGCAGACCAATCAACCGTTTTCCTCTCAACTGCCACCTACCGGATTAATTTCTTTTTCTTATTGAGATAAAAAATATTCTATCTCTCTCAAGTTGGAGCAAACTGTACACATTAACAATAATTCATTAAAATCAGTTGAATTGTTTCGCAAATTTGCGCAAATGAACATCCCGTGCATCACGGGATTTCTATAAATCAAGATAGAGAATAGCAATTATATATTGTTTTCAAATGTTTTTACGTAAACAGCTTGAATTTACGTGAACAATTGAGTAAATAACTGAAGTAGCAATCTGTGGTTTAAGGTTTAGTATGTAGTATTTGTACTGGTTACTTGTCTCGCAGAACAAAGTGTGACTTTGTAAAGACCTTATTGTATCATTGAGAGAATGAAAACTTTATGTTCTAGATAATAAAACGCATAATTAAAAATACTTTAACAAGAGCATAGTCCTTTAACAGAGAATAAAGCGTTGGCTGTACAAACAGTGTTGACATTACACAAAATATCACCTCGCTATCGTTTGATAGCGAAACCTCTTAATGTACTGCAAAAATAGAGCGTAGCATAATAAATAAGTGTTCTGAAAAGGTGCATACAAAGTAGGTCGCGCTCTTTCAACGATGTGGTGGAAGGTAGAACGTTCGTTGAATACAACCGTCCGATACGCGTGCCGTTGAAAGACAGTGTTGCTAGATGCGGTTTGTGATTTCTACCCAAAATTTACATTTTTTTTTTCAAATATTATACAATTTTACTCGGTTTACTACCCATTGTGTAAGAATTTGTGAATGATGAAAAAAGGGCTGTTTCCTACGTTGACATTTTCATCTTCTGTTACTTTCATACCTTCATTATATTATACTGTTGTTTTATTTATTTTATTCAGCATATTCACAAATTGCTACCAAAACAAAATGCACAATTTATAAATTCTTACGGATTCTACTACTGCAACCGTATCACTCTTCATGGTTTCTTTCTGCTGGTAGTTCCATACTAAACTTATTTGTGTTTAGGTATTTCATTTCTTAAACCACAAATGTTATCTTCTTTCAAGTCCTCAACGTTGGGTGTCTTTTCTAAATCGACGTATACCTGCACGCCGATTCTGGAGACTTGATTTCTCTTTTAAATAGAATATGATGTATTTAACCTTCATAATCTAGATTTTATGTTTAGCAGTGGACAAAAAATTACTGAGATCCATGATATGTTATGTAAGATCTTATGTAAGAGACAGGGTTCCCCGTCTTTTATAAATCATCAATCATTCAACACGAAAGTCTCAAAGTTGATTTCTTTTGACACCTGCATTCCAATTACATTAGAATTATATATATATATATATATATATATATATATATATATATATATATACATCTTAGAATGGCAAATAAGCTGACGGTCCACCTGATGGAAAGTGGTAACCGTCGCCTATAGACATGAGCAGTACCATGGACATAACGGAGTATACTGTTTCCCCCATGATACCTCCCATGCGTTGCCATTCCTGAGGACTCAGGTGTTATTCCTCTGTACTCAGTAAATTCACGCCATATCCCACCCTTCAAACCGAAACACAGATATGCAAACACAACTGCTATACTGTTGAAACACAAATGGGACAGAGGTACCCAAGCAATCGACTTTTGTACAAAGTCTCCCTCTGGTTTTATTTGTTTCATCAACCTTTCTTCCGACATTTTTTTGGTTGATTTAATTGTAAAAAAAAACTTTATTACATCAAATATAATTCCAGACGTTAGTACGGTATGCAAAATTGTTCTCATTAAGGCCGGATCGTAAAGACTAAGCCCTGTTTCATATTCCTCTCACATTTGTCAAAAAGTCTACCAGGAAGCATAATAAAAAGAGTACTGTTAATAATTTAATTAATTTAACTGTGAGAAAATATTTCGAAATGGCTTAATATAATGATGTACATTTATAAGTTTTCCGGCAGATAAAAGATTTTCATTTGAAAAATTTATAGTTTATATATATATATATATATATATATATATATATATATATATATATATATATATATATATATATATATATATAATTCTTTTTCTATATATTTTTGGCGTATTTTGTACTACGTTTCTTTAGGATAAATGTTCGATTTCAATGAAACAGGCTAGTCAGAGGCATCTAATCTTACTAATATTGTGAATATAATAATCGTTTGTAAATAAATGCCAAAAAAACGAGAGGCAAGTTCAAAACGATTCTACAGTACAGTTCAGAATACTATATTTATCATACTATACTGTGATTTAAAAAAAAAAATTCAAAAAGGAAAAGTCCATAAAAATTTAAAGCGCTTCATTCGGACAGGTGTGCGCCGGCCGACCGTTACGGTACGCGATGAATACCTTTTATTATTTTCATTTACAGCGGCAGCAAAGTATGGCGTCCGTGTATATACATACATACGCTAAAATAACAGAACACAACCGTTATATTACATTATAGAGGGTAATCGTACGTTTTATTGCGTTCCATTTTCGAAATGGTTATTTGAAAAATTATATTGACTTTTTCTAACTTTTATAGCAACTCATTTATAAGTGGCACTTTCAAAGTTCTCGAATGTGTCCAGCCGTATAATAATAGGGTCACTCGAGAAAAGTCATTGGCACTTTTTTTTTAAAGTGAAATTTTTATTCACCATTACAGCAATGTTATTTTCATCTGTTATTTTGGAAGCCAATACAAAATAAAGTCGTATCTATGTGGTTTTTGGTGGTATTTGGAGGCCTGTAGCAGTTACACTGATATTAAAAAAAAATACTTTAAAGATTAGTTCAGAATTGAGGAAAAAGAATATATTGAAAGTTTGAAAAATACAGAAATAGTGGTCCATTTTGTTCCATTTAATGAAATATGAACAAAGAATAACGTAGTTACCAGCGGAACTATTGATACATAGTGTTCAAATAACGCTATTTTTTACGTCAAATGTACAGCCTTCAAGCAATTAAACGGGGTTGGTGTATGCTTTTAAACAATTAGCCGGCCTGTTTGCACGTAAAATATTTACCTTAGCGGTCGTAATGCATTTTGTGTAAAGCTGTGCCCTACACGTAATGTCATGTATTTTTAGCAACATATGTCAAGTAAATTGTGTTCACAGACGCACTGAGTATTTTCTAGATATTTTCGAAAGATAGACATTTGAATGTAATAAAAGCACTATATTAGTTTAAACCATGTGCTAAATAAATACATTTTACTAACCCGTTTTGGCAAGAACTGGTATACCCAAAGTTTACATTAAATTCTATTAAAAATGCCGATATAGTTACCAGTGAAATTACTATATTAAAATTGGGTAAATACAATTTCGATCTTATAATTACACGATTGAGGAAGAAACAATTGGCAAATTTATGGGCAAAGTGGAACAAGATGCGTAATTCTAATGAGTCATATTGTCTGTACATAGAGCACTTCAGTACAGGATTACATGAAAAACACCAACCAGAATTATTAACATAACATATATGAATATAAACGATGGACACTTTTACAACGGTATTAATAAATTATACTAAATACTGTATAGCAAACCAAAATATTATAAATTCTATACAATGTGAATTGAAAATTGAAGCGAACACCAAAGTTTGCGGGGATTATAATGTGATTTTTATTTGCAAAAACCCTTTGGATTGATCGGATGTAATCTCCAGATCCCAGCAGCTCATCGACCCAAGCCACCACAAGAACTTGCAGCGACGACACATGCAGTCAGCACAGCCAGCATTCGTGCGATCACTCCCAAAATGGTGGGTAACCTTCCCCCGGATGAATTGTGTTGAAATACTAATGTTTTAACTATTACCAAGAATGCATTAGAAATTTGTGTACTTAGATGATATTGTACATCCCATTTTTCCTATATGTACATATGTAATGCTGGTAGCAGTTTAATTGCTGTATATTTTACTTACTTAGGGATATAAAAAATAGACTTCTCTTTTAATGTAATTCTTTTAAAATTATTTTTTCTTACACAGGGTTTTTAATAAAGTGGATTTAAGAGTTGGATATGTCTCATTATTAAATAGTCATACATACTATCAGAGATTAGGGATTCTGGGATGTACTGAATTGATAGCATGGTGATTAATTTTAGTTGACTTGTGTGTACTAATATAGTTTGTAATGTTTTAGTACAATTTGACTGAATAACAGTATGTATTCATAATACTGAACATGACAGTACAATGGAAACTCTTTATTTTGTATAGTACAATTATATTCTGAAGTCCTAGGATACACACAACTATATTTGTATTGTATTTTATGAATATATAAATATGTAGCTATTTAAACTTTACTGATATTATTATATGTAAGTATATCGTTGTTTCAATCCGTTTGATCATATACCTACTGACACATTTAAAATAATTCTAAATTCAAACACTATATTAAATGAAACACAATGAAACCAGAACACTGTTTACAAGTGGATTGAAATAAGACATACATATACATACAGTCATTACGTTACCGTCAATATTGTATGTCACGTATTCTGTACAATAAACAATTGAAGCGAACACGGGACTTTGATTTTAATGATACCTACCCAATTGAATCCTTGCATGCTCTATGTAATGCCAACTCGTCATCAATCAATCAAACTGTGTCTAATTACGTACTGATAAGGGATCATTAAATTTATGATTTCGATTACAACAAGCACGCAATGTTTTGTCATTTGTGATGGTTTGAAAGACCTTGCTACAGAATTATCTATATTGGTATTTATATGTCACCTATATTTTTGTTAGTAAGCATTTTGATTGCATGTAGTGTATCAATTTGGAAAGTGAGATACGGTTGTGAAATTACTGGGTACAGTGACTCCAAATATTTCTGTCATGAAGGTTAGCAACGCACAAATTCTGACTGGTACTTGAGCTACGGTGGTTGCTTATCGTAAACCGGGATGAATGCTCGATAGATAGATTTATTTTTATATATATATAAATTATAATTATATTATAATTTGATTTTTTATACAACATAATTTAAATTTTAAATTAGATGCTAATGCTAATTTTGAAAGGTTCTTCATTTGGCTGTCGTAAGAGGCAGCAATAGTACATTACTGCAGCGGCCAGCAACTGAGGCATTGATGGACGAACGTACAAATGTGGGCCGAGGTGCAGCCGAGGCACACATACGTGAGTCCATCAATACCTAGTTGTGGCCAAGGCTTGTATAGTACTTTTCTCAAACAATGCGCGGAAATCAAAAACACAATTTTACTTTTTAAGTTCAATGACGAATAACAAACAATAATAATTTTTCACGCGCCATAATGTTCCTTTGTTTTTTTTTTTAATAAACAGCTTTCTATTTGCAAGCCAGTTCGAAATTTAAATAAAACCTTTTATTAGTTACTTCCTTGGTAGCCATGTTTCGAAGTAAAAGGTCATTCCATTTTTAAATTACAGGACAGTTATGAGTTTACATAGTAATTTATCTGGCCGCAAAACACGACAGATATGGTATTTCATACAAATTTTGCCGGCCGCTGCCCGAATGTATCTGGCCAGTACGGCAATTTTGATTTATCTCTAAGAAGATTGTCAAAATAATGCTTACATTTCTAAGCATGTTTGAGAACAGGGAATTTAAAGATCGAGGGGTGAGCAGCAGCTATTCTCTTAAAACATTACTAAAGCTTAACTGCAGTCGCCAGCCGTCCTGCCAAGCGTGGCGACTACTGGCAAAACTAGAGGGAGGGAGGCTTGTATTCTGCAGTGGTCAGTAAACGGCTGATGCGATGATTGTAGGTAGAGAATCATTTTGTGTGTTCTCTTATTTTAGTATATTAATGCTCTTTATAGAAGTTTAATTTGACTCAGTTTGATTTGAAATCGATGAAACGTTGTTACATTATAAAACATTTGGATAAGGCACGTATCTGTCTGAATATTTATAGACAAAACTAATTTAGAAGTAACACTCTGCTACAAATATTACTATATTTGGTATAAAAAAAAAGTGTTTGTTTAGAATAATAGTTTATGGTATATATACCTACCTATTCAGCATATGTTGAATTGTGTTTTTTCTCACCTGCTCCTTTATCTGGATGACCTTTATATTGTGATATTATTAATCTTATTAATTAAGCCCTTATAATATTTTAAGAATATATTTTATTTTTCTTGCCACGTTTGGTAAACAATCGTGGCATGTTTAATAGCTAAGTTATAACGATTACAATAATATGTATACATATATGTATAGATTTAAATTATTCTACGTATATTGTAATTTTTGATTAATTTTTAATGAAAACCCTTTCATTAGTTTTGTTATATCTATGTTGAATTCATCGGCGATTTTAATTATTTTTTTTATACAACTTAGAATGCCAAACAAGCTGACGGCCCACCTGAAGGAAAGTGGTAACCGTCGTCTATAGACATGAGCAATACCATGGACATAACAGAGTATACTGTTCCGCCCATGACACCCCCCATGCGTTGCCATTCCTGAGGACTCAGGTGTTATTCCTCTGTACCCAGTAAATTCACGCCATATCCCGCCCCTCACAACCGAAACACAGCCATGCAAACACAACTGCTTCACGGTAGAAACACGAATGAGACAGAGGTACCCAAGCAATCGACTTTTGTACAAAGTCTCCCTCTGGTAAAATATATTAATACGTTTATATAATCAATTGAAAGTATATTATTATTAAATATAATTAACTTAGAGTTTGTTTCAATAGAACTTAATCTAAATGTAAACAAACGAATAATTGAAACGACCATAAGACATTCTGCTGATGTTCAAGTCTCTTTTCTCTTTTCATTTAAGAGTTTCCTGGATTCGTTGTGGATGCAACTAATTCATGCATCTTCTTCCAGCCAGTTCTATCCCAGGCTATATCTTTGACCTCCCTATACGACATGACACCTAGTGTTTTCTTTATATGTCCCATGTAGTTATTTCTCGGTCTTCCTCTTCCTCTTTTGCCCTCAATTTTTCTTCTAGAATGCTTTTTAGAAAATTGTCATGTCGTATGAAGTAGCCCAGCATTTTGTCTCTTTTATTTTCTACTTTTTATATTATATATGCGCCAGGGTGACAGGCATGTATGTATGTATGTATGTATGCATATATATACAACAACAACATATATATTCAACAATATGAATAAAAAATTGATTAAATGCTTGAATGTTTCGATTTGTTACTAATTTCATTTAGAGAATGTTTCTGTGAAAATTCCTACAAAATTTAATTATATTTTTATTAAGTTCTAGTGAAATAGACTATACCGACGTACACAAGTGTTTATATGTAAAAATAGTATCTTTACTATAATTTTAAAAATCCTTTAAAAACAAAAAAAATATATTAGATTTAAAACAGTTTTTATATAAACAACAGTAGTAGTATATATGACGGGTATGTGTATAATATATATATATATATATACAAGTATTTGACCTTGTTTTCGGAAATTTTAAGTACGTAATGTATAGTAATAGGCTCCAAATAATGAAAAGTAACCTATAGACTTGATCAGCATCAGAAGTATAACAGTATACACGTTGACGACCATGGTATTCCTCGTGCGTTGCTATACTTGAGGATTAAGGTGATGACTCCGTACCGTGTAATATCACTGCCATATCCCACCCATCAAACTGAAACACAGCCATGCGAACACAACTGAGTTAATAGAGAGAGAGACGATTGATTGAGTAAGGCAAAATGGAGCCACTCGTGGAAATAACATATTTCTCTAAAGATTACTAAAAAAGGTGATGCTTCTTAATTACAGATATGGACTACGGCAGCGGCGGGCCACCGCCCCCCGGGATGATGAAGGACAGGCACGGACCGCCCCCGCCACATCACCCGGTAATTATTTTATTTGTTTACTACTAATTACGTATTCAAGGGAAACTTCTTTCTCTCTTCCAAACGCTTTTCCCGCCTAAATTAAAATTAAAATGTACCTGCTGTATGTATTAATTCAAGATATTATTCGTAACTGTACCGGTTGCTTTAAATCTGTTCAGTTGTTTAAACGCGATTGAATAATAAACATGTAAACGTAACTGGTTGTTTACTTAGAATTATTTTGTTTAATTCCGCTACCATTAGTATGCGTCTGACTGCCAACACACGAAGATTGACCGCCACTACTACTACAATCTTCGTGTGTTGGCAGTCAGACGCATACTAACGGTAGCGGAATTAAACAAAATAATTCTAATCAAATATAACCAGGTGGTCTACCATGAAATGAAATTGCGAATTTTCGGGCTCAATTTCGTGTTTTTGTTCGTACCGAAATCGACCCAGTAAATGGAGCTTAACATTTCGTTCATCATAAATCTTATCCTAATAGTCCAGAGGAACGATATTTTAACATCTTTAAATAATTTTAAACGGCATGTATTATGTAATTTTAACATCAAATTTCTGTTTCGTTCGTGCCCGAAATTTCGAAAATCATTTCATGGTAGGCCTACAGTGATATACGGACTCTTTCGCAAGATAACGCCCAGTTATGTAAACGTACATTAATAAGCAACCCAAAAATCGACAAGTTAACTGTAGGACTACAAAACCCCTCTTTTCGGAGGAGATCTATTGTCGGCAGTGGACAGTTTATTGCTGATATGATGATCTAACTCTTTGAATCGAAACGTAGCCAGAGATGAAATGCAGGGAGCTTGTACAAAGTCTCCTAGTGAAGTACTAGCTGATAATTATAATATTAATGCTTGGTCACAGCGCGACGGGCGTGGCTACGGGCCCGAAGGTTACGGTGGCGAGGGGTTCGTGCCGCCGCCGCCTATGCACCATCCCCCCATGCCGACACAGAATCAAGTAAGGAAAATAATAACACGACATGAACAGCACCTTCAATTATGGGTATCGCAGTATACACTGTGACTTACATATTCGTATTCTTAATTTAGTAAAAGATCTCCCTCTGACACAATCTGGATTTTTTTATTTAATGATCATGATGGAATCATCTCCCCTTCGCTATCAGTATACACTGGCGAGGCACCAGTCAAGGATGACAAATAAAGACGAAGCGAGCCAGTTAGCCCATCGTGACAAATTCGCCAACAATGGTCGCAATCTGGGTTTATGTCACGTGGTATTAAATAGGCTGTATTCGTATGTTGTACCAAGGATCTAAATATACATATACATGTCTGAAAAATATTTACCCTTACCTCCCCGTGCAATCGGGTTTATAATGTATGCCGTTTTCACCCAGGGTGGTCCGCCACAACAAGGCGCAGTGATGATGGTTTACGGACTGGACCCACAAACGGCCAACGCCGACCGGCTCTTCAACCTGTGCTGCCTCTATGGAAACGTCGTTAGAGTGAGTGCCCTCATGTTACTGTATGTTTAATTGACCCCAAAAAAAGGGATTAGCTACTAACTTATCATAGGAAAGATTGTTGGACAAATTGGCGTGAAGGTACTACTACTAGCGTTTTAGTCAGATGCTGTTGCCTTTTTTTGTTTATACAACTTAGAATGGCAAACAAGCTGACGGCCCACCTGCTGGAAAGTGGTAACCGTCGCCTATAGACACGAGCAGTACCATGGACATAACAGAGTATACTGTTTCGCCCATGATACCCCCATGCGTTGCCATTCCTGAGGACTCAGGTGTTATTCCTCTGTACCCTGTAAATTCGCGCCATATCCCACCCTTCAAACCGAAAAACAGCCATACAAATACAACTGCTTCACGGTAGAAACACGAATGAGACAGAGGTACCCAAGCAATCGACATTTGTACAAAGTCACCCTCTGATGACAAAAACATTAATTAAAATTAAAAAATCTTATATTGATTTACTTTACAATTCGCCTTTACATTTAGATGTTTGTATATTAAAAATGTGTCATTTCTAAATTGCCAAAATAAAATTTTTAATTTTGAAAATGGAATGGTAATCCTGCGCTATTGGATTATGGTGGTTAGGTTTTTTTATGGGTGATAATGGTATGGTAACCCCGTCTGTGCTATCGGTATACACTAGCGGGGCACCAGTGATAGATGACTGATGAGGATGAAAGCAAATCAGTTAGTCCATCCTGACGAATTCAACTAGAATAAGCCACGATGGTTTCCAGGGGGAACTACGCGGCGGTATATTGCTGGTAATGGGGCTATTTGACCCCATTACTAACAATCCCTTTCCCCCCATGGTGGTTAGGTTAATACCTAACCTCCTCCTAGAATGAAATAAATAGAAAGATGAAATAAATAGAAGGATGAAATAAATAGAAGGATGAAATAAAAATAGTTGACCCATCAAAACTAGTTGTCCAGAAATTTACCATGATGGTTTCCAAAGGAACTTCGCGGATAGAAGATGACTGGTTAGTGTATTTCTAAAAGTAAGTTCCCTATCACCAGCTAGTACTGGCTTTTCCTTTACCCCTTATCTGTTGGCGGTTATTGTTGGTTTTGTAAAAATGTATCCATTTAATATCGTTACCTTGCAGATAAAGTTCCTGAAGACAAAAGAGGGTACGGCGATGGTCCAGATGGGTGACGGTTTGTCAGTGGAGCGCTGCGTCCAGAACCTGAACAACGTCACTGTCGGCGACTACACACTCACACTCGCGTGAGTCATTCAAGAATTTTTAAAAACGGTCCATTAGTTTTTGGGCCTACTCATTACAACCAAACAAACAAAGTTTTCCTCTTTATAATATTAGTGTATATATGTAATATACTGTCCATGGATACGGGTGGTATTTTTTTTTAATAATAAATTATTAAGGTAAAAGAACATACAATGGTCCCGACCATTTCACCCGTCTTGAATGTTTTTAAAAATTTTCAAAAAATCATTGATTCTATTTGAGATATTTATGGACACAGTTGTCGGAGATCGCCTTCTTCAGTCCAACACGGATGGACTTAATCAATGTTGACAGTTTAGCATTGAATTTATAGATCTGGCGACATTTTATTTTGATTTTTTTTTTGATGGGTGAAAATGGTATGGTAACCCCGCCTGCGCTAACGGGAGATACGCTGGCGGAGCACCAGTGAAGGGTGATAGATGAGAATGAAAACAGGCCAAGTTAGCCCATCATGAGGAGTTCATCAGGAATTAACCATGATAGTTTCCAGGGGGAACCGCGAGGACGACGATCTGATTGGGTATATTGCTAGCAATGGGATTCTCAGTCTCCATTACTAACAACCCTTTCGCCCCATTTTATTTTAATTAAATTTTCGATTATTCTTCTCGTTTTAATAAGCAAAATTTTTAAATTAGTCCTGATAAAAAAAGGATCGGAAGGAGAGATCTCTTTTAGAGATAACTTCATGTTTGTTTACGTTATTACTAATCGTTATTATTACTGTATGTTTTAGTGCAATAAAGAATATAATAATAAATTTAGGCGGATATATGAATTTGCGAATGAGGCCAATAGCTAATCGGTAGCCCCGACTTATATTAAACACGCATTTAAAACTACATGAAGGTGCTTCTAGTTGAATGAAATTGTAAAATTCTCTCAAGGAACTTAGTTACCAATGAAACTTTTGAAAATTTTTCTCAAAAAATAAAAGACGAGTCGAAAACGATGAAACTTTCTTAGCCTTGCCTAAAAGAAATGTTCAGTTTTACTGCTGAAATATTTTATCGTCATCAGCTTTTAAATGTCCACTTCTGAACATAAGCCTCCCCCTTGGGTAGGTTTGCCAGTGGTTGCCACGCTTGGCAGGCGGATTGGTAACCGCAGTTAGGCTTTTGGGCGAGACTACACGGCTGAAACACTTAGATTTATTTCTCTACTATTTAGAGTACATCACTGCATAATGAGACAACATGGTTCCAGGTTTTCGAAACAAGCATACCTGTCCGAGGTGATGAACCCGTACCCGCTTCCCGACAAGAGTCCGTCGTTCAAGGACTACGTGGGCAATAAGAACAACCGGTTCCTCACGCCGGCGTCCATCCACAAGAACAGAATACAGCCGCCGTCCAAGGTAAGCGGTGGAGTTGGGGTAGTGCAACTACCGGACCTGGGGAGAGGGGGGTGGGGGTGGGGGGGAAGTGATTGTTAGTGATGGAGGTTAGTAGCCCGATTACTAACAATACACTCTGTCAGGTCGACTTCCTCTCAGTTGCCCCTGGAAATCATCGTGCTCGGTTCCAAGTGAATTCATCACGATGGGCAAATTAACTTGTCTTTTTATCCTCACCTGTCATCACTCACTGGTGCCCCGCCAGTGTATACCGTTAGCGCAAACGGGGTTGCCATTCCATTATCATCCATTAAAAAAACTACCGGATCAGATTTTTTCTAATAGATGATGTGAAATGATAACTTTGTTTGCGATATTGGTATACGTTGGCGGCATACTAGCGAGGGATGATGTGAGGATGAAGTGAATGAAAACCGTCATGGTTGAATTCACTAGGAAATAAGTCGCGATGGTTTCCAATGGGCACCGACTGTCAACCTTTTATTTTATACAACTTAGAATGGCAAACAAGCTGACTGTCCACCTGATTGAAAGTGGTAACCGTCGCCTACAGACATGAGCAGTACCATGGACATAATAGAGTATACTGTTTCGCCCATAATACCCCCCATGCGTTGCCATTCCTGAGGACTCAGGTGTTATTCCTCTGTACCCAGTAAAGTCACGCCTTATCCCACCCATCAAACCGAAACATAGCCATGCAAACACAACTGCTTCACGGTTGAAACACGAATGGGACAGAGATACCCAAACAATCGACTTTTGTACAAAGTCTAAAGTATAGGACTATTATGGAGTATAGAACTATCATGGAGTTGCTAGTCCCCATTATTAAAAATCTAAATAAAGACCTGCTTTATACATACTTTTGTTTGGATACTTCGAATTAATTATAACCATTTAATAGCTGAAATACATATCAAATAGTTCATACTTTTTCACAATTTTTTTTAACCTGCTCACATCTCTTTAGAACATCTCGATATCTTCTAATTTTCTTTGAGCCCAAACTTTTAAACCCCTCCAGCGTCCACAAGTGGGCTTTACCACAATCTGTCGAAAAGACCGCCCTATCTATTGGCTTGTGCTTTCCAGGTGCTGCACTTCTTCAACACGCCCCCGGACGTGTCTGACGAGCAGCTCCTGCAGGTGTTCAAGGACTACGGCGTTACGCCGCCCCACACCATCTCCAAGTTCCCTCTCAAGAGTGAGAGGTAAGTATATGTTTAGCTCGCCATTGAAAGTACTGTCACTAATCTAGTTTTAAATGGACCGTTCGAATGATAGTTTTTTCTAAATTGGCTCGAATCGGGTCTGGGTATCTCCTGGATTGCTTTCGTTTCCTACAACGGTCGTTGTCTGCTTTCCCCATACAAATGCATTCATTTTAATAATAATTAAATTGATACCTTGAGATGTAAATAAGTTCAGTATTAATTTATAGCATTTGTTACAATGGAGTGACGTTAGATTCGTCTCAGTTGTAGGAACACCAAAGGCTAATAATATCAGAAAGTATAGATTTACTTTAACAACTCTTTATTCTTTATTGTACACAAAAGGTTATTAAAATGTAAAAACAAACATAATAGTGCACAAAGGCGAGCCTATCTCCAATAGAGATTACTTCCAGCAAACCCAATATGAGAAAACTGACAGTTCATTAGTAGTTACAGTCATACATGTGTACCAATCGACTTAAATGTTATAGTTAAAAATAAATAAATAAATAAAAATATATATATATAAGTAAATACATATAAATAGATAGATATATATTATATATAATATACAAATATAATAAGTACGTACATCAGCATTGTGAGAGGTAATAACTCTTCAGACGTGATTTGAATGTAATGTAATGTTAGGCATGGATAGTTCATATATCCAATACATACTGTGTATTGTTTTTTATCTTCAGAATGTATGACTATACTGTATGTATGATATATACTAAGAGAACAAAGCCTTCCTTTAAAGAAAATCCAAGAATTTACATTTTTTATTCCATTTTTCTATGAATTAAACTAAATATGGCGGCCATAAACATTACTTTAATTTTTTTTTTAATATATTTTGGACCCAATTATTGTACAGTATACAAATTTTTAAAAAAAAAATACAATCATCATCGGGAAAATAAAAAAAAAAAACTTATACCAGTTATTCATTTCCGATACTTCAGGTCATCGTCCGGTCTAATGGAGTTCCAGAATATATCGCAGTCCGTGATGGCGATCATGGCGTGCAACCACGCCACCATACAACACCCTGGTGCGTATTCTTTTCACAACCGATTTTAAATAAGAGGACGTTTATAAATGCGCCGCATTATGTAATTTTGACCTAGTAAACGTTCTGACGACCCACCTAATGAAAAGTAGTGACAGTCACCCGTAGACTTGTCTGGCACCATGGACATTTCACATAAAGCCATTTGATACTTATGGTGCTCCTCGTGTCTTCGAATTTCCATTATTAAATACTAATAAATTGTGTGAAATAGTATTTATTGCCATGTCTCACATATTGAAGGACAATTGTAGACAACTTGCAGGCTATTTCGTACAAAGTCTTCCTCTCTCTCTCTCTCTGATTATTTTTGTAATCCAAATAGTTTCTCCAATATTGGCCCATTTAGTAAAAGTGATTTTTTTTCAAAATTGGCTCGTTTAGTAAATAATTTTCTCTTTCTTAACATCAAACCTTTTTTTTTAGTAAAATTTTAAATTATTTTCATACCCTATATCAAGAAAGAGAAAACAAACATATTTTCTTCTTTTTCTTATGATTTTGATCCAGGTTCTTTTTTCAGAAAACCTTCGAATAAGTAAAAAAAATCTGTAATAATCATTACTATAACAATGAGTTAATGAACACGTCAAAACGTTTCCAGGTGCGAAATTCCCATTCGTAATGAAGCTGTGCTTCTCGTCGTCGCGGCAGATCGGGCAGGCCAAGGGCCCGCAGAAGAGCTACGACCAGAATAAGCAGGAGAGCGGCCAACGGCAGCCGCAGAACAACGGCATGGCCGAACACGAGTACTAGTAAGATATCGACCCTATACTATAGTTGATAACGTGCAAATTCGAACACGAACAAGTGGTTATAAAAAAGACATGTAAATTGTGTTTTAGGCACGACGGACCAATGTTATGTCGGTTACGGCAGTGCTGCCAACCGCGAAAGTGGAATTCTCTGAATGTTACCAGCTCGAAAAATATTGTTGAACATAGTAGATTTTATTTATAGTTGTCCAATTTTCTTTTTTTTTTTTTATTAGTCGAATTTGTAAATGTTTTCCAGCACAATATAATATAATAGCGACAATTATAATATACTAGTATTAATTTTACTATATTAAGCGGGAGTTTCGGCCTAAATTCTAATTCTGTTACACGATAATTATGTTGTTTATCGTATAGATTGTATATTTTATAATTTGTCTATTGAAAACTGCAGCTTTTACACAATTTATCTCAAATAGACTTATTCTCTAGTCAAAATTACATAGCATAGGGTATACGCCAACATTTTCTTAATAAGTATTCCAAAAAAAAAATACAACAACACAATATAGACTTTATTATAAAATACAAAGAATATTTTTCACCTCTTTGACAGGTGACATCATATCACACGATTGTTTTGACCAGTGTCTAAGAGCAAGGAATTACACAGAAGGAATGATAAAATAAAAACTGTAAATCATATAGTTCCCTCCTCTCTTCTTATGCAAGTATAATTAGTAAAAAGAAGACGAAAGATACACCATCAGTTGCTATTTTTGTCAATTCATAGCAGGCTAGTGTATTGAAAATGTTATACGGCCGTATAACCCTACCAAATTCAGATACAATCTGCTTGCATACTTTCTACATAAACTGTGTCCAATATATAATCTAGTAATGTAAAATTTGTCATTGACAAATAATTGACATATCAAACGTTTTCTTTACACTAGCCTGCTATGAATTGGGAAAAATAGCAACTGATGGTGTATCTTTCGTCCTCTTTTTATTAATTATATTTGCATAAGAAGAAAGGAGGCACCCATATGATTTACAGTTTTTATTTTATCATTCCTTCTATGTAATTCCTTGTTCTTAGATCATATCAGACGATTGTTTCGATCAGTGAGTGAACAGTGTTGCCTAATATCGATTTATCATTTGATCGATTACAAATTAATATTTATAAAATATATAGTATCTAGTAAATTGGATGCTTTAATTTTACAAGTTTTTGCTGCAACGAAAAATGAAAATGGGCGTATATTCTATAGCATAATTTTATATTTACGCGACAAATTTCGACTGAACTTTACTCTTGACAATTTTATGAATTTTAAACAGATGTTGTATGAATTTGACATTTTAAAGTTTTATAGTAGGGACCATAGATGTAACAATGTAAACATGTATATATTTGCTTGGAAATCAGTTGCTAATATCAATTAATATTCAATAGTATATTGTCTTTTCATTGTTATTTCAAGTCAATTTTAGTACAAAACGGAGATTGTAATGTGAATACAGAGTTTATGGAATAAGGTCACCATGTCACCACGAATTGTGGATTTTTTTTTTACTGAGTGACACAAATAAGTATGAAGTCCCTGACTTGTGAGGTAGGTATGAAAAACCTGTGTGTTCATGAGTCAGTGTTCTCTCTCATGTGATGAGATGTGTATCATTTATTAAAATAAATTAATCAAGTTTTTTTTTTATTCTAGATATATGACAATTTATAATTTTATCAAAATGGGAGTGTATTCCAAAGGTCACTTTTACATTTGTGGGTAACAAAAAAATATACTAATTTAGCTATATTAAAAAAAATAATAACAGCGTATGAGAAGTAGAAAAAAAAGTAAAACCGCGCTATGGTTCCTACACGCTAGAATCTGTTTGCTTGAATTTTGTATTCACTTTTCAGTATCCGTTTAATTTGTTCCTGAACTAACGTAATGTTTCAATTGTAATTGTTTATTTTATAATTTAAATATTTTTAACTTAAACGATTTAATTATTAATTTGAATTGACATCGAAAAAGTGATTTTCTAGCTAATAACTCTTTTTTTTTTTTTTAATATAAACTTTTTTTTTAATTCCGATGAGTAGTGTTTTTTTTTAAGTCGAGCAAATATATACAGTTAACTTTTATAAAATATACCTTCTGCATTACAGTGAAATATTATATTTATGATATATATACATATATGTCTATATATATATATATATATATATATATATATATATATATATATATTCTTATATTGAAATTCTACACTATTCTCATGAAGTTCCGTTTCACGGGTTTTCTAGAAAAATGTATGTAATCTCTGACACTGGAGCATTTGACTACGATTTATTGTTATGTATTGTATGGCTGTCCTAGCGTGTTTGTACGACGTCTAAAATGGTCACTTTGTATATTTCAATAGAGGATTACATTATAATTCATATTTGTTATATATCTCATTGACAAGTTTTCTGTGAATGGTATGTCCAACTGCCGAATTGTTAGAAAAATAAAATGTTTTTTTTTTTTTTATATACCACAAAAGTGGCAAATAAGCGTACAACCTGTGTGCCGAGAAACGTTCATAGTAGTTTAAGTTGTTAAATTAATTCCACAAATATGAAATCGTGGTTTAATACTTTAAATAAATAAAAAAAAAATTTAATTAATAATCTGCTTGCCTTGATGTAACAAAAATTACAAAAAGTTATTGTATTAAAGTCTGTAATCCTAGTCTTGTTAATGTTTTAAATTTTGAAAAACTAAAAAAAAAGAAAAATATAAGTATCGATTGGTCAGTAAATATAAAAAATTCCAGAACTTTTTATATAACTTAGAATAGCAAGCAAGCTGACGGCCCACCTGATGGAAAGTGGTAACCGTCGCCTATAGACATGAGCAGTACCATGCACATAACAGAGTATACTGTTTCGCCCATGATACCCCCCATGCGTTGCCATTCCTGAGGACTCAGGTGTTATTCCTCTGTACCCAGTAAATTCACTGCCTTCAAACCAGATTTATAACAACTATTATACTTATTACAAAATATTGTTCTTGTCTATAATTAAACCCAATTTGTGGATTCTACTTAGAAAATTGACGATTGTTGCGATTGCAAATATGAATCGCCGTATGTTTAATAATATGTAACGGATCGCCAAAAGTGACTATTTTAGATCTCGCACAGACTCTATTATTGCGACATATTCTTAAAGAGGCCCGTATCTGCTTTATTTTTAAATTTTTGAAATTTCCTTAATAGTACAGTTACAGATGGAAATATGTGGTACAATTTATTCAAAATACGAAATACCATTTATGATATTACAAAATTGAACTTAATGCCGTTGAAGTAAGAATTCAATTTTGTACGAACCATTCAGTACATCTAGAACACTATTTCAACATACAAAATTGATCCTATGTACTGAAGATATTAAGTTGAATTTAGTTATCTATAAAATGGCACGTCGTATTCGGAATAGTGTAGTTGTAGATGCAAGAAAAGGCCAACCATAGACAAAAATGCTTTCGTTCCTTCTCGCACAGTCTCGTCTAAGCCAAAAAAAGTAAGCCAAAGTTTTTAAATATATTAGAATTTAAATGTGTAACGTATATATTATTATTATATATAATATAGATCGACAAAAGAGAAAATATTATGTACATATAGCTGTCGATATGTCTGCTTTACGTCAATAGTAATATAAAAGTACAATCAAGTACTCAAGTGTCATGTTCAATAAAATTAAAAAAAAAATAATAAAAATAAAAAATGGCAATGTTAATATATAGGAATGAGAAATTTTATCTGATTAGTTTAATGGAATCGATAAAATAGTAGCACTGTTTACACTCTGTTAAGTGACAACAGCAAGTATCAAGTGTTTAGTGACGGTTTTGTGTAGTCCAATGTTAAGATATATGGATCAGTGTTATGTGTTCACATATTGAAGTGAGTGTGCGGAGTGATTTGTATCGGGGATACCTGATAGCAAAAATAGATTAGCCACTTCTTGCCAGCCTCCAGACTAAATACATGTGATATATAAACTCCTTATTGTTTGGATTTGAAGTTAAATGTCTCACATTTATTTTTGTATATATAGGTATTATAATATCTGTACGTCAACTATAACTATGTTCTTATATTAATTTATACCTAAAAAGTATTTATTTACTTATCAATAATATGTTTTTACTAAAAATAATACCGTTTACATTAATTTTTCATAATCTGAACGGTTGATTGGGAGAAATTCCTTCAAGTATTATATTTTTAACAAATTTTTAGAATAAATATCTCTCTGGTATCGCCTTTTAGGGCGTTTTCAAAGGTTTTCAAGTTCCACTAAGTGCCGACAATAACGACTATTAGCTACTAGTATTAATTCCGTCTTTTTTTACTATATTTTAGTTGTGAATAAATTTATACAAATAAATCTTTTCTACTGACCATACCGCTGGTAGACGTGTATTTTGTCTCGGAGCATAGTTTACTTTGCACTTCGCACTCGCGCTTACTTGACCGAGTGTAAACAGGCCCTAGATTTTTAATGTTATTAAAAAAGAATGACATATCTTTGTGACTAACGTCGTATATTACTTATACGATGGTTGGCATGTCAATTTCGAAATCAGCTACATGGATGAGCCTGTAGATATGTATAAGTGTATATTGTATTGTACAATCGCGCACAACCGTCATATATTTTGTGAGAGATATCACAGCAGAATGCTTTTTAAGCTTTATGAATTTAGATTTGTACTTAAAACGCTGATCTAGTAATTGTAGGTTACGATAATAATAATGTTAGGGAGGGCTCGCTGTGCCCGATTGTACAATCGCTTGTCCCGTCTGAATTGTCGTCAATTGTACATTTCGTTTTAGCGGCAGTATGTGTCTAAGCGTCGTGGACATTGTGTATTGCTTATGTAATGTTAAATAACTACATATCACGGTGACAAATAATTATTCATATATATTGTATGACGTGAAAACACTGCAACTACATGTCTTTTCTGCAAACGTCCACTGTCAACAGAGTTTTTTTTTTTTTTTATTTTGCTCAATTGTTTTTTTTTTTCTATTATTCTTTTTACTTTGTTTTCTTTTTTTTCTACTCATAGAAAATGACATACATTTTTACATTACAATAGATACAAATATCACGGGCGATGTGGAGAATGGAGCGTTTTTAATTTTATTAAGAGAAATAATAATAAATAATAAGTAAAAAAAATTAAAATAACTCCATTTTTCGATGCGGGCCTGTATTGTACAACATAGCAACTCACATGAACGTATTTGCTTCTAGCTAACGGCGATGCGGCGGTCACCACACACTCACACATATCAAGACGGACGGCAACACACTGACACACACAGGCACACCACTACGAGTGCGGGGGGACTGGGGTTGCCATTGCTAACTACAAATATTACCCCACAGATCAAATAAACTGTTCATCATTTACCGACTTCACAGAAGCAGGTTGATTGTTTTGTTCGAATGCATAAGTACACCGATATCTCTGATATATCTGGACCTATTCAGGATAGTCCTATATACTATATATATATATATATATTTTTTTTTTTTTAATTGAAGTCGACCGTTCTGTGTGAAAATTACGCTCTTATCAACTCTTAACTTATAAGTTACGGGTAAATATTTCCGAAGGGTAAATTTTTGGCAATGGCATCTTAATTATTCCTTATTTATACATTTTGTGATCTAGATCACTCTTATAAAGACATTAACAGTTAGTTTTCTTAATCTAATTATAGATAGACAGAGTAACAATTTTCATGTTATAACACATTATTACATTTCCATTATGATTTCTTTGTTTTTTTTTATTACTTTTTTTATTTTGGGGCCATACCCCGTGAATGCGATATGCATTTTGGTTTCCGACTAGCGTTTTAGGTACTGTTTAAGTAATATTCCCATACTATTTCAGTTGTAATGTTAGTATTTAGTTTTATATTATTCTCAGTGCCATTTTCAAACACTCTTCAATATAAATTTAATTATTCATTTGAATTTTTAACGACATTTTTTAATATTGTTACTAAATGTATTAAATTGCTTACTAGTGATTATTGGAGTTTTGAGGATGGTACTATATTATTTGTTTTTAGTGATTTTTTTTTAGTAAATCGATATTAGTTTGTGAGTTTGTTGTGTTAAGATTAAGGAAGTTAGGAGTTTTCGTTTTTCCCCTTCTTCCTGTGGGTGCGTTCACACGAGTGCACTCAAATCTGTGTGCGCGTCGCTACACGAGTCTATTTCCAACTCGGTTGTTTTGTAAAATTGACAGTTGTGAAATGTACAAGTGAATAAAGTAACTGTGGTATAAGGTAGATGATTTGAGTTTCATTTTTATTTGATATCTTAAAACGCTTGCAGTGTGCATGTTTCTACGTAATAATAGTTTTGCATGAATTTTTTCCAAACGTAAAAATAGCTGGCAACATTGTTTGTTTGACCATTTTACATATTGTGTAAGAACCAAAAAAAAAAAAAAAAATCTAAATATAAGAAATAGTTTAGCACTCTTAGTCTAGTAGTAAGCGTCATTGCAAGTCAATTATATTGGATTAGTGAAGAATTATGACACTACGGATTTTCTATAAATTTTTCTTAAAAGTAAAAACAAAATTAGTGACGATTCAACATGATATTTGATTGGTAAGCCTGCACATGGATTATTTAGATGTAGGACTTTGTCAATAATAATAATAATAATAATAATAATATATGGGACACCATGAGTGCGCTGTTTGTCTATTTATTATTTCCCTTCGTGTCTAAGAATAGATGTTGGTATGTGACTCTTGTGGTAGCTTGTCTATATTACTGTTTATGATATGGCGCTGACACAAATTCTTCTTAAAGATACTTAACAATATTTTTTAAACGTTTATTAGATATATTGATACACTTCGGTCGACCGAATTTATATATATATATTTAAATTGCCTTCCCTTGTAATAAATAAAATATTTCCTAAATGTATATCGAAGGCGCTTGTATCGACTACGCATTATTTGTAACTGCATTGATAACCACAAACCCTCGTTGTTTTCATGGCGTAAACAGTCCTATAGGCTGCCATAAACGTTAATAGATACATAAATAGCTGATTTAAAAACATAAAATCAATGTTATCGGGTAAATAGATGCATATCTTTTTCTCTAGAAGTATTTTCGAATGGAAAATAAATGTTTTAGTGTTAGGACTTTGATGTCGTGATAGCTTACAAACTGTTTTGTGTTTAAATGTACAGAGAAATATATTGAAATTGTTTCCAACGTCTGTCGTATGTTTATAATGTAAACTAGCTCCGAATATGTGCTGCTCTTGTTTTTGTGTAACTCTCATTTTAGACATTCGACATTACGACACTGTTCTACTACAATATTATGACAATTTCATACATGTTTTACACATAAAAATGCTGAATGAAATTCAAAGAATGTTTAAGAGTTTTTGTGTGTAAAGCCCACGACATGCGACTACAGTGAACTTGATACTATATCTGATGGACGCCTACCAATTATTACACAAGAAACTGCACTCTGTTATTTTTGTCATATTCTTAAGATAATGTAATGTTTAATTTAGTTTTACCCTTTCCTTTTCAATACTTTAGCTTACCTTCATTGGAATTAGGTACTTGTAGTAACATGGTAAACATTAAATACATGTCAACACGCATAATATTCTTTCATTTAACACAACTGCTCGCGTCTACCACGAATTTAATCATTTGACGCTTTATTTTTATTTATAAAAAGAAAAATTGATATATTATAAACGTTAATTTAAGTTTTTCCTCTTCACAAAAATCAGCGATTTCAATTGTGACTGAATAAACATGGAATCAAGACATTTGCAAGCCATGTCGATTGAAAAAGGAATTATCGAAATTGATTCAGAATTGATGAAGATATTGCGCAATAAAAAGGAATTACAGTCGAAATTGAGATTGTCATGTTTTTGAAGTCGCTTTTAGTAGAGATGCATATTATAAATTCTTGGTAGACACACAGTACATGCGCATTGAAAATGCACTCCTACCTGCCCCATACAGCCAAATAACACTAATAACAATTTAAAGTTTTATTTTGAGTTTTAATAAAACCTATAAAACATTTGTTGGCGACTGTCCTAATGACGGACGCGTGGTTTTTTTAATATTTTATTGATATTGAAGATGAGTGAAATAAAAAACTTAGAGTCTAGGTAAAAGAAAGCGCAAAAGGACAATATAAACGTTTACCTTACCAGAAATGAAGTTTTTTTTTTTTTATTTTTAATCTTGTTTGGCTAGAAGACCGTGACATTTTAAAACAAAGTTAATTTTAAAAATTCTTAATTTGTTGTCTCTGATACAACATCACGATAGATAGAAAAAAAATTTGATTTTAGGTTATATATACATATATCTGAATAAATGAAGGATTTTTAAAAGTATATCTTTTGAAATGTCCCGATCTTTTCGGTCAAACTTCTCTTTCAAATTGGACTGATTTTTGTGTTATTTTTTATATCTATTTTTAATAAACTTTCAGAAACTATGTTCTACAGTGACAACAACACTAATACGTAACACAATAATATATTTAAAAAATTGCATACCTAAAGGAAATAATAAAAAAATCTATTATACCTTTTTTTTTTTAAAAAAAGAAGATGCATTTTCACCATTGATTGATGATATAAATAATGGGAGTCGAGAAACAGTCTGAAAATATTTGCATTTCTATCTATTTTTATAAACTTCTAAAATTATTCAACTTTATAAAAATACTATTTATTAATAATTCAATAAATTATGGGTAAGTATCAACTTCGTTTCACGAATAAATTGTGAAACTGTTAATTGTAGTAAACTAACATAATTAATAGTCGACTCGAAAATAGTCGATTTGATCACATGTTATCGATTATATTAGTTTACAAATTTTGTTACAACAAAATTTCACAAAATATTACCTAATTATCCTATTTCACAAAATCACACAATCCCTTCTCTTGAATACTCTAACAAAAATATTACAAAAGTACAATGGTGCTGATTTTGAGACGACACCAAACTAATATACTAAAACCAACTAAAACTTAATTAAAACTCATCCACCCATTATAGGTTGGAATGAATTTTAATCGATTAAATTATATATAAAGATTTGCGCAAATAATCGGAAAATTTCTACCGATTTGTCAAAATCGACTTCTTGAGATTTTAAGTCAATAAATTTTTTTACATTTTGTTATGTTGATTTTACAATTGTTTTGTTACAAAATTTACTAACGTGTGAATAAAATCTCAGATGTCCACGATTGACAAATTGGGATTTCTTGTCGAACTTATATACTGCATAGGTATGTATAAATTGAATGAAAACGGAGTGTGGCGATGTTCATGTGTAAATAGTAAGTACATAATAGTTTGTTTAATATTTTTTTAGGTTTATTGTAAAGTTTAGATAAACGGAGTATTTATACAATAGTACGCTGCACACAGAACGCGGACATATGTAAAGTTGTATAGTAAATAAAACTTGTTTTTTGACTGACGTAGTATTATTTCAATTGACGACCGTGTCTGATCAAATTATCGAAAAATAGGATGTGAGTTCGATTCCTGAGTAAGTTATAAATATTTTATGAGAGGTCACTTTTAATCGAGTGGAGGGTAATTTATCAGAATGTATGGTGTGTTCCATTAATGTTTTAGTCGATTATAGTCGAGTGGTTGTCCTTACTAATTTACTAGTCATTTGATTAACTTGACTAACTGACGTTGTCTCTAACCTAAGTTCTAAATTTAAAAATTCAATTTTTGGGATTACAATTATTTTTTTTATTCATTATGGATTAGTAACAAATTTTATACTGAATGAGGTGTTATTTTTCAGAAGGCCATATCACTGGTTATTTGATTAGAATTAAGTTACCATTTCACCATCGACAGGGAATTCGCCCTTATACTTTAGAACCGCGATGGTCACGCACAGTGCGGTATCAGATGAGCTTCCCCCCTCATTCCCCACTCATTCAGGGTATGGAATGGTCTTCCTGGCGAAGCTTTCCCTAAATTACAGCATGGGGCTCTTCAAAAAGGGCGTATTAAAGTTTCATAATTCGGTAACCCGCGCGTGACATCTCTGGTGTTACAGATGTCCATAGGTTAAGGTAACCCCATTTACTATAAGACGGGCCGTATACTCCGTTACCATCAGTGTGCGTGTGACTACCTACACTTAAAGATTAATTACTATTATTATTACTAGAAGTTCTACAATAATAATAATAATAATACAATCTTCTGTATTAGACATAAATATCCGACTGCCATTTCTTCCACGCATGTTTTGCGACACGTGTTTCACCTCTTAACGAGGCATTTTCAGCCAAATTACTAGATCGTGACGGTGCCGCGAATGCTTACAACTCGTGCTCAGCGTCAGTCCAGAAACTAGTCAAGTTTTCTCAATCAAATTATACGTAAGTTAAACCGGTCATCATTACTTTTTTTTTTACAACTTAGAATGGCAAACAAGCTGACGGCCCACCTATATAATATAACCGTCGCCTATAGACATGAGCAGTACCATGGACATAACAGAGTATACTGTTTCGCCCATGATTCCCCCCATGCATTGCCATTCCTGAGGACTCAGGTGTTATTCCTCTGTACCCAGTAAATTCACGCCATATCCCACCCTTCAAATCGAAACACAGTTATGCAAACACAACTGCTTCACGGTAGAAACACGAATGGAAGAAAGATACCCAAGCAATCGACTTTTGTACAGTCTCCCTCTCATAATTCTAATGAAATAATAAATGGCATCAAATCGGCGGCCCACCTGATGGGAAGTGATTACCGTCGCCAGTTATGCGTACCCACATACGTCGCCATTGAATTAGACTAAGATTTTTTTTAATGGATGATAATGAAATTTCATCACGATAGACTTATTGACCTGCCTTTTCATTCTCATCTATCACCCCTCACTGGTGCCCCGCCAGCGTATACCGCAGCGCAGAGTATTTTTTTTTTATGGATGAAAATGGTATGGTAATCCCGCCTACGCTAACGGGATACGCTGGCGGAGCACTAGTGAAGGGTGATCGATAAGAATGAAAACAGGCGAGTTAGCCCATCATAATGAATTCATCTGGAATTAACCATGATAGTTTCCAGGGGGGACCGCGAGGAGGTCGATCTGATTGGGTATATTGCTAGCAATAGGATTCTCAGTCTCCATTACTAACAATTCCTTTCCCCCCAACGCAGCGCAGAATATATATAGCGCAGGCGGGGTTACCATTTTTGTCTGATTCCAGTTATTATTGGAAGAAAAAAAATTCCACCATTCAAATTGAAAGACAGTTGTACATAGACAGCTTATCGACGACAGAAACGTGAATGGGACAAATTCCCCCTCCTTTCTGATGAATTCTGGTCGACTGACCTCTTTATTATCATTTCAAAAATGCCTCGATTAGACGGTCTGATCTGAGCTGAAATTGCAGTCGTTTTAAACGACAAAGGGTGATAATAAAATAAAGGCGGTAAAAATATAATTAAATGGCCATTTTGACCATTTTTTTTTTATACGATCAATTATAAAGAACAATCTAATGTTGTTTATTACCAAATCCCATCAAAAATGATATATATGGCGTGAATTTATTGTAACAAAACTATAAGAAAAATCTTAATAAAATTGCAAGCAAGTAATAGTTGCACTTGCATAAGAAAAAGATTATAAATAAAAACCGAAGATATTGAAAAAACAAAATCTTGTTTCTAAGTTTAGTTCTTAGAATAAAAACAATAGACACAGAGTAAATAACTTTATAATCAAAAAGTAATGATTACCTACTTTATAAATAAAAAAAAATTAATATAAATAGAAAGAAATATCTAATAGATAATTTTGGGACATAGATAAAGAATACTGAATATTAAAATGCATATTGTAGATATTATGATATGTCTATGAATGTACAACACTAGCGCTCAAACTACTCAACATTCGTGGACAGTGTTGCAAGTTGTATGGATTATCCCTACAATTAATGGAAATATCTTGTAGGCATTACAGCTACTCAACCCTCGCATAATAATCATTATTTTTAGAATGTAATAATAAAGGTAATAAGTTTAATTAATGCGTTTTAAGAAGTAATTCCTACTTAATTTTATAGCTATTGTCCCATTTGCTTATTTTAATTTAGCGTTAACCACGACGAAATAAAAATTAATAGCAAACGTTAAAAAAGGTGAAAGTATAAAATATAAACAAATGGGTTAGCAATTATAGAAGGAATTAAATGTAAAAATTCGGTGAAAAAAATGTAAAACTGTTGTAGATAAACTCATAAATTACATAGTATGTACAAAGGAGAACTAAGACTCAATATGGTCATATAAATATACTTACATAATTATATTAAACAAATACTACTTATATATATATAAATATATGGCATAAAACATACATACATATACGGCAGTATATTAAATTGTCAATACAGACGATAGAGATCAAAGGCGATGATGATGATGATGAACTATTTTCACAGCTTCTTCATAAGAAATACAAATCAATATATGAGTAGATGCGTTTATTACACTTAGAATAAGAACTCACGGCGTGGAAGATAGAAAGGTACTGGAGGATTAAAGCGTTATTTTATACATATAATGTTGTTTTCTACAGCTACAGAAATACAAAGTAAGATATACTTCCTTAAAATACGTTATGATTACTTAGGCTATGGTAACCACTTACCATCAGGTGAACCGTATGATTGATTGCCACCTCAGTGGTATAAAAAAAAATAAAGCTTATTTATCAATTTCTACATGTAACGACTTCTTCAGTATTTTGGACATATATTCAAACGTAAGCCGATAATTAATAAAACTCATTATTGGGATGGGTTGATAATTAAAGAGAGATGCCAGACGAAGTTTACTAAAAAGTATATACCGATAACCGAAAACTGCACGGCTTAAAAAACGATGGTAACAAGAGTGACATTTTCAAATAGTTACGATTCTCAGAGATGAGGAAACAAGAAAGAGAAAATATATTAATTTGCTATTTTATGAATATGCAACATGATCGTTATTTAGAGTATTTTATTCGATTTTATAGAGGCAAGACTAGAGCATATTATGGAATTTTTAACTGTAACCTGGCAACACCGAAACCACTTGGGTAAAAAATTTTTAATACGTAATGGTGGCTGCATGTGTTTCGGAATCATTGCTGACAACTTATTTATATAAAACATTGGAAAACATTCAGAAACTAATTTCGATTTTGATTACTCTCTGAAGAATCAGCAGGTAACCGTAATTATAGTAAAGTTATAAATTTCTACTTATATTTAATTAGCTCTTGGTGTCTCAAAATGGCTGCCATTGGAGAATTATCACAATTTTACTGTTCATATTTTTATCGACGATCGAATTGCATTATTTTAGTAAGTATGATAATAAAACTTCAGTGATAACAATGTAAACAAAAAACATCTGTAAGTGACATTTAAATTTAACTGTATTTTTTTATTGAAATAATTTTTTAAACGATGATCAAACCTAGAATTAAATTGAAAAAGTTTATAACGTGTCTGAGAATCATTTTGTTTCCGATTTATAACAGTTAGGTAACTTAGTTTTTGTGATTGACATTATTTTTAAATGTGAAAGTGTTTGTTTCTAAGGGTAAGGGTTGCTTCGTGGCCTTAACAGCTTAACCATGTAACTTGGTATATATATACTACATAGGACACAGAAGGACATAGGCTGCTTTCTATCCCAGTCAGTGGAGAAAAGTTTGTACATGAATAAAGGAAGGAGGTAGAAAAGATATTATACCTACCTACTTATGTAGAATAAATTTGTTAAACAACAAAATATATTTGTACTGAACTGTGATTCCTTTTTCATTCCATATATAATTAATAAAAGCCCCAAAGAGGGTTGACGTCAGCCAGGCGGGCGGTTGTAAAACTATAAGCCAGATCTTTTTGTAATATGGATAAAAAACATATTATTTCACCCCCAAATAATAATTGGGATAAGGGTAGGAAGATGATGATATAATTAATAAAAGTACAGATTGTCTATGATAACACGGTGTGCCCCTTCAAAATTCAAAAAATTTAATGGTGGAACAGTATACTCTGTTATGCACATAGCACTGTTCATGTCTATAAGCGACTGTTACCACTTTTCATAAAATGATCTGTCAGCTTGCTTGCCATTTTAAGTTGCTTAAAAAAATTGTGTGAGTAAAAATGTTTACAAGGATTCAACCAAGGAATATACTACTCTGGTTGGACTGCTATTGAAGATGTTTCCTCACAAACACAGAGCACCACATCTGTATATGGTCATATACATTGAAATAAAAATTTGTAGGGTACCTTTATTAATATAGTTACTAGTATACCTACCCACTGACTTTTTCCTCTGCTTACCTACAAAACATCAAACTAAAATACAGTCTTGATAGCACAGTTACCTGGTGGCAAATAAGAGTGAGGGGAGAGGGCAATACACCCTATCAAGTTGACTTCCATATGGTTCCCTTATTAACAATCTAAAAAAAACGGTGTAGTGGAAAAGAAGTACCCACGTAAACCACTTTTGTATTTTATCTTCTCTTATAGGTTAATATTAACAAATCATATTTTACATTTATGATATACATAAATGTATTTTCAAATTACATCTGTTTCAGAATGAATCAAAACTGTTTTATTTGTGATATTGCAACTCCAACGTCAAAAGGTTCTATAAACATATTTGACAGTAATGTAAGTATATTTTGTAACTAATATTTTTAAAAGTATTTTATGTAGTTAGAGATTTGTTTTTCAATGGGTAATAATGATAACTCCATTTATACTAGCGGAATATCAGTGAAAGATGATAGGTGAGGATGAACGGACAAGTCAACACAGTTAGCCCATTGTGATGAATTAAGTCCATGGGGGATCATAGTCCCCATTACCGACCATCCATTTTCCTCTAAGCCACTTGTTGACTATTACTGTTATGTTGGACATGTCATTTTACATACTCACGTTTTGCTAAACATATTAGAAATAAATGTGACAAGAGTCTTTTAATTCAGTGTGTTGTTTTTTTATCTACATTTGCATACTGTTATGTAATGGCTAAATAGGCAGGAAAGTTTATGTAATATAAGACAACCGATATCTGCCCTAAATAATGCAAATAAATTTATTATTATCATCACAGGAGAGGTAGTTTATATTATTAACAAAATCTATGCCAGCGTCATTTTATAAAATCTACATGTGTGAAATATCTGATTGTTTGTGGATACATTAATGATTTTTAATTACTTAATTAATAAGTCGCTTTTTAAATTTTTTTTATACAACTAAGAATGGCAAACAAGCTGACGGCCCACCTGATGGAAAGTGGTAACCGTCGCCTATAGACATGAGCAGTACCATGGACATAACAGAGTGTACTGTTTCGCCCGTGATACCCCCCATGCGTTTCCATTCCTGAGAACTCAGGTGTTATTCCTCTGTACCCTGTAAATTCACGCTATATCCCACGTTTCAAACTGAAACACAGCCATGCAAACAACTGCTTCACGGTTGAAACACGAATGGGACAGAGGTACCTAAGCAATCTACTTTTGTATAAAGCTTCCCTCTACTAGAAGCAGTATAGGTATAATGGTCATGTATTGGTGTTCTTTCAGATTGGATTGCAATCAGGCAAGAAATTGCCCGACATATTGAAAGAAATCATTGATAAACCTATCAAGAGTGACAATTTATATTCAAATGTCCTCTGTAAAAATTGTTTCAAGTTTTGCACTGAGTATGACTCCATTCAAGTCAGGTGAGTTATATTATTTTTTAACAGACTTCAACAAGAAGAGGTTTTCAATTCACTTGTATTTTAATTTTATGTTTGTTACCTCATAACTCTCCTATTTTTTTCCCCATAAACAGAATTTATTTTATTATCGATTATATATAATTAATTATAAATTTATAATAATTTAAGACATGTTTAAAACAATTTATTTATTTATTTATTCTTTATTAACGCACTTTAAATTATTACAGAGATTTCTGATAATAAACAATTACATGTAGGTGTATACAGGTATTTTTTTTTTGTATAATATATTAAATTTTTACTGGGTATTATTTAGTTTATCTTTAATTGTACAGTTATTACCCTTGTACATTCTACAGTTTTCTTTCACCTTCTCAAAGGTTGACTGTAAGAAATGCCTTTATGGGATAACTTCGCCATTGTATATTAAATCTTTTAATGTATTCAGTATGAATTATGTAAAATAAAGATTTTACAATATGATATAATACAATATGAATAAATCTTAGATTATACACTCCTCGCAAAAATTAAGGGAACATAAAATTTTTTGAAATTTTTGGGTGATTTTCAACAGGCTGTATTTCAGTGAAAAATAATCGTACAGGAAATTTAAAAAAAGGGTTTTGAAGCTTGAAAACTCTAGTTTTCAGATTTTTTGGTGAAAAAATTTTTTGATCAGAAACTTTCATTTCCTTAAAAACGAAAAAAAAAATTTTCTTAAAAATTTTCTTGATTTTTTTCGATTTTTTTTGATAATGAATTTTTAAAAAACAAAAAATTTAGTAAAAAGTGAAAAACAAATGAAATTATTGATTTTTGAATGGATTAGGGTGTTTAAGGGACAAAAACCTTGTTCCCTTATTTTTTCCAAAATTTCAATCAATTGGTCCGGGAAAAACCGTTGAACCGATCGCTCCAGGGATTTAGGGGGTTCTTTAAGGAACAATAGACTGTAAAATTTTCCTCAAACCTTAGCTTTCCCGCCCATATTAGCGAAGATACAGCCAAGTAACCAAAAAAGGAGAAAAAATCACTTTTTTCAATTCAATGTTAGAGGTGGAAAAAAAAATTTTCTTTACTAACTCTTGACTGTGCTTAATTGGAAATTTTATGCAGATAAAGAAACTCGGCGCCCGCTTGCTGTGCGACCAGTAGTTCCAGAGATATTAGCAGTTGAATGGAAAAGGATGCTTTTGCATTCAAAGTTCGATATCTCGGAGACAAATGGTCGTAATTGAGCCATCTAAAGCGATTTTTGAAGCTGAATAAACACGCTAAGAGACCTATACAATGGAGTAGCTCGAAAAAATTTTTCCATGCCCATAGAGTGAAAAACGAAACCTAGAAAATTTAGAAAAAAAATATTTTCAGCTTTCTTTAAGGATTGCATGGAAACTGGAGCTCAAAAAATTTTTTCACCAAAAAATCTGAAAACTAGAGTTTTTAAGCTTCAAAACCCTTTTTTTAAATTTCCTGTACGATTATTTTTCACTGAAATACAGCCTGTTGAAAATCACCCAAAAATTTCAAAAATTTTTATGTTCCCTTAATTTTTGCGAGGAGTGTAGAATAAATATGTCAATACTTAAATAATGAATAACAATAATAATACACAAAATACGTATCTATGGATTGTGCTCAGAGGAATTGTCAATATGATGCCCGCAGCCTTTCTACCATCGTACGGCTCGCCATCGACAGGGAATCCATCCTCATGTCCTACAGCCTCATTGGTCGCGTACTGCGCGGTTTCAGAGACGTTTCCTCCCACGAACACTCAGGTTGTGAAATGAGCTCCCTGTCGAGGTTTTCCCAAGAGACTACAGCATGGTGTTCTTCAAAAGGGGGGTAAAGAGGTTTCTTCAGGGTCGGCAACGCACGCGTAATACCTCTGGTATTGCAGGTGTTCATAGGCTACGGTAACCACTTACCATCAGGTGGGCCGTATGTTTGTTTGCCACCTCAGTGGTATAAAAAAAAACCTGTTGAGAAATTATTTCAAATACTAAATAGTATATGAATAATATATATAATGAATAATAATATATAAAACTATATGGGGATTGCTTATGTTCACCAGTGGACAGATAATGACTGAAATAATAATATTAGTATAGATAAATAATGACAAATATGATCACAATTTCAGATTACAAGTAATAAGGACAAATTTACTAAAGGATTTCAAGACTACCCTGCCCAAACATAACCTCAACTATGACACGTTCGGGGCCACCGCTCAGAGCACGCCAATCAAACCCACTGAGATCAAAGTGGAGGACAGGAGGCTGGTGGTGCCAGCGTCGAAGCTGCAGCCGCTGCCAGCGGACTTCGTGTTCGACATCAACAAAATGGTGGCTATGAACAAGAGTTTAGTGCGGAAGGTAAGTTTGTCTACGCATTGTCAATTGATTTCAAAAAGAGGCATGGTCACAATTGGGTTGTATTTTTTTTGTGTTTAATACCTCATAACATTAGACGAGAAATATAACTTGCCTATATCATCATTTTAGCCCTTAACCGTCCACTGCTGAACGTAAACCTCCCCCTTGGAGGGTTTTTAGTTGCCACACTTGGCAGGCATATTAGCAGGTCATGCTTTAGCCCTTAAATACCTGAAGTTTCAAATTTAACACCGGAGTTTGCATTGTTTCATTGTTAAATAAATTTAAATATTTTGATTACCGTGATGCCTAAAGTATCAAAAATGATACCAAATGGTTTTTTTTTTTTTTCAAATTTGTCAATTTGTAAGGACATTGTTGTTTATATAGTAGTTTAGTTTTTAAAACAAAGTAACTGATTCTGTTATGACTTAAGTCAGATTTTCTTGTGGATAAAACAATATTCAATTATAGCACTGGTCTATATCTGCTTGGGTACTTCTGTCCCATTCGTGTAAAGCAGTTATACTTGCATGGCTGTGGTTCGCTTTAAGGAGTATTTTTTTATGGTTAAAAATGGAATGTTCATCCTGCCTGCACTATCGGCATAACCTGGCGGGGCACCAGTTGAGGATGATAGGTGAAAATGGTGAGCAGGTCAGTTGACCCATCATGATGAATTTATCAAAAATTAACCACATTGGTTTCCAGGGGGAAACGCGTGGAGGTCGACCTGTTAGGGTATGTTCCTAGTAATGGGTCTGTTTGATCTCACTACTAACAATTCCTGTCCTCCCGTGACTTGAGGGGTAGGATATGGTAGTGAAGTTGGCGTACGGAGACATCACCTTAATTTTCTGAAATGAAACAAGTAAACAGTTCTATAAATAATCCAGGGTATGGAAGCGTAACTTCCTGTGTCCAGTACTTGGTGCATGAAGATCATTGGTGTCACAGTGTATTCTGTGATGCTCATGTTTATTGGCGACGGTTGCCACTTTCTATCAGGTGGTCCATTAGCTCGTTTGCTAGTCTATGTTGATTAAAAAGATAAAGCTTTACTATTTACTATACTTAAGAAACTTTTAACAATAAAAAGTTAATACTGCATTTTTTTTATTCCTAATTTCAAGGTTCCAACATCGGAGTCCATGATAAACCTAAAGGTCACCGTCGGCTCGTCCGTCCTCACGCAGTCCGTGAAAACCGTAATGACACCTGTGTCCAAGGAGTTATCGCCGGCGAAATCGACGCAAGATGGCGCCGCACCGACGAACGTGGTTGTGACAATGCTGCCAACATTGACCCAACACACAGACAAAGTGACCACCACAAAGAACCCGGTGCTGAGTTTTAACGTCAACTCGCTACAAAAGGAGCTCATGTCATCGACCGTGTTGGCGAAAATCAATCAGAACGACAAAGGAACAAATGATTATGCTATAAATGAAAACAATGATGATCAGTCCATGGAAATTGATGAAGGTAATGATTTTTTTTTATACAACTTTGAATGGCAAACGAGCTGACAGTTCACCTGATGGAAAGTGGTAACCGTCGCCTATAGACATAAGCAGTACCATGGACATAACAGAGTATACTGTTTCGCCCATGATACCCCCCATGCGTTGCCATTCCTGAGGACTCAGGTGTTATTCCTCTGTACCCTGTAAATTCACGCCATATCCCACCCTTCAAACCGAAACACAGCCATGCAAACACAACTGCTTCACGGTAGAAACACGAATGGGACAGAGGTACCCAAGCAATTGACTTTTGTACAAAGTCTCCCTCTGGTTAATTTTATAATTATTATCCATTTTTTTTTATTATAACACGACATGTTACTATCTTGTGATAGTTAGAGATAGATAGATAATTTTTAAAATTAAGCATTTTGCGTTCTATTGTTCCTGCCTACGCTAAAAGGAGATAGGCGTGATAGATATGTATGTATATTTTTTTATGTAGAAATTTTATCAAAATCGGTTCCGTGGTTTTTTTGTTTATTAAAATGATTGGTTTATTGTCACAATTTAATTGTTTTATTTATTGACGTTTCAGACTGTTCCCTGGTCGTGCCGGTCACTACGAACGGTAGTGGGAAATTGGTGTTTGAAATTGACTCTTTGAAGGTTGGTTGGAATTATCTATTTATTTATTTTACACTTTATTGCACCAAGCAAAAAATAACAAATATAAAGTAAATATTAATGAGAAGTGATACAAAAGGCAGCCTTATCGCTATGCAATCTCTTCCAGACAACCTTTGGGTAGAGGACATTGAGAAATTATAATATTATATATTTAATCTTATCGAGTTAATTTTGTTTTTACATATATGTAAGTTGATTTTCTCAACAAGCATTTTTTTTTTCAAATCTATGAAACAAGTACCAGTGCATCATCATAGGCCTCCCTCATACGAGGGGTTTTGCCAGTAGTTGCCACTCTTGGCAGACGGCACTAGGGACACGCTGCTTAGGCGGCAGATCTCCCGATCATACAGTTCCTTTAATCGTCTCTTATAATATTCACGGGACAGAAAGAGGTGCTATTTTATGCAAGGACTACACGGCGATTGACGACGGTTGAGATACATACAATTTGGTTACATTCATCATGTTCATGTCAGCCATTATTCGTCTACTGCTATACATAGGCTTCCCCCATAGACTGCCAACAAAAACAGTCCTGAGTTACTGCATTACATTATATATATATATATATATATATATATATATATATATATATATATATATATATATATATATATATATATATATATATATATATATACCAAATTGTTTATAATTACTCCTCTCCATCCAAAGGTTGCCTGGAAGAGATCGCTCTTAGCGATAAGGTCGCCCATTGTTCTCTCGTTGTGATCATTTCTTGTAATTGTTTATATTTATAATAAGTTTACTATTGTAATCTTATGGAGGAAACAATAAAGAGTATCTATCTATCTATATTACGTTTGTTACATTACAGAACAGCAAAGAGAAGCCTAAGTCGAACTTCTTCGACGTTGGCCTCCTGCTGTCGGACGGCAACGAGGGTCAGGAGCGCGACGCGGATAAGTACGTCCTCGACAAGTTGCATGTGCTCAAGAGGGACGAGGATGACGGCGACGATGAACGTGAGTTACACAACGGGACTATCAGTGATTTAGGGAAACATACAATTCGTAGAACATATCTACACTAATATTATAAAGAGGAAACATTTGTATTTTTGTGTGTATGTATGTTTGTAATGAATAAACTCAAAAACTACCTTGCCAATTTAAAAAATTCTTTCACTGTTAGAAAGTTGCATTCACCCTGAGTAACATAGGCTATATTTATTGCAAGAAAAGATTAGGGATCCTTACTAAAAGTTTAGTAACGTAACTCAAGGTGTAAAAAAATGCGATACTATATATTTGGTCGCGTGCGCTGCGGAAACTATTGATGATAGAACAAAAGTATGTTCTACAATATTGAAGGAAATATCAATAACTACAAAAAACATCGCGACACTATATGTCCGACTATTATCGTTATGTCACAATAGCCACTTTTTAAAATGTTGTAAAAATGTCCACCCGTGCGAAGTCGGGACGGGCTGCTAGTAAATAATATAGCAACACTAATACATCCAATAAATTATATAAAAATTATTAATTCACTCTTGCGTCACCTTCCCATTTATATCTGTTCTCCTTTAACCAAAGGTTGCCTGTAAGAGATTACCCTAGCGATAAGACCGCCTTTTGTACCTTTACGTGTATATTTCAATCTGTATTTATATTATATTTCACTTGAATTGTTCACTTGTCATTGTATATTTTTGTTTATGGTGCAATAAAGAGTTAAATAAATAAACGAGAGCAGATGATAAATATGGGGAAAAATAAATATATGAAATTTTAAGTGATTATCGTTGCCAATAGGTACCTGCGACATTAGAGGAATTTGCAGGTGTGAGGCTTCCAATGTCATATCTGTTCGGAAATACTGCTGTTGGCAGTTGGTTCCATACTATGATTTTATGACACTTGGAACGGAATATAATTTGACTGTCCACCTGATGGAAAGTGGTAATCGTTGCCTATAGACATGAACGGCACCAGTATTATTTGACCTGCATATTGATATTTCATATTCAACTTCCAGCAGAGACGTTAGTGATGGAGGACGAGGACGGCACGACCATCATTCGCATGGCGGCCGGCCAGCGGGTGCTGTACGACGGCACCAAGTTCGTGGTCGCCGACGATGACACCCGCGATGACAACATAGACAACGGCGACAGCCAGGGTCGGTACTGGACGCGCACACACACTCGCACGACACATCCACGCAAGCTTATATATACACCCACACTCACACACACATACCCAAACTCACACACATCCACACTCACACACACTCGCCCACACTCACACACACCCACACAGACATTTACATAAACTCACATTCACTCAGACATTTATTTACATACATTTACATATCTATTCACATACACAACGCACGCATGCACACTCACACACGTATGCCACCACGCCTTTTAATCATACAACCACATTCATACGTCTTACTCGCACGTATCCACACTCGCATAACCTCCTTCACACACTTTTTACGCCGTCTAATGTCTAAGCACAATAAATATTCTACTTGATAAAAGATAGCTTTGAAAAATATAATAATTTTATCTCCTTGGGTGTGAAAATTTAAAAGTGACCCACTTTTAAATTTTCATTCGGTTTTATGTGATTCTTTAACACACAAAATGATAAACAGAAAATAAAAAAAAAGTGGCACTCTGGGAATGCCGACAGAAGTGAAAACAGTAAACAGTGAAAACAGAGGTATCAGTTATGGTTACGGTAACAATATCGCGAGTTCAATGGTTTTTTCCCACCTCAAAAAATTTCCAACGCGCCTAAAGAAGTTTTCACTTTAAAACCATCATTTTCGGTTTAGGACACCCGTTCCTTTCTCGTGAATGTCATAAGAGCCGACTAAGAGAGGGCGAGGGATGGGCAGGAGAGAGTCCCTTTTAAAACATCAAAGCCTGACTGCGCTTATCAATCCGCCTGCTAAGCGTGGCAACTACTGGCAAAACCCCTAGGGGAAGGCTTATGTTCAGCAGTGGACAGTTAAAGGCTGATATGGTGATACTGTATACCCATAATAAAAAAATAGGAACATTATGGCGCGTGAAAAATTATTATTGTTCGGTATTCGTCACTGAACTTAAAAAGTAAAATTGTGTTTTTGATTTCCGCGCATTGTTTGAGAAAAGTACTATACAGGCCTTGGCCACAACTATGCATTGATCAACTCACGTATGTGTGCCTCGTCTACGCCTCGGCCCACATTTCCACGTTCGTCCATCAATGCCTCAGTTGCTGGCCGCTGCAGTAATGTACTATTATGTACAAGATTTGCCTATGTTATAATTTCAGACTCTAACGAGGAGTCGCAGATAGAGCTGCAGGTATCGGGCGACGAGGAGACCGCGAATGCCATCATAGCCGCCGCCCAGGAACAAGGTGCGTGCCGCTTGTTGCTGACTAGCTGTCTAGTGTCGCACGACTTGACGCGTGTATCCATGAAGTACGCATGGGTAATATGGATACCGATGCGATATCTATATATTGGGTTGTTATGCACACTGATGGCAGAAAAAAGGATCGTCACCCATTTCGATATGGCCCAATCGCGAAATGGGCGATATTGAAATATATATATACCATATATATAGTCTCGACGGATTTTAACGAAACTTGGTACAATTATTCCTCATACTCCTGGGCAGGTTATAGTATACTTTTCATCACGCTACGATTAATAGGAGCAGAGCGGTGAAGAGAAATGTTAGGAAAACGGGAGAAGTTACTCCATTTTTAAACTTCCGTCGCGTGTGCAGTCTTAATGGCCACTTTTTTAAATGTAAAAATGTCCACCCGTGCGACGCCGGGACGGGCCGCTAGTTAATAAATAAATAGGAAACTGAAAACCCCTCCCATGTTGTAGGTGGTGCATTCATCAAAGTGGAGTCAGGCGAGATGTATCGAGTGAAATCTGTCCAAAGCAAGTCCGACGACACTAACGATGACGATGACGAGATGAATTTGGTGAGTAATGCGTATTATCAGTACCATACATACATATCTGTCACGCCTGTCTCCCATTAGGGTAGGCAGAAACAATGGAACGCCAAATGCTTCGATTCAAACAAACCTCTTTCGCTTCCTCCACATTCATCAATCTTTTCATACACGCTCACCATTGCTAGCATTATACCGTGTCAGGTTGACCTGCACGTGCTCAAGAAACTTTCTCCATCAGTCCAACTACTTAACCAAAATTCCCTATAATTCTTAAAGTTCACTGTTGTAAACAATTACATTGTTCGTGTCTTTGTCCCTTAATTAGCTCTGTGGAATCCATTACATATCTCGGTATTACATTAGATAGATTTCTAAACTTTAAGAATCATATTAGCGCTGTAGGTTGACTATTTACCTGGGGTAAGTTGACCTATGAAGTAAGGGCAAAATCTACGAGGAAATAGGATAAAAGACGCAAAAATGTATTACTCATTTTTTTTTATTGAAACCAATAGGCGATCTTCCGCCACTTCAATTAAACATCATAACATTCAAATTATAAGAATAAACAATCAGACGTTTAAACATTAGGCAATTTGCCTAATGTTTAAACAAAACTAAAAAACAAAAAAACAATAACAATAACAACTTTTTTTTTACTAAAAATAAACAAAGTACTTTCTTATTAATTATTTAAAACAAAACGAAACAACCTATAAACTTGAGCAATAATACAATAATCATATCTTACTAACGTAATTATATTTATTATTGTTATCAAATAATTTACTTTTTTTTGTCAAAGATAACTCGTTGATATGCTCTATTACATTTTTGGGTGTACTACCTCTATTAGTCTTTCTTTTGTATGTTTGCATGGACCTGACACAACAATTTTTGGATAAAATTTTAAAAATACCAACTTCATTTTATGTGTGGAATATCCATAATATTATGGGGCTAAAATTATTATTATTATAATCCCGGTCTCCCCTACAGGCCATTTAAAAATGTTAAGATGTTATTGCTTTGGACCTTTATAGTAGGTTTTATACACAATCAATTACAGTTTGGTGTAGTTGAGGATAGATAGATAGACACTCTTTATTGTTTCCACCAAAAGATTATAATAGTAAACTTATTATAAATATAAATAATTACAAGGATTTATTCGGATCACTTTTAACTATAGTCCGTCATTTAGGACATCGAATCCCAGTGTGTTCTAGCTTATTTCTGAATTTTCTAATTCATTTCTGTACCATTTGTCGTCAGATACAATCAATGGTGCAAGAAGAGGAAAATGGCCATTTCAAATGTTTGCTGTGCGCCAACAACAAGGACAGTGGTAAGTTTCATTATGTTTATTGCTCGTGACAGGTACTTGTTGAATAAGAACTATCGTGACTTATAGATAGATAGATACTCTTTATTGTTTCCTCTAACAGATTATGATCAGGGTTAGCTAGTGAATGGACTGTAATATCTTTGGCTGGTATAATTGCTGGGTAGATAGATAGATAGATAACCTTTATTACCAGTATTAAGAAAATAAAAAATTAAACAATAGAAAAAAAAAACAATTTTGCTGGTTGCTGGAGCCGCCTCAGCTGTTGCTACATATGTACAGCTCCAGCGAGATGTACCTATACAGCGCTGATTTTCAGGTGGCCCCTTAACTCCTTTACCTTTAGCATGCGTGTGGGTCGCCAATATCTATTTCCCGGAAGGGCTATATGAACTTTAGCCCGACAATGAATTAGGGACTACTCACACTTAATCAGCTCCATTCGCGTTTCGCTGAACGATTTTGGTCACACTTATACAGTTCCGCTTCTATCAGCCGCGTACGGCGTCGTAAGAATGAGAAAAGCCGTCATAGCGTGCCATCGCCGCTGAAACGCTTGTCTACTGCGTACGGCGTTGTATATGCTGCATTTCGTAAAAATAAAATAATTATAATTGCTATAAAATACGTCTGCACTCTTTAATCCTTGCGTACATAATGATTACAACAATAAATCAAATCAATGCAGAAACAATACAGGTCGCAACTTGTCGACAAGGAGTCGCGAAACATCCCTGTAAAGAGATGTTTCGCCGCGTTCGACGGTGAATGCGGCTGAACAGTGCTATAATATATATAAAAATAAATGAATAAAAATAAATAAATACGAATATACGGCTGATACCAAGGTTTTGAAGTGTCTGGAATATGACCGACGGCTCCATACCCACTTTGTGCAAGGCGATCACTGCAATCTTATTTTCTTTTGACACCCCATTCCATATTGTAATTTGATAATAAAAACGAAAAAATATGTAAAATGGCGCGAAATCGAAAGAAGTTTTTAAAATAATAAACGTGTTCCAAATTCAAAATAAATAAAAGGTTGAAAAAAAGAAAGTTTTTGTATCAGTATTTATGGCCAGACTAGTTACTTACGCATGCAATGTATTCTGACATATACTGTGTTTAATTATTTAACTATTTATTTAATTATTTATTTAAGTGTTTAATTGTTTAATGTAAACTCATATCCTCCTGTAATTTAAAAATGGAATGACCTTTTACTTCCAAACATGGCTACCAAGGAGGTAACTAATACAAGATTTTATTTAAATTTCGAACTGGCTTGCAAATAGAAAGCTGTTTACTGAAAAAAAAAAACAAAGGAACATTATGGCGCGTGAAAAATTATTATTGTTCGTTATTCATCATTGAACTTAAAAAGTAAAATTGTGTTTTTGATTTCCGCGCATTGCTTGAGAAAAGTACTATACAAGCCTTGGCCACAACTAGGCATTGATGGACTCAGGTATGTGTGCCTCGGCTACGCCTCGGCCCACATTTGCACGTTCGTCCATCAATGCCTCAGTTGCTGGCTGTTGCAGTAATGTAATATAGAAGGTATAAAGGAAATACTTGACTATTTAACCCGCAAAATTGTATGAAAAAGTTGAGCCTCTTTTCTAGAAGCACTTGTATAAAGAGAGTGGTTGTGACGTGTGATGGTGGTCGGCAGTGGAGCCGGTGGTGCTGCGTGCGGAACCGATGATGCAGCACCTGCGCGCGCAGCACGCCGCGCGCCTCTACATCTGCCGCGTGTGCGGCCGCCGGCTGCGGCGCCGCAACCACTACACCGCGCACCTAGGTACCGCCACACCACACGCCACCACGCCACCACGCCACCACGCCACCACGCCACCACACCGCCACCGACACACACCCACTCTAGCTCGCCTCTACATCTGCCGCGTGTGCGGCCGCCGGCTGCGGCGCCGCAACCACTACACCGCGCACCTAGGTACCGCCACACCACACGCCACCACGCCACCACGCCACCACGCCACCACGCCACCACACCGCCACCGACACACACCCACTCTAGCTCGCCTCTACATCTGCCGCGTGTGCGGCCGCCGGCTGCGGCGCCGCAACCACTACACCGCGCACCTAGGTACCGCCACACCACACGCCACCACGCCACCACGCCACCACGCCACCACGCCACCACACCGCCACCGACACACACCCACTCTAGCTCGCCTCTACATCTGCCGCGTGTGCGGCCGCCGGCTGCGGCGCCGCAACCACTACACCGCGCACCTAGGTACCGCCACACCACACGCCACCACGCCACCACGCCACCACGCCACCACGCCACCACACCGCCACCGACACACACCCACTCTAGCTCGCCTCTACATCTGCCGCGTGTGCGGCCGCCGGCTGCGGCGCCGCAACCACTACACCGCGCACCTAGGTACCGCCACACCACACGCCACCACGCCACCACGCCACCACGCCACCACGCCACCACGCCACCACACCGCCACCGACACACACCCACTCTAGCTCGCCTCTACATCTGCCGCGTGTGCGGCCGCCGGCTGCGGCGCCGCAACCACTACACCGCGCACCTAGGTACCGCCACACCACACGCCACCACGCCACCACGCCACCACGCCACCACGCCACCACGCCACCACACCGCCACCGACACACACCCACTCTAGCTCGCCTCTACATCTGCCGCGTGTGCGGCCGCCGGCTGCGGCGCCGCAACCACTACACCGCGCATTATACACTTCGTTTTTGCTTGTTTAGAAATACTTCATAATAATTTTAGTACAAATATTTTACAAGTTTTTTATACAAGTTAGAATGGTAAATAAGCTTACGCACCACCTGATGGTAAATGATAAACGTCGCTTATAGATATGAACAGTTTCATGGACATAATAGAGTATACTGTTTCGCCCAAGATACTCCCCATATGTTGCTTTTTCTGAGGACTCGGGTGTTATTCTTCTGTACAACTGAAACACAACCATGTGAACACAATTGCTCCACGGTAAAAACACGAATGGGAAAAGCAAACGACTTTTGTACAAAGTCTCCCTCTGGTAAACCTATATGAGTGATATTGTACTAATATTGTAATTTATTTTAAATATAATAGAGAGCGAATAAAAAACTTATCGGTTTTACATGTACCGAACAACCAGTTTTGCACCTTTATTAAAAAATAACATAAATAGTGGACAAGAATAGTTATATTGACATTAGCAAGTATTTATGAAAGTATGTAGTTGTATACAATACCGCTTGCACGGCTGAGAGTGTACGTCTTGCCGCAGCGGAGCACGTGGCGGGCGGCACGCGGGTGGCGGCCGCGCGGAGGCCGGCCGGCGGCGAGCGGCCGCACCGCTGCGCGCTCTGCGGCAAGACCTTCGCCTCCAAGTACACGCACCAGGCACACCTCAAGACGCACCAGGTCGCAACCGCTTCTTAATCGATACTTTATTTTATACCACTGAGGTGGCAAACAAGTATACGGCCCACCCGATGGTAAGCGGTCACCGTAGCCTATGAACTCCTGCAATACCAGGGGCATTACGTGCGCGTTACCTTCTTTTTTTCATTACTTTGTAATATAATGATAGTCCGAGGGATAAGCAACCTGAAATGGCAATGGCCAGTTCACATAGCTCGAAGAACCGACAACTAATGAAGAAGAAAGGTTCCTGAGTGGCGACCGTGTACGGGCAAACGCAGTGTAGAATGATCCTCCACTAGATGGAGTGACGACCTGAAATGCGTTGCAGGGAGTCAGTGTATGCAGGTGGCTCAGGACCGTTCCTTATGGCAGTCTATGGGGGAGGCCTATGTCCAGCAGTGGGCAAATAATGGCTGAAATGATGATGATGAAGATAATGATAAACACCTTAAGAAGATAATCTTCATACCTGCTGTCACGGTGGGAAAACAATGATACACAGAAATAGATACCTGCGTGGACCTTGAAATAATGAAGTCTTGATATCGCTGTGAGAGTATTCACTTGAAATACTTTTCTAAACGACTCGAGTGAACAACCGAGTTGAAAGTTTTTCGTTCAACTGTATTTTCCTATTAATTATAAGACTTATTATTATTCAAACCATTAACTGTCCACTGCTGAACGTAAGCTTCTCCTATAAGGAGAGTTTTGCCAGTAGTTGCTACGCTTGGCAGGCGGATTGGCGACCACAGTTAGGCTTTTAGAGATATTTTAAGAAGGACGCTGCTGCCCATTCTTCGCCGTACCTTAGTCGCCTCTTAGATACCTACGGGAAAGGAAGGGGTGGCCTATTCTATGCCGGGGCCACACGGCGAGACTTACTAAGTGATATAAAAATTAAATGGTGTCGGTTCCTTTTTAGATTAAAAAAATCTCCTTTTTTCACTTATTGATATTTGAATTTTAATAGAATTGGCACAAATACTAATATTTTTATATTGGTAAATATAAAATTACTGTCTAAAACAACTATAAATGAATTCCCCACTAGGAACGGCCGCGGCCGTTTAAGTGCGACCAATGCGGGAAGACGTTCCTCACGCAGCAGAATCTCAACCAACACGAGAAGACGCATCTCGGCATCAAAGATTTTATATGCAACATCTGTGGTGAGTACATTATGTAAACTTTATATGAGTGTACTTTTATCCGAACTTTATATATATATATATATATATATATATATATACAGAATTTTTTAAATTACTAATAGTTTTATTTGGTCAAGTTAAATTTGAAAATAAGGATTACATAAGAAACCGACTTATGAATGAATGATAAAAACTATGTGTATTACTAGTATAAAAAAAGCAATAGTTTAGTTTTTTGCCCATCCTTTTCAGCTGAATTTTTTGATTCATAAAAAAAAGTTTACTTGAATAAAATTTATTTTTGTTTATGTTATTTATTTACTAGTATTTCTTTTCTATTTTAATTCGTTAATTTGGAGATTTAGAATTGCATTACGGAGAGTCAGTGGATGCAGGTGGCTCAGGAGCGTTCTTTATAGCAGTCTATGGGGGAGACTTATGTCCAGCAGTGGACGTATTTTTTAAAGTGTTTTTTTTTTTTATACAACTTAGAACGGCAAACAAGCTGACGGTCCACCTGATGGAAAGTGGTAACCGTCGCCTATAAACATAAGCAGTAGCATGGACATAACAGAATATACTGTTTCGCCCATGATACCACCCATGCGTTGCCATTCCTGAGGACTCAGGTGTTATTCCTCCGTACCCAGTAAATTCACGCCATATCCCACCCTTCAAACCGAAACACAGCCATGCAAACACAACTGTTTCACGGTAGAAACACGAACACGTGTGCAGGCAAGGCGTTCGCGAGCCAGCACAACCTGGAGGTGCACGGCGTGACGCACAGCGGGCGGCGGCCCTTCGCCTGCGCGCGCTGCGGCAAGGCCTTCGCGCGCCGCCCCGAGCTGCGGGACCACGCGCGCGTCCACACAGGTCTACACCACTACACCACTACACCACTACACCACTACACCACTACACCACTACACCACTACACCACTACACCACTACACCACTACACACCAGCACACGCCGCCTCTACAGATATAAACATTGGAAGCCTCTTAGTAACAAGTAGAAATGAAGCCCAAGTACTCACATTTCATTTATTTTAGACATCTTCCTATTAAATCATACATTTACTTATTTTACTTTGTATTTGATATATAACAAATAACCAACTTCTGTTAATCCATTCACACTTATTTAACTAAAGCTTCTTTTGAACTTCTATCAACAGTAATTGTGATATATTTTATATAATGACCACTTGGTTCACTATACTTGTTCACTCTTGATACGTCAGGGAGCTCCGCTCTGTTCAACGGTTGGACAAGAAGTGCCTCCCCACCCAAATAACAATCTTTTATATCTACAGGGCCGAATTCGAGTGAACAAGTCAGTGAGACCACGTGTTCTTACAATTTCATTATTTTTTATTCAAGTATCATGACAATAAATAAGTATAAAATCAGTTAAAATATAAATTTGTGTTCTATATACAAGAATAATTTATTATCAAATTTGCTATAATAACAATTTTAACATTTGTGTATATTTAAAGTAGTTATTTTGATTTTCATTAATAAATATAGGTACACATTTTGACACAAGATGTTTAATGAAATTAATATAATTTAAAATAAATATATGTTCAAAATGAACCTTTTTTTACATATACTAACAATTGTATTTTTTTATAAAAAAGAAAATTTATAAACAATTGAAATAGACCAAAAAATATATAATATAGCAAGTCAACAGACGGCAATTTTATTTACAATTAATATAAATAATAATATATACAAACAAGAACCAGCATATTTTATAAACATATTAGTAGTCCTTCGAGCCGGATAGCTAACATGGCCATTCTGAAATGTACTTCGAGAGCGAAGTACATAATATATCACAGTACAATATCTATAAGATTTAATTTCCCTTACTTGTTAAGTTTAGAAAATTAGTATAATTAAGGAAATACGTGTCGCAGGCGAGCGGCCGTTTGCGTGCGAAATATGCGGCGCGGCGTTCGCGCAGCGCTCCAACCTGCACTCGCACCGCCGCGCCACGCACCTCGCCGACAAGCGCCACGCCTGCCACCTCTGCCCCAAGCGCTTCAAGCGCCGCAGGTCAGCCTCGCCACCGCTTTATATAGCTCTCTACGAGGTGTACGTGTACGTGTGCAGCGCTCCAACCTGCACTCGCACCGCCGCGCCACGCACCTCGCCGACAAGCGCCACGCCTGCCACCTCTGCCCCAAGCGCTTCAAGCGCCGCAGGTCAGCCTCGCCACCGCTTTATATAGCTCTCTACGAGGTGTACGTGTACGTGTGCAGCGCTCCAACCTGCACTCGCACCGCCGCGCCACGCACCTCGCCGACAAGCGCCACGCCTGCCACCTCTGCCCCAAGCGCTTCAAGCGCCGCAGGTCAGCCTCGCCACCGCTTTATATAGCTCTCTACGAGGTGTACGTGTACGTGTGCAGCGCTCCAACCTGCACTCGCACCGCCGCGCCACGCACCTCGCCGACAAGCGCCACGCCTGCCACCTCTGCCCCAAGCGCTTCAAGCGCCGCAGGTCAGCCTCGCCACCGCTTTATATAGCTCTCTACGAGGTGTACGTGTACGTGTGCAGCGCTCCAACCTGCACTCGCACCGCCGCGCCACGCACCTCGCCGACAAGCGCCACGCCTGCCACCTCTGCCCCAAGCGCTTCAAGCGCCGCAGGTCAGCCTCGCCACCGCTTTATATAGCTCTCTACGAGGTGTACGTGTACGTGTGCAGCGCTCCAACCTGCACTCGCACCGCCGCGCCACGCACCTCGCCGACAAGCGCCACGCCTGCCACCTCTGCCCCAAGCGCTTCAAGCGCCGCAGGTCAGCCTCGCCACCGCTTTATATAGCTCTCTACGAGGTGTACGTGTACGTGTGCAGCGCTCCAACCTGCACTCGCACCGCCGCGCCACGCACCTCGCCGACAAGCGCCACGCCTGCCACCTCTGCCCCAAGCGCTTCAAGCGCCGCAGGTCAGCCTCGCCACCGCTTTATATAGCTCTCTACGAGGTGTACGTGTACGTGTGCAGCGCTCCAACCTGCACTCGCACCGCCGCGCCACGCACCTCGCCGACAAGCGCCACGCCTGCCACCTCTGCCCCAAGCGCTTCAAGCGCCGCAGGTCAGCCTCGCCACCGCTTTATATAGCTCTCTACGAGGTGTACGTGTGCGGCGTGTTACGTCCATGCTACTGCTCATGTCTATAGGCGACGGTTAACACTTTCCATCAGGTGGGCCGTCAGCTTGTTTGCCATTTTAAGTTGTATAAAAAAAATGCGTACTACCACTCTCATTGCTAGCAATATACCCTGTTAAGTCCACCTCCACGCGGTCCCAATCCCACATATATTTATCACGATGGGCTAAGTGACCTGCATTTTCATTCTCACCTGTCATTCCTCACTGTTGCCCCGCCAGTGTATGCCGTTAGAGAAGGCGGGGTTACCATTCCATTATCATCCGTAAAAAAATACACATCTCTTATTTATTATATACAATGGCAGAGGCAGGTTCTTCAAAACAAAAACAGCTGATTCAAATAGAAGATTATCTTCGCACAAATAATCAATTGCAGCCATATAATATAATTGACAGTTCTCACGTTTTACACCGCGCAATGCATTTGAAATTTTACGATTCATACGACGCGCGATACCTACACCGCCCGGCCAATGGTGCTTCTTCGTAGGTATTTACATACGCTTGTGGCGTTGACATTATACAGCTAGTTTCACGCGTCGCGATAGAATTTTAATACGAATATTACATTGCTGCTTTTTAGTATGACATTTCATTTTAAAATATTATTATTACTTTATATTATAATATGATATAATACATGAATTTAAATGAAGAAAGCAATTTAAAAATTGTAATTTTCTGGAAAGAATTTCCATTTGTTTTCAATTCAGAATAATGATCTAAATTGGCTGTTTTTGTTTTTAACAACCTGTCCTTTACACCCTGTTTATACACTCGAACGTTTAATTCTTTTAATTTGCTATATTTAGAATATTAAAGACTTATAGTTTGTTAAATGGAAAATGTTGGTCGTAGTGCGAAAACGTGATTAACATCATTTACATTTACAGAAGGTACTGTAGTGTCTGTGATACATTTCTTGTGTTACTACCCTGTCTACTAATTAATATTTCTGTTAGAGTCGCGCTTTCTAGTGTTAAAAGTATTTAAACCATTTTTATTGTATAAGGTGTTACCGAAATATCTGCATTCCCTGCTACAGGACGTAGTATTAAATATATTATACATTACGATAAAAAAAGGAATTTCATGTCTAAGTATTATGAAATTATTATAAAATAAAATAAAGTCATGCTTAATTTTTTTCATTACATGTAAAACATCTTATAACTATACTTTACGTGCCTGTTTATTTATTTATCTTAAAATAACAAGACTTTATGTCAATTATTTATCTATTAAATGCAATGTGTATTATAATAACTTGGCATGTTTGAAAGTTCATCACCTTCTTTACAACACTTCTTTGTGTACACTAAGCAAATTGTTGCGCTAAATCAACTTGTTTTTGATACAAATATACGCGCGTTTACGTAATTTATTTGCGTTTTTTACTGAACACATTTGAAATATCATGTCCGGTTTGATCACAAACTGGATTATCGGAAGGTAGTATGTGTACAGTATGTCCCGTCAAAGGGAATGCAGGTAGTCGGGTAGGACGTGGTATGCGATGTGTCGGTTGGTCGGTTGGACGCAGGCTGCTGGAGTACCACGTGAAGGCGGCGCACACGGGCGAGCGGCCGCTGCGCTGCGCCGTGTGCCGCGCCAGCTTCGTGTACCCCGAGCACTACAAGAAGCACGCGCGCATCCACAGCGGCGAGAAGCCCTACGGCTGCGAGGTACGCCTTGCACACAGCTGCACTGCAGCCATAACATACCACTACACTTCACCGACGCAACGTAACACACTAACAGGTTTCACAAGTAGCAACAACGCGCTGCACGCAGAGCAACAAAAATAGCGAGTTAACAAAAAAAGTAAAGTTAAATAGAAGTTTGTAAAAAAATGAACAAACAAGAACAAAAAAATTATGAATAAAATTCATACTCATTTCTTATTGTAAAAAGTGACAAATTCATTTTAATGACAAATTAAACTTACGAGGTTTTCATTTTTACGAATAGAATGATTAGAGTTTACAATACGCTACAATTTTATTTTAAAATCTATTAAGATTCCATAATTAATTAATTCGTTCTGAAATTATCTCAGATTATTAAATTTTGGGGCGTATTCATATAACAAAATTGTTAGTGATGACGTCATATACTTTCAAATAATAGAATTAATAAACAAAATTTATTTTACATACTAAATAACAATGTTATTATAGAAATAACAAGGACGACACATGAACATAATATATGTAGTGCAAAATTAACAATTAATCTCTAAAGAAAAAAAATGTTACCTTTATTGATTTTGCTTTTTATTATATTTTTATATATATATATATATACTTTTATCTCTTTTTGTTATGTATGTCTTTCTGTTATATTATATACACAATATCTATCTATTAAACAATTGACTGTGTGCACGTATTAATATATAGGTGTGTGATATACGTATGTTTGCACGTGGCAGGTGTGCGGCAAGTCGTTCAACTCGCGCGACAACCGCAACACGCACCGGTTCGTGCACAGCGACAAGAAGCCGTACGAGTGCTTCACGTGCGGCGCCGGCTACATGCGCAAGCGCCAGCTGCTCGCGCACATGCAGTCCACGGTACGTACGCACGCACGCACGCACGCACGCACGCACGCACGCACACACGCACACACGCACACACGCACACACGCACACACGCACGCAGAGAAATCTATCTGCGAAAACACATTTCTTATTTCGGATCACCATTATTTAACTTGAAATGGCAAACAAGCTGACTTCCCACTTGATGAAGGAGGAGAGGGGATTAGTAGTAATGAGAATTAAGAATCCTATCGCTAGCAATATAAGGTATATCAGGTCGATTTCCATACGGTTCCCCCTACAGAATATTGTGATTAATTTTATTGTTAAATTAGTCACAATAGGCCAACTGATCTGCTTCATCCTCATCTATCATCTTTCACTGGTGCCCCGCTGGTGTATATCATTAGCGCAGGCGGGGTTATCATTCCATTATCATCCATTAAAAAAAAGCCTACCTGATGTGCCTCACAGTACCCGTCATGTGTTGCCCGTTCCTGGGGACTAAAATGCTATGACTCCGTACCCTGTAATTTCATTTGTCCTTCAAACCGAAACGACCGTGCATACATAGTTGGTTAACAGTGGAAATACGAATGCGAAGGAGATACCCAAGAAGATAATACTGAAAATATCCTGAAAAATAAAAATAATAATGTGAATGTAAAAAAGACTCCATTTTCCGCGCTTAGCCTCTCATTTGAGCCGTTGTGCGTATGAGTCGTGGCTAGTACAGCCAACCTAGCTCCGCCCAGAAGCGCAGAAGGTTCCTGGGTTCTTCACAGGCCTCACGGAGCGACCTCACCGTTCCGAGGATTTCTAAACGTTGATGGGCCACAGCCTCACATTCCAGGATTACGTGAGCAGCCGTTTCTTCAGCGTCGAAACAGCCTCGATATAGAGGGCTGTCTGTGGCTCCTATTGTGTATAAGTGTTTGTTTAATGGACAATGGCCCGTTATTATCCCTATCATTATTTTGAGGTTTTTTCTATCTAGATGTAAAAATAATAATAATTGTATTTATTATTGACCAGCTTTTTACCAGTTATTGCGTACGTGTGGATTTCAGAAATATGAAAACCAATTGACCACTTATATTCGGCATATAAAGATAAAAAAATAGATTAGATTTTAAATTAGATCTTCAGGAATACAACTGTGTTTACCGCATCCAATTTAGTGCAGTAGTTTTTACGTAATCACACAACAAACATACAGACAGAGAGTAAAACAAAATTTTTAAAAAATAATCCCCTATTTAGGTTCCACATATTTATTTTTCTTAATTATCGTAACGCAGTGTACGACGACCTCCTACTAGATGGAGTGACGACCTGAATTGCATTGCTGGGAGTCAGTGGATGCAGGTGGCTTAGGACCGTTCTTTATGGCGGTCTACGGGAGAGGCCTATGTCCACCAGTGGACAAATAATGGCTGAAATAATGATGATGATGATCTCCCGTGCACAGACATCGTTTAGTTACAATTTTTATTATATTAGTAATATTTTTTAATGTCTGTTTTTTTTATATTCCAGGGTCATGTTGCCGAGTCTATAGTAGTCAATCAGCCGAGGGTCATAAAGACTTTAGAAAATGTAAGTTATTTAACATATACAGTACATTATATTAGATATATCTAATTGTCTTCACGCCAAGTTTTTTTTTCTGGTGTAGGCACAGAGAACAAAGTGTCAAAAAAACCCCTTAACATAGTCTAGTCTGATATATACCGGTTCCTATGTCCTATACAGGGTGGAAGGGACAAGTTTAAAAAGAAAAGAAAATAGCTGATTCAGATCAACGCTCTGAAGAAGATGACCGATTATTTCCTCACCGGAAATGCACAACAGCCATATAATTAACGATTCTTAGTATTGACGCCGCGCAATGTATTTGAAATTTTACGATACACACGACGCGTGGTACGTAAGTATAGCGCGGTCAATGGCGCTTCTTCGTAGGTAGTTTCGTACACTTAGGGCGTTGACCTCACACAGCTGATTCCGCGCGTCGCGGTGGGATTGTAATACATTGCTGTTTTTTGCTATTTAAATGTATTTTACTATTATTATTAATATTATTATTTTTTAATATTATAAAATAATATCCTAGATTACATGATTTTATATGAAAAAAAAAAATAGGAATAAATTTGAAATTTTCCAGATTATTCTGAACTGAAAATCAATAGAAACTTAATTGATTTTCAGTTCAGAATAATGGCCTAAATTCATTGTTTCAATTTTTGCTAACATGTCCCTTACACCCTGTATATTGGATTCTTAAAAAAGTCCATTACCCATTTTAATGCTTCATTTATCAGGTTCAATACTGTTTATGCCGGATCTAACATTTCTAATGTTGGATTTCCAATAAAATGTCATCATTCATCATCCATTTTGATGTTGTTCACACAATAAAGGAGGTTTTTTTTTTTTGATGGGTGTAAATGGTATGGTAACCCCGTCTGCGCTAACGGGATACGCTGGCGGAGCACCAGTGAAGGGTGATAGATGAGAATGAAAACAGGCCAAGTTAGCCTATCATGAGGAATTCATCAGGAATTGACCATGATAGTTTCCAGGTCGAACCGCGAGGAGGTCGACCTGTTTGGGTATATTGCTAGCAATGGGATTCTCAGTCTCCATTACTAACAATCCTTTTCCCCCCAATAAAGGAGGTTAGCTTCCCCATTACTAGCTATTCACTGTCAAGTGAAACTCCACACGGTCCCGCTGAGAATTATCGTGATTAATTCCTTGTGAATTTATCACGATGTTGGATGTTACCTGACTGGACTTTATCCTCTTCTAATCTCCCTCACGACGGACCAACTAACCCACTTTCATTCTCACCTATCATTCCTCGCTGGTGTCCCGCCAGTGGACACCGATAGAGCAGGCGGGGCTACCATTTTAGTTCCATAAAAAAAAAACCATTTTCATTCAATAAAAAAAAGTCAGCAATACATTTTTTTTAAATTTTATTTATTCATAAACTATAATTTGTATTTAAATATCATAGTAGGTATAAAATTAATATATTCCATGTAAATATAAATTTTTGTTTATTGTTTGTCGCAGACCACCATGGAGGTTGTGAACGTTTCCACCCTGGAGACGGACGACAAATATGATAACAATGTGAGTATTTAGTCTCAAAATCTTTCGCAATACATTATTTATTTATTAAAATCCAAACGTATTTAATATCTATGGTCCAGGCATAGAATTCCCTTTCTTTCCCGTGGGTGTTGTAAGAGGCAACTAAGAAACTTATGGTAGAGGGATGGGCAGCGGCGTCCCTCTTAAAACATCTCTAAAGCTTATCTGCGGTTGCTAATCCGGCAGGCGCCAAGCATGGCAGCTACTTGCAAAACTCCCCTAGGTGGAGGTTTATGGTCAGCAGTGGATAGTTAAAGGCTGATATAACGATTGACATTTATATTTTATTACATATAGATAATATTATAATAATGAATATATATATATACAATATTTTAATGTAAATGGCGGATATAGCACTATAAACTCGCTTATAAACTATATAAAAATTTGAAAAAGTGCCCAGTTTGTGTTCCCGAGTCAATTTAGAAAAGTTCGGTACCCAAGTTAGCCTAATTGACAATACCCTGAATCCAGACATTTTTCATTCCATTCAGTAAATGTTTATATATTTTTTTTTGTTTTTTTTTTCCAGATATTATATGAAACGAAAGAAACTGAATTGGATGTGAACACCATAGGGACTGTGGGTAAGTGAAGTGTACAGATTTTTCTAAGTTAAATAATGCTGTTAGTTTGTTTTGAAAAGCTCTTTATGTATCATAGGTGATTGCAAATATGTGGTGAGATAATACTCACCAATGTTTATAATATATGTCAACTCTTATAATATAATTGAGTTTTAAAAACAAGCAGACAAACGAACATTTTGTTATATATATATTTATATGACGACGCTTGGTCACGGCACTCGCTCGCAAGATGCGCGCGCAGGTCGCGCAGGCGCTTTGTGATTGTTGGCTGCGCGCGCATACCGCGCACGGGCCAGCGACCAGAGACAGTGTTTTGTTAACTTGGACAATTTAAACATTTATTCGATTTATTGTGAAATACTTATTGCTTCTTTTTAATTATTGATTAAATATGTTTAAAAGATGAACCCTACCATCAATCCTACAAATATAATAAATTCCATTGTACGTAAGCCTAGGATTTACAATCGGCCATAATGCCAATCAGCTAAATGCTATTAGTATTATGTTCCATTGTACAATATTCTCAAGATTTGCAGGGAGTCATTGGATGCAGGTGGCTCAGGACCGTTCCTTATGGCAGTCTATGGGGGAGGCCTATGTCCAGCAGTGGACGGACAATGGCTGAAATGATAAATGACGATGCACAATATTCTTATTTAGTAATTAAATGATTTAATACCGTTTCCTATTTTTTTTTTTTTATATAGAAATTTAAATCTAAATTTATTTGAAGCAATGTATTGCCTAAAAATTCTTCCCTTCCTTTCCCGTGGGTGTCGTAAGAGGCGACTAAAGGTCTGAGTGGTCAAGAAATGAACATCAGTGTCTGTTTTAATACATCATTAAGTCCTAATTGCGGTTGCCAACTCGCCTGCTAAACGTGGCAACTACTGGCAAAACCCCCTCTAAGGGAGAAGCTTATATTCCGCTATAAAAAAAAAATATCCATATAAAAATTGTAAGCATTTTAAATATTAATTTTTTTTATGAATTTACCGCCCAGTTCAGAATGCAGTTTCAGTTGAGAACTGGAGAGAAACGCAATTGTTGCCTAAACAAGTCGTAATTACAAATTCCCCCCTTTTGAAGTCGGCTAATAAGTGATTAATGTTTTCAGATATATCGGAGGACGGCGGCACAACCAACTTGTTCATAACGGGCGATAAGAAAATCATACTGCAAGATGGTACGTAGAGTCCGCTCCTATATCCTTGGCATATTCAGTTAATTTGCCATCACTTGTGCTGTTTGGTAGACTGTACAGTCTGACACAAATATACATAAATATATATAGTTGTAAATAAGCTAAAGGGGTTTGAGTCGAATCCTAAGAACAAGGAATTACATAGAAGGAATGATAAAATAAAAACTGTAAATGATACGGTTGCCTCCTTCCTTCTTATGCAAATATAATTAGTAAAAAGAGGACGAGGGATACACCATCAGTTGCTATTTATCCCAATTCATAGCAGGCTAGTGTATAGAAAACGTTTGATATGTCAATTATTTGTCAATGACAAATTTTACATTACTAGATTATATATTCGACACAGTTTATGTAGAAAGTATGCAAGCAGATTGTATCTGAATTTGGTAGGGTTATATTGTGTATATATATATATATATATATATATATATATATATATATATATTCGTTGTAATATAATTATTAATATGTTTTGTTTCAGGCAAATCGTCAAACAATATAATAAATTTAATACCGGACGGTGAAGAGTCTTTGCTGACATTACGTGAGTGTTCACCATTTTTTATCAGGCTTCCTTTAGATGGATATATAGATACTCATTATTATTGTGTTCATAAGATTAATAATAGTAATAACTTTATTAAAAAAAGGCGACTGCATAATTTACTTTATTTTAATCAGTGATTACTACACTAGGCTCGTAGACCTGTCTCGTAGTAACCGGTGGATCAGTAGATTACAATAGTAAACTTATTAGAAATAAAAACAATTACATTAATTAATTCATTGAGCTTGTTACCGACGATAAAATCCATAAACAATGATTAAAATAATTTATTTTTTTAATATCCATTGACACATAGCTGTTGACAAATTTACCAGAGGCAGACTTTGTACAAAAGTCGATTGCTTAGGTACCTCTGTCCCATTCGTGTTTCAACCGTGACGCAGCTGTGTTTGCATGGCTGTGTATAAAATTTGTATAAATAAAAAAATCGTAATATTTTAATTTCGGCATTAATTTCAAAACAAAACGTCCAATTTTAATCATTCAAAGACCAAATATTATCTACGTAAACTGTACTTAGTGGTGAAATAATTTATTTTGATAAGGATTAACAGCATGAGTAAAATAAATGCATTTAAATGTAGTGCACAAAAAATTCAAGATTTTTAAATAAAAAAATGGTTGTTGTGCCTCACATACATCGACATAGATAGGTATAGTGTGTCGCGGACTTTTTTGTAGATATTTATAAGATCTACAATTAATTAGAACATTTTATGGTTTTATCTTTTATAGTTTTGGCAGCGTACGCAAAATAAGTAACTTTTCTGGTTGCTTTTTTACACCTTGTGTCCGAAAAACCCAAATATTTTACGGAATTTTTTTTTCCAAAATAAATTTTAGCCTATGTTACTCGTGGATAATGTAGCTTTCGAATGGTGAAAGAATTTTTAAAAACGGTCCAGTAGTTTTTGAGCCTATTCATTACAACCAAACAAACAAAGTTTTCCTCTTTATAATTTTTTTTTAATGGGTGAAAATGGTATGGTAACCCCGCCTGCGATAACGGGATACGCTGGCGGAGCACCAGTGAAGGGTGATAGATGAGAATGAAAACAGGCCAGTTAGCCCATCATGATGAATTCATCAGGAATTAACCATGATAGTTTCCAGGGGGAACCGCGAGGAGGTCGACCTGGTTGGGTATATTGCTAGCAATGGAATTCTCAGTCTTCATTACTAACAATCCCTTTCCCCCCTCTTTATAATGTTAGTGTAGATGATTGGTGAGAATACACTTAAAACACACCTGGAATTAAACATGATGGTTTCCATGGGCGAGGAGCTCGACCTGACAAGGTGTATTGCTAGCGCCTATTGCTATTGCTAGACCTCATTGCTAATAATACCTTTCCCCCATATGTATTAGGTATCTTTAAAAAGTATATATATATATATATATATATATATATATATATATATATATATATATATATATATATATATATATATATATATATATATATATATATATATATATATATATATATATATATATTCGTCCGTATATATTTATTTATTATTATATAAATAATAATAATAAATAAATATATACGGACAAATCACACAGAGTGAGCTAGCCCCAAAGTAAGTTCGAGACTTGTGTTATGGGATACTAACTCAACGGTACTATATTTATAATAGATACATATATAGATAAACATCCAAGACCCAGGACAATCAGGAAAAGATCGTTTTCCATCATGACCTGGCCGGGGATCGAACCCAGGGCATATATATATATATATATATATACACGATATATGTATACATGTTTATACATTTTACATGTCTATACACAACTCTTCAATCGAGTGATTCATTTTTTTTTTAATATTAATAATATATTTTTGTTTTGCAGAGGATATAAAATCAATAAAAGTGGACGGAGCGACCATAGAGGCCGATGTGGAGGGCCAGCCCGAGGTGATTAAATTATAAAAACTTAAATTTTATTTGTGAAAATGAAATGGTAACCCCGCTTACGGTATCGGTATATGCTGGCGGAGCAGTGAGGGATGATAGGTGAGGATGAAAGCAGGCCAGTCGGCCCATCGTGAACAACTTGACAAGAACCACAATGATTTTCAGTGCGAATCGCGTGGAGGTCGATCTGATACCCTATCAGGCCGTATATTGCCAGCAGTGGCGCTGTTAGTACCCTTCAATAACAGTCCCTTTATTATTATTATATTGTACTGTATTTTTTTAATGGAATGGTAACCTCGCCTGCGAAAAAAGCAGCATCTGAGTCCTCAGGAATGGGGTGTATCATAGGCGAAACAGTATACATAACAGAGTCCATGGTACTGCTCATGTCTATAGGCGACGGTTACCACTTTCCATCAGGTGGGCCGTCAGCTTGTTTGCCATTCTAAGTCGTATAAAAAAAAAAAGCAGGTCAGTTAGCCCATCGTGATGAATATACTTGGAATTCAGCACGATGGTTTCCACGGGGGACCACGGGGAGGTCGACCTGGTTGGGTAAATTGCTAGCAATAGGGCCCTTAATCTCCATTACTAACAATCCCCCCCCCCCCTATTATATTACTGTATTGAGACCGTCCACGTTCCAGATGATCGTGTCGGACGAGCACGGCAGCGTGATGCGCTTAATACAGATACAGTTGCCGGACGGCAAGACCGGCTGGGTGGCCATCAATAAACCGCTGGACGGCTCCCTCGCGTAGACAGCGAGCGGACACGCGGGCAACTGCTAGTGTCTAGTCTGTCACTGCCACTGATGTGCCGGATCGCTAAAGTCGTGGTTAATAAGTTTTCGTGAAAACGGTGATGAATATGGTGTCATCATTTTATCAGCCTATAACTGTCCACTGCTGGACATAAACCTTTAGAGTTTTGCCAGTAGTTGCCACGCTTGGCAGGCGGATTGGCAACCGCAGTTAGTCTTTAGAGATGTTTTAAGAGGGACGCTGCTGCCCGTCCCTTACGACACCCACGGTATTCTATGGCTACCCCTTAGCCATAGAATAGGCTACCCCTGGCCGGGACCACACAGTCTATTATTTAGAATTGCATATAAAGTAAAAAGATTTTAAGGATATTTGTTGTTCCTTTACGGAAAAAACTATTGAACGGATTCTAATGGAATTTGCTACATGGATAAGTAATATCCTAATTTAAGGCATAAAATATTTTATATTAATTCACGCGAACGAAGCCGCGGGATACAGTTTGTAATAATATACGTAATTAAATTTAAAAATATAAAAGATTTGTTCAAGTTTTGCCAAAAAGTAACAGACAAGCCTTTTTCGGATATTCACGATATTTTCGAATATCCGGCACATCATTAGTTAGTATTATAAATACTAAAGCGAATGAATATTAGGAGAGAATGATATTTGTAGAATGTATAATGTAAACGTTTATTAATACAGTAATAATAGTAAAGAAGGAGAACAATAGAAAATATAAAAAAGGTATAATATTAAGACGACATGTGTGCCGTGGCGCCAACAACAATATTCCTCCATATACGCATGCGCGGCCTGCGCGCGCATAGGTACAACAAACAAGCTGCGTGCGCCACCGACCGTATTACATATATATATATATATATAAAATATTAACACTTGTCTGCGTGTTTTTACAAAATTAATAAAGTATATAATTTTATAAGTATGCTACAATACTACTCGTGTGAGGGTGCCGCCCTCTAGTGTCAAGTGTTTACAGACCGCTATCGTTATACGAAAGCATACAGGGTACAGAGGAATAACACCTGAGTTCTCGGGAATAGCAACGCATGGAGGGGGGGGGGGGGGGTATCATGGGCGAAACAGTACACTCTGTTATGTCCATGGTACTGCTCATGTGTATAGGCGACGGTTACCACTTTCCATCAGGTGGGCAGTTAGTTTGTTTACCATTCTAAGTTGTATAAAAAAAAGCATCTAACGTGGCCTGATGCAGTGCTGTGCTTCTTACCATACATTATAGAGTATTGTTTTATTATATTACGAGAATCAGGTATATAAAATATATCAGTTATGAAATCAAAATCCTTAGGGTCCTTTTAAGGGAGTGTTCCACCAGGGAAACTGGTAACATTTTGTCAAAAGTCGGAAAACGACAAATAATTTTAGTTCAGTTATGTTTGTGCAGATGCGTATGCGCACAGCGGCTGCGCCCGCGCCGTCTATTTTTAAGAATAAACAGTGTACTTAAAACAGTTGTCGGTTTCACTCGTTCTTTGCCTATTTAACAAGTTACTATACATAGTTTAACTGAAAACACTTCCTTTAAATGATGCTATAAATTTTCAAATTCACTTTAAATTCTTTATACATGTGTAAACACGAATAACTGTGTCGATTCTGAGGCGACATTTCTTTAAACCTATCTTTAAAAACTCCCTATGAAGCTGGCATAGTCAGTATATGTAGGTGTACTGAAGCTTCAACAAAAATTAGAATGAAAAAAAAAAATTTTTTGTTTTCTATGACAGCGAAATCTTTACTATAAGGACCAATATAAATTAGATTTCCAATATATTTAAGTTAAAATTAATATAAATTTAGTTCCTAATGGTTAATAAAACTAATTTAGCGAAACTCTCAAATTGAGAGGTAAGTTTAAAGTAATGCCACTTCAAAATCAGTCCAAACTTGTTATGCGAGTCATTGTTGTTATTTTGGGCATTGTACAAATACTTGTATACATTGTATATTTATATCTAATGTAAATAAATATTTTTACAATCATATATCGTTGAATATTTTAATTATCTTCTTAAACTAATTCTTAGTTTTCCTGTAAAAATCTAAGATTTTCATAAAATAGAGTGGTCGTGTTTCGGTTTAACCCTTTGAGTGCTGACGAGCGCCATCACGCTCGTGCGCATTGCAGCTAAAAGTGCCACGAGCGTCATAGCGCTCGTGAAATCAGTCGCTGTTTAGCTTGCTGTAAAAAAAAAAATATTAAGATTGGATAATTTTTAGAGGAGATACAGTTTTTTTAGTGACAAGGGTAAATGACATCAACACGACAAAGATTTCTTTGGCATTTTTAAGCAGATATGAGTAAAAATCAATGGCATATGACCCTTTTAGGGTTAAGAGAATGGAATATATAATTGAAATTATATAGTTCAAAGGTACAATGTCCTAATTCTCAGCAATGGTAAAGTTGTACCTCTGGTGTCACAGTATATTCTCAGATGACCATAGTTTATTTATTTATTATTATTTCTCACCACAAACAATTAAGGACTTAATATCTATAACTTGCCAAATACTTTGACAATATTATTTGTGGGAGCTGGTGCCTGTACTAGGTGTTAAACCTGTATTACAAATCACCAGGACCCTTACCTCGAGCAGTACAAATTATACAAATGAAAACTTTCACAAAAAAGATGATGGTGAGTACATAAAAAAAAAAATCAGATATAATGCGTATACAAAATAAATAGCTTTCGATATGTATAACTTTAAAACAAAAACAAATCATATGCTAGGTTTAATAAGAATGCATTAAAATATAAGTAAAAAATGTGTGACACGAGTAGGTATGTTATAGAGTGTATGTTATATATGTGTAATTGTATCTGAACGTGTGAGTATATATGAATTCGTTCGGTGTGTGTGTACATGTATGTATGAGTGTAAGGGCGCGTATGTGAGTGTATAGTTCTGTTCATTTATTTATTTATTCATCAATAAATGACAGCAAAATGTCATTTTTATATACGATGATTGCAGCTTTCCATCAGTTGGAGCTTTGACTTATGAAAATTTTAAGTTTCTCTCCGCTATAATGACACCTATGACATTATAGATTTTGATGATCACTTACCATCAGGCGGGTCGTATGTTCGTTTGAAATCATCGAAGTATTAAGTAAAAACAGTTGACAACACTAAAGGTAAAATTTACTATGAAACTAAGAACTATTAAATTTTGTATTCGTTTGAACGTATATTTAAAATTTGACTGCGTATACAAAAATGTCTACAAAGTAATACGAAATAAGGCAATTGGAGACCTTTATGCGTCGTTGCCGTTGTTTTAAATTGCCTGTATTTTGTGTCCAATATATTATAGAACTTTATGAATTTCAGTTATGAATGATATTTAAAAGTTATTAGAGAAACTTGCATATTTTAAACACTCAGACATGGCTGTTTGAATTTAGTTTCTTTGCTTCGTCATATTTTTTATATATTTTTAATTACTTATCACTGTTGACATTTCTGACATATGACATCTAGACGATTGTCAATTTGTCAAAAATCTTGAAAAGTGAAAACGTCAATAGCTTATTATAGGCCATTTTGATCATTCCATTTTTTTATAATGATTTAATATTAAAATTATTGATTTTTAGCACAAAGGCGTCTGTACATAATACAAAGGAGATATTAAATATTACGTATAACATGTATATATAGTGATAAAATATGCCATAGTAACTATAAGTTGTGAATTTTGGTGATAGTATTACTATTAAAGATAACTCGGTAAGTTTACGATCAAGTGACGTGTAATACATATAATATTTTTCTATTAGCCTTCACGCCGAATAGCGTTCATAATCAACACAACTACGCATGCTTCCAAATGGCAGCTATATGAAAATCCTGATAGTAATATAAACATTAACATTTGTTTTATTCTAATAATAAATTCCTTATACAGATATTTAGATATTGTATTTTATGTAAATATCTCTTGATTGTACTAGCACAATAACTGGTTTATGTGAGAGGTGTCACTGTAAAGTTAAATATATTTCAATTTGGTGGACGGGATAAACTGTATTTTTAATGTTATTTAACTTTCATTCTGACTTAATATTAAATTTTTTTTTTATAGTTTGTTTCAATAGAACTTAGTGAAAATGTAAAGACACAAATAATTGATCCAACCAGAATCTACTGATGTTCGAAAGTAATACAAATAAAATATAAATTGATTGTCTGTTCATAGGTGAAGAGTGCAACGTCGCCAAGCGACTTTAAAATTTTGTTGGTGATAAGATGATTAAACAAGAGAGCACAGGAAGTACAATTATATTAAGAGCAATTGGAGTTCTATGGTGTCTACGTACCCCTAGTTTAGAGGTATGAGTAATGTAATTTGTTTTTTAATTGTGGTCGAATTATTTTATTATTTAACTGTAATTGTATGTAATTTTCTTGTTTTTTGGTAATATTTACATAAAATTCTAAACTTGTAAAATTGATTTGCTGCATTATCAGTAAGTAACATCGGCTAAATACTATATTATTTTCAAAAGTTCTATCTACCCATGCATAGCCTGGCCGTATCACTAGTTATTCATATAATCTAATTCAAAATTTTCAGATTAGATAAAGCATCAAAGATGTCTATAAAAGAAGAAGAGCCTGATATAAAAATTAAAATTAAAGTCGAGGATGGTGCTCGTAGCCCTAAAAGGAAGGATCCCACTTCTTTCTTGCCAGACGAACCAATGACTTATGAGATCAAACAGAAGAAGAAGAAGAAGAAAAAGAAACATCAAGAGGATCCATTTAAAGATATAGACGAGAAGGCGCCAGTGACTATAACCAGAGATATCAGTGCCAGTGAGAATGAAGTAGTTCCCCCTGTGGATATAAAGTTAGATCCAGAGGTTAATATTAAGGTTGAGAATATTGAGGTGGAGTTAGATTTTAATGATGTAAGTATCAAAATAATATTTCTATAGCGGAATACCATATATCATCAACATACTGTTCATCCCTTAGATGTCATAAGGGGTGACTAAGGGAACAAGGCCAACTAAGGTGATCCAGATGGGACAATTTAGGAAAAAAAATTCATAATGGTATTATGTTTGGGTATCTGGGTTGTGTATATCTATACACATATATTGTTTGTTGTCAGATTTTATTTCCTAATGGTTGAAAATGGTATGGCATCTCTGACTGCGCTTTTGGAATATACTGGTGGAGCACCAGTGAGAGATGATAGATGAGGATGGAAACAGATCAGTTGGCCCACTGTGATAATGTAACAAGAATTAATTACAATGGTTTCCAGGGGAATGGTATGATGTAGACCTTGTGCTGTGTAATGATAAGCTGTGACCTTCATAATTTACATACATATTTACCTATTTCAGTTTGCTAACAATGGAAGCTTAATGGTAGAAGGTCCTCAAAGTGAAGACAGTCAGGAGCCAGAGGTGAAAATTGAGCAGCAGAACCATGAAGCGGTGCTGCTGACCTTCGAAAGTATAATCAATGACAAATCTGTATTCGGATACAGTCAGGGTGTGGAATCTGCACCGTCCCACGTATGCAAAGTGTGTCATCTAGTCTTTCAATCGCCCAAAACCCTACGCATGCATCAAAAGAGAAAGCACAAAGTGTTTAGAAAATATTTTAAGCATATATGTGATTACTGTGGAATGTCCTATGAAATGAAGAATAGTCTAGTCGCGCATATTAAAAGGAAACACGGGCCGAATGCAATACCTGATGATAGCGAGGAGCGGACATGTGATGTCTGCGCATTAGTTTTCAAAGGTATGACCAGGCTACGGATGCATATGAGAAGGAAACATGGCTCCTTTGAGGAGTCCTTCAAGCACATATGCGAGGAGTGTGGCCTGACCTACGACAAGTACAGAAGTCTAATAGTACACATGCAGAGGAAACACTCCACTATAAAGAAGCCCATAGTCGAACAGTGGTTCAACTGTCCTTTTTGCCCGAAGATTTTCAGTAAACGGGAGACTTACGCGCGCCACGTCCAAAGGAAGCACAAAGTGCCGGATGAGGATGGCGTCAAAGAAGAAATGAAGGAGGGAGCATTAGAAAACTCTATGAATGAGAAAACAGGTGAGTTCACTTGCAAAGAGTGCCCTTTAGTTTTCTCTTCAATTAATTTCCTCAAACTACATATGAGGAGGAAGCACAACGCTTTAAAGGAAGATTTTAGACTTAAGTGTAGGATTTGTAATTTGTCATACGATAAAATTGAGAGCCTGAAAAGGCACGTACGAAGAAAACACGACAAAGGCTCACACTGTGAAGTGTGCAATAAGCAATTTGATACAAGGGAACTCTATCTGAACCATTCCCACGTGAAGGCGATCAAGGAATGTTCTATTTGCGGGTTGATATTCGCTTCCCAGGGCGGTCTCGCTAAGCATTTAAGGTGCACGCACAAATTGGACTTACCCAAGACTGTCTTTTGTAATATGTGCAATGAAGGTTTCCACGATAAGAGGCAACTCAAACCTCACTTCATGAAAGTGCACCTGAACGTGTCCTACACTTGTAAATACTGTAAAAAGGTGTTTAAAGCGAAAGAGAGTTACCGGCGGCACGTGCTGTTCAAGCATCCAGTGAGCAATTTGACCCATAGTCAAATGCAAAAATGTGAACAATGTCCCGCAACATTCCTCGACGAGTTCGAGTTGTGCCGTCACTTTAACACCGCGCACAGGATACGGGATCCCTCTGAGCCGTATTTCGATGTGAAAAAGGAGGAATTAGATATAAAAGACCCCTTTCAATGCACAAAATGCTCCGAGTCCTATCCTGCATGGGATCAACTGAGGTTGCACTTCGAGCAGAATCACCATATGTCTGAAGATACACAGTGCCAGATTTGTGGTGAAATATTGCCAACTAGTAAACTGCAGATGCATATAAAGAATCAGCACACAGACGTCGAAGTTGTTAGATGTAAGTACTGCCAATTCACGACCACAAACCGAGCGAGTATGACCCAGCATATGTTGCGGCATAAAAATGCGACAACGCTGCACTGTGATTACTCTGGGTGTCGCTATAAAACGTACTATGAAGGTGCTATGGAGAAGCACAAGCAGAAACACGCCGATCAGGGTGTCAAGTTGCAATGCACGAAGTGTCCATTCCAAACTATGAACAAGTACATCCTGAAATACCATGAGGAAGCGCATATGACGGGAAAGAAGAGGTATACATGCGACCAGTGCGACTATGCCACCATATTGCCAGCGAATTTAGTCCAACATAAATATAAGCATTCCGCAGAGAAACGATTCAAGTGCGAGGTGTGTCCGTTCGCGACCAAGTACAACACTTCGTTGCGGTTCCACGTCAAAAAGAAACACTGTGATCTCCCAACTATCAGCTGAGCTGTTAAATGGTTTTGTTTTTTATTAAAGTATTTGGTGTTATAGTAGTTTTTTATCATTTTATTGCCAGTATAAATAATTAAGGTAAATAAAACTGTCCCCAGAAGTGGTGGTAACATATGAGAGTACTGTCCTTACGTCTATGGATATGGATATATTATTCAGGGACATTATGACTTTTTTTTTTGATGGGTGAAAATGGTATGATAACCCCGCCTGCGCTAACGGGATACGCTGGCGGAGCACCAGTGAAGGGTGGTAGATGAGAATGAAAACAGGCCAGTTAGCCCATCATGATGAATTCATCGGGAATTAACCATGATAGTTTCCAGGGGGAACCGCGAGGAGGTCGACCTGATTGGGTATATTACTAGCAATGGGATTCTCAGTCTCCATTACTAACAATCCCTTTCCCTCCAACATTATGACATTATTACAAGAATCAATATGAACTAATTTTCTAATAAATTTAATTCAAAATTATTAAATTTTATTGGTTCATAAAATAGAAATAAGTTCCCTGCCTGTTTTCCTTAAACACTACAGTGACCTTTTTCAAAAAAGATTTATTAAGGTTTCTTTAGGGCGATAATGCACATTTGACATCCCTAATGTTGCACGCGTCCATAGGTTACAGTGACCGTTTACAATAAGGCGGCCTTTATTTAAATGGGTGATAATGAAATACTAACCCCGCCTGCGCTATCGGTATACATTGGCAGGGCACCAGTGATAGATGATAGATGACGATGATAAGGCAGGTCAATTAGCCCATCGTGACAAATTCAACGATATATTAGTCATGATGATTTTCAGGGGGAACCGCGTGGAGGTCGACCTGGTAGGGTATATTTATAATAATGGGGACTAACCTCCTCATTACTAACAATCCCTTTCCCCCGATTGTAGGACCATAAAACGGGCTATACGCTACCTTCGCGGTATAAAAAATAACTGCAGAGTAATTAGCTTAAGAGATAGGTTCAAAGAAATGGTGTCTCAGAATTAAACCTGTTGTCACTCCATCAGGTAGTAAAAGATTGTAATAGACTGCCAGCCTGTTTGTCATTCCCAATCTCCGCCGTTACATTCTATATAAATTTTACACACAATTATCAACCTTCTGTCATAAGATTAAGAATCATCTTAGAGAGGATCGGACGATGAAATTTTTTTTTAATGGGCAATAATGGAATGGTAACCCCGCCTGCGCTAATGGTATACGCCGGCGGGGCATAAGTGATGGATGATAGGTGAAAATGAAAAGGCAGATCAGTTAGCTCATCGTGATGAAAACACCTAGAATTTAACATGATGGTTTCCAGGGGGAACCACGTGGAGGTCGACCAGACAGCGTATATTACTAGCTATATAGATAGATAATCTTTGTTTTCTCCAAAAGATTACAATAATAAACTTATTATAATTATAAACAATTACAAGAAATAATCACAATGAGCAATCAATGGCCGACCTTATCGCTAAGAGCGATCTCTTCTAGGCAACCTTTGGATGGAGAGGAGTTTGAAATTAATTAATTAATTTAAATGATCGACTTTATGATGTAATTGGTCTAGTTTTAGATTATATAGACAGAGTGTCTCCATACAAATGTTTCGAGAAAAGCGGGTCAACATTTTCATACAATTTCGTCACAATTTGGCATGAAAAATTTAAAATACATTACACACACTGGTAAACAATGAACATTTGGGGGCACAATCCAGACTTGAAGTATTGTTAGAGACTGTAGCGGAGAATAATCGAAACTAAAAATAATATAAACTAAAAATAATATAAACATTCTAATAATTCATTAATTCCGCTCCGCTTATAAACATTGCGGCAACACTGTAAGCGAAGTGCATGAAGATAGCGGCCGACTGCGGCCGCAACGTTTTGGCAGCGCGGCTAACTTGGCGGATACTCTCCAATGCGCGTATTACGTATGCACTGTGTTTGCCTATATTTAAATTATTATTTGTATAATCTCACCTATATTGTATTGTCATTGTTTATGTGCTTGTGGGCTACGCAAATAAATCATTTTATTGTCTAAAAACTGCATTCGCTCCGTGTATGCGTAAGTTCATTTTTTACCGTATACCCACCATCAGCAAACATTAGTGAACCTCGGATAAATACAGAGTTGGTGAGGGCCTAGGAGTCATCAAAGGGCCCTACACCACAGAGACAATAATAGAGAATTGAACGCGGAGAGTTTTTTTTTAATGGGTGATAATAGAATGGCAACCCCACCCGCACTATCGGTATACACCGGCGGGGTACCAGTGAAGGATGATAGGTACAGATGGGCAAAGCACCGGGTTTAAACCCGGTGCTTTGGTAAAAACCCAATAAACACCCATAAACTCCCATAATCACCCAAAAAAATAGGTTTTTACGTATTTTTTTGAAAATATGTAAGTAATACCAATAAATTATTTTTATAAATTGTATTGATCAATTCTACAATATTAAATAAAACGTTAACTAATAATATTTCAGGAAATTTTAAAAATCTATATATAATAAAATGAAAGTAATTAATTTTCAGTGTTTTCATGTTGCAGTTGATCAACATGTTGGCCTTTTGCTTCCCGTAGATACTTTAAAATTTCTTCATAACACCTCGTTCGCACACATGGCCGTATATATTTAAATTCTTGAGCCACTAACAGTCCGAAATACTCATTTCTTTTATCCTCTTCTCCATAAATTAAGCATTTAGAACAGTTTGTTTCTTCTTTCAGTAAATTTTCTTTTACTTTATCCTCGTTTTTTTCTTTGTTGCGACGACGCTGGGTAAATCATCTGGACACTGGGTCTCACTATCGCCAAATATATTTGGAGATCGGCTTCGGCTACGGCTTGGCAGACATTTTTTTCTTTCTACAATTTTAAATTAAATTTATTAGAATAAATGCTTCGAACACACGCGATCTAAGTACCTTTTGTGTTTATTATACCTTACCTACCTAGGTATAAAAAGAGTACTTACGTAGATTTTCTTTTATTAACTGTTTTATACGAAGATCTTGATCTCTCAAATTAGCATCCATTTTACTTCCAGTGATTATCAACTAAATTAATAATCCACAAAGTATTAAATAACGTTTTTATGAAATATTTAGCACAAAAACAATACCCTTTAAATATCGATCGTCAGTAACTGTGGCTGACTTACCTATATTCTAGCAAGCAGGACTGCCAGATGTGAAGGGGAAAACCCCAATAAATTGTTGCATGTGACTGATGATGTGAGCATGTTCGTTTCATAATAAAAATGTTGCCAGGTAACCAAAAAGTCGTATGTTTTTGTGCGAATTACGATCATAATCTTTACGATCGTACATTAAAAAATAGACAAATAATAGTATGAGTACGATTTAAATCGTATATCTGTCAACCCTGCTAGCAAGACAGCGACAAAATCACGTTGCATAACAATGTAGCCCAAGCTTATATCTTATGAAATATACGGAAGAGATACGGACTTAGAAAAAACAGAAATGTTGTTCTTTGTGGAAGTCATTGATGAAATTCTATGTATTTTAGCCCGCAAACTTTCTTCAAACAAAAACAGCGCCATCTAGTATCGAGTTCTGTAATTATCTCTTTGTTTATGGATTTGAAGTAAGACCGCCACGCATGCAATACATTATGACTGGGGATTCCCCTATTCGTCGACGCTGAATATGAGGCGACGACAATCACTGTCAAACGTGTTCACTATTACTCTGACTCTGGTAACGTGACTTCCTGGTGACGTGTTAGGTAGGAAAAGCAGTAAAAAAGTGCATATTAAGGAGCAGATTTGAAATAATATTTATACTTAACAAGAAATAATTAAAGGTAAGTGGATTTTTGAATGATACAATTATATCATGATCACTTAACAATTTTAACTTAAAATTAGATGTATTATTACAAGCTTTTATTTAGCTTGCGTTATGTAAATAAAAGTATGTAGGTATGTTCGTATGTTGATGCAATTATCCTCAATCCTCAACCGACTGGGATAAAATTTTCCATACACGTTTATTTTGGATGATAGTGCATAGTTAGCTGAGAGTCGTCATTGGATAATAATGGTGGATAGCCTAAGATGTGTACTAGATATTTATTTTTAACATAATATGCGTAAGTACCTAATCGAATTAAAGAAGTTGCTGAGAAAAATACAGAACAATACGATAATAAACTAGCGTCTGCGTTTAATCCTCCGAGGAGATGTAATTTTACAAAGGTTTTTTGTATTTATTTTATTATTTTTTTAATAAATTTATTGTAAATAACAAGAAATAATCATTGTAAAAAAATAGGCACTCTATTGTTGAATTTTCGTCAGACCAACTAATCATCGTTCATTTTTTTAGGTTCAATGGGGAGACCTAAAGATTTACGCATATGGGAGCACTACCGTACTTTACCAAACAAGTCTGTTTCTTGCAAGCTTTGTAATAAGGTCTACAAATTCAGTAATGCTGCCAAAATGCTTCAACATCTTATCACTTGTCCAAAATCTCCAGAAACATTAAAAGACTCTATGAAACTTATAAAAGATAGCTCGTCCAAAACCAAAATGTCTGGACTGTCAGAGATAGAGACAAATGATTCTTTTATAAGCCCCTCGTCGTCTGCTAACACTACAATAAATGCTGAGTTTCAAGACACCGATGATCATATAAAAACAGAATTAGCGAGAGCTATATTTGTAACAGGGACGCCATTATCGATGGTGCAACATCCTTTATGGATACAATTTTTCGAAAAATTGCAACCAAAATTTAAAATACCTTCACGTAAAGCTTTAGCGACAAAATACTTAGATAAAATATATAGAGAAATGCGTTTTGAGTTAAATGAGGAACTAAATGCTTGTAGTTACTTACACCTTCAGTGCGATGGCTGGTCTAATTTAAGAAATGAAGGAATAATAAACTTTCTTATATCAAAACCTCAACCTGCATACGTTAAAAGTTTGAATACAGAAAGTAATCCTCACACTAGTGAATACCTTAGCCAAGAAGTTGAAAAAGTAATGAAAGTGTATGGAGCAAATAAGTTTCTTGTACTTATTGGCGATAACGCTAGAAATATACAAAAGGCATTCGAATTAACAAAACTCAAATATCCACATGTTGTTCCTCTCGGTTGCTGTGCACATATCCTTAACTTGTTGTGCCAAGATATTGTAAAGATACAAGAAGTAACTGTGTTTATTATGCAAGCCATAAATATAATAAAAACTGTTAAAAGGAGTCAACGATTAAGTTCCTTGTTGATAAAATCAAGGCAGGGTGAAGATTCTACACAAACACTAAAATTGCCTTGTGCTACAAGATGGGGAAGTCATGTTACTTCGTTAAAAAGTTTGAAAGCAAATAAGATAGCTTTGCAAATATTAACAGTTAGAGAAGATGTGGTAATTTCAAGAGATATTAAAGATTTAATTCTAAGTGATGATTTCTGGACGAAGACAGGGGAATGTATAAGTATTTTGGAACCAGTCACTGAAAGCATATTTTACTTAGAGAGCGACCAGAATCGTTTGCATCGCACATACATTACATTTAGAGATGTACAAGCTAAGATACGTTTTGCATTAAATGAGATTTCGACATTGAGCGAAGAAAGCAAACAGCAGATTCTAACATCAGTATCTTCAAGATGCAATATGGCAATGAGGCCAATAACTGACCTACTTCATTCTCACCTATCATTGATAGGTGAGAATGAAGTAGGTCAGTTAGCCCATCGTGACGAATTCAACAAGAATTGTTCACGATATTTTCCAGGGGGAACCACGTGGAGTTCGACCTAATAGAGCATATTGCTAGCGATAGGGCTGTCAAACTCCATTGCTAACAATCCCTTTTCCGTGAACACGGAGAGTTCATTTACTGTCTTTTTTTTTATAAAAATTTAAATGGACACACAAAAAACACGAAATTTAATTGTAGCAGTTATTTTGATTTAAATACAAAACTGCTGAATTGATTTTGCTAAAAATTTTATGGGAGAATCTGTAAGTTTATCCATATTACTTACTGAAAGGATTATCAAACAATTTTACCAAATCCGTTTAAAGTTAACGGAGTTATCAGGTAATAGACATAAAAAAATGAATTGAGAATCTCCTTTTTATTAAATTTAATTGAAAAATTAATGATTAATTTTCAAGCTTTCTCCGTAGCTGTGAACCTGTGAACGTTGGTGTAAATCTACTAAAATTTTAAAGAGGAAAGATTTGAATGGAAAATAACATTATTAATGAGTAATATGGGTTATTTATTATTTTTGATAATTCTTTGTAATCTTATTAAGCCAAGCCAGATGACTAGTGTTTAAAAAAAATAAACTAGAAATAACTTTCTAGTTCAATGGTCATAATAAATGATAAATATTTTCATTAGGACACAAGAGAGGGCGTTGATCACTATTAAATTATTCAGCTGTCAAATTGGTCGAGCTTTGTTTTCGAATGTTTTATCCCTTTTTATCGCATTTTATGAACTAATAATGTAGAAAAAGACAGAAACGGGCAACTAATGAATGTTGTACAAGCTGACGGAAAAGAAGGATCGCGAATAAAAACCACATCGCTTTTGTTCAAAAGTGTAAACATTGTTGTGTGTTGGTTTTCCATACATTGATGTGATATATTAGTTTTATTCAGCTAATCCTACGATGGACCTCCTGAGTCTACCAGTTGTTGTGGTGGAAAAAATATTTTCATATCTGACTTACGATGAAATTGCAAAGAATAGATTGGTAAGTGCCTTTTGTACATTTATTTATAGTAATGAGCAATTGTAACCCTACATGTTATATAAAATCGACTCTAATAATTTACCTGACGTCAGTCGAAAGTATGTTCTAGGTGTACTCATAAAATCTAGAGCCCTTCAAAGTATTCTATAACTACAATATACTTAACACTATATTTTCGCAAAATATTTAAAAATCTAGCAGTCATATTAACATGGTGTAATTTTATTAAATAAGTACTTAGAAAATTAATAAAAGATTATCATTAACTGTACTTTAATTAGTATAATATTTACTTGTCTCGTATTTTGATTAAATAACACTTACAGCCATGACAATACACTGCCTTTAAATTGTTAAAACATTACAAAAGTTTTGAAAACTATTTGGCTTTAGAAATCTGTTTTCAATTACAATATTTATACATGGGTTTCAAATTATGAAAAACCTTCAATCTTTTACAAAAATTATATGTATGCTAAATTTCGTAATGATTGGCTGAGTTTTTAAGTCTCCATGAGGTAAACAAACAAACTCACTTTCACATTTGTAATATTAGTAAGGATGACTAATTTATGTAAAAAAATAATCTGTTTTTTTTATACAACTTTGAATAGCAAACAAGCTGACGGCCCACCTGATGGAAAGTGGTAACCGTTGCCTAAAGACATGAGCAGTACCATGGACATAACAGAGTATACTGTTTCGCCCATGATACCCCCCATGCGTTGCCATTCCTGAGGATTTAGGTGTTATTCCTCTGTACCCAGTAAATTCACGCTATATCCCACCCTTCAAACCGAAACACAGCCATGCAAACACAACTGCTTCACGGTTGAAACACGAATGAGACAGAGGTACCCAAGTAGTCGACGTTTGTACAAAGTCTCCCTCCGGTATTAGTATGAATACAATAAGGGCATAGAGACTATTTAGGAATATATGTATTATGTTTATTTTTAAAATAGATTTGAATGAGAAATGAAAAATATAATTTATTTTATATTGTCCTTTTTTATACTTTAATATTATGTAGTAACTTTGATATTTATTTGGAAATAAATAGGTTCTCTGATGACTAATTTAGACTCAAAGAATAATATGTGAAGTCCATGCAGTTATCAATATATTATTATGTTTATTTGTGTTGTATTCTCTATGTTTTAGTTTGTTGAAAACATCAAAGTATATGTTTAAAAAATTAACTAAACATCTCTTTGACAATAAGCTAATTATCCTTTATAATAATTACATATATTTTACAATTTTGTATGTGCTGTAGGCTGTGTTAACACAAATCATGCACTTTAGGTTTTTTTTCCAATTCTTCTGGAGTATATATAAAACCTACCGTTGTATCTGTATGTTATATGGTATGTATGTATAGTTTCGGCTGTAGAACCTGTTTTGGTCACTAATTGATATGTAATCCCTTTCCCCCTCACTAATCAGTGTTCAATTTAAAATTGCAGGTGTCAAAAGCATTCAATGACATATGCACCCGTCTGTTGAACCGTGGCTTCCTCATGATCGAGCGGAGGCATGCGCTCGCCCTTAAGAACGTCAAAGCGCAACTGCCTAGGAGGGAGTCGGAACGCAGGTAATAAATACTCATTTCTCATCAAAACCTCACCGGAAATCTCCAGTGAGATTATTACTATACCCTGGATGTTTTGTAGAATGATTGCATTTTGTTCAGTAAAAAAGTGACATCAATCTTGAATACACATACTGATTCAACGTGGTTTTTTTAATTACATTAAATTGAAAATGTTTGAATTTAGAATGCTAAATCATGTGTATGCATTGTTCTGAAGTAACAACTAATTGACACATAATCCTGTTCTAAATTCAACTATTTAAAATTAATATATCTTCTAAACAATACATTGTCCATTACGATGTTTCATTTAAAAAAAATAATAGACTATAGTACATTACTACAGCGGCCAGTGACTGAGGCATTGATGGACGAACGTGGAAATGTGGGCCGAGGCGTAGCGGAGGCACACAGCGGAGGCATACATGAGTCCATCAATGCCTAGTTGTGGCCAAGGCTTGTATAGTACTTTTCTCAAACAATGCGCGGAAATCAAAAACACAATTTTACTTTCTATGTTCAATGACGAATATCGAACAATAATAATTTTTCACGCGCCATAATGATCCTTTGTTTTTTTTTCAATAAACAGCTTTTTACTTACAAGCCAGTTCGAAATTTAAACAAAACCTTTTATTAGTTACCTCCTTGGTAGCCATGTTTCGAAGTAAAAGGTCATTCCATTTTTAAATTACAGGACAGTTATGAGTTTACATAGTAATTTATCTGGCCGCAAAACACGACAGATATGGTATTTCATACAAATTTTGTCGGCCGCTGCCCGCATGTATCTGGCCAGTACGGCAATTTTGATTTATCTCTAAGAAGATTGTCAAAATAATGCTTACATTTCCAAGCATGTTTGAGAAAAAATATATTTTTGTAGGACAAAACTAAATTGTTTAAGATAAAAAAATATTAAATTTAAATCATATTTATTCAAACAGACATTTTACAAGCATTTTTAAATTGTCATTCCATTTCAAATCTACTGCAAGGTTTAGAAAGTTGTTATCTGTTGAGAAAACCCGCAAGAAACGCAGTTACTCTCATCTCATCTCTCATCATCATCATCTCAAATCTCTGTTAACATATATATAAGTTTTATAAGGGATAAGGCTAGGCGATAAGGTCGCCCATTGTTTTCTCATTGTGATTATTTCTTGTAATTGTTTATATTTGTAATAAGTTAACTATTGTAATCTTTTGGAGGAAACAATAAAGATATATATATATATATATATATATATATATATATATATATATATATATTTCTCAAACATGCTTGGAAGTGTGAGCATTATTTTGACAATCTTCTTCGAGATAAATCAAAATTGCCGTACTGGCCAGATACATGCGGGCAGCGGCCGGCTAAAGTTGTATGAAAATCCATATTCTGTCGTGTTTTGCGGCCAGATAAATGACTATGTAAATATATGTATATATAGTACATTACTGCAGCGGCTAGCAACTGAGGCATTAATGGACGAACGTGGATATGTGGTCCGAGGCGCAGCCGAGGCACATATACGTGAGTCCTATATATATATATATATATATATATATATATATATATATATATATATATATATATATATATATGTGTTTCAGATACCACCCACTGTCGCGCCACTGCGACATCCTCACGTCGATAGAGACGAGAATATCAATGCTCAACATGACATACTCCAAGTTTATAGACAGTGGCATGTGCTGCTTCATACCGGGGCGGGTGAGTGCACGCACACTGATGTTACGAGCTATAGCATACGACCCGACGGATAGTGATTTTTTTTTTAATGGATGGTAACCCCGTTTGCGCATCGGTATACGCTGGGGGGAGGGGGGGGGGCGACGGCCAGTGTTTTTTTTTTCAAAGGGTGGTAATGGAATATTGACCCCACCGGCATTAATGATATACACTAGTGGGATACCAGTGAGGTGTTGATAGATGGGAATGGAAGCAGGTCAGTTAACTAATCGTGATGAATATGCTTGGAATTCAGCATGATGGTTTCCAGGGTGGGCGGGGGGGACCACAGGAAGGTCGACCTGGTTGTGTATGTTGCTAACAATGAGGCCATTAGTCTCTATTATTATCAATCTTTCAACTGATCGATATATGTCAAGTTACAACACTGGTTGATGGTCGTTGAAAACTACAGATTTAAAATGTTTCGTATCTCGATATATTTCCTAAGTGTATTATTAATTTAACACTTGAAAAATGTTAAGTGTCCAATAAAAGATGTATTAAAATATCCAGATTTTAAAATATACTAAGAGTATTTACTTTTTTGGCAAAAAAAAAAGCTTTCTGTTCAATAACACCGTAGACACAGTAGTCCCCTATACAGTGTTAGAATAGCGAATGTGAAGTGTAGAGGTGAGTGCGGCGGCGCAGGTGATCGACGAGATGCGGCGCGTGCTGGCGCTGGTGGAGACGCAGCAGACGCCGCCGCGCGCGCACGAGGCGCTGCAGGAGCTGCGCGACATCTCCAGCATGGCCATCGAGCACTTCGACGACCAGGTGTCGCCCGCGCTGCGGCAGCGGCTGCAGGCGCGCCAGCCGCCGCCCCGCCCGCCGCCAGGTGCGCCTCCACCACGCCACACCACCACACCACCACACCACCACACCACCACACTAGCAGCCTAGCACTGCGACGACCAGGTGTAGCCCGCGCTGCGGCAGCGACTGCAGGCGCGCCAGCCGCCGCCCCGCCCGCCGCCAGGTGCGCCTCCACCACGGCACACCACCACACCACCACACCACCACACCACCACACTAGCAGCCTAGCACTGCGACGACCAGGTGTAGCCCGCGCTGCGGCAGCGACTGCAGGCGCGCCAGCCGCCGCCCCGCCCGCCGCCAGGTGCGCCTCCACCACGGCACACCACCACACCACCACACCACCACACCACCACACTAGCAGCCTAGCACTGCGACGACCAGGTGTCGCCCGCGCTGCGGCAGCGGCTGCAGGCGCGCCAGCCGCCGCCCCGCCCGCCGCCAGGTGCGCCTCCACCACGCCACACCACCACACCACCACACCACCACACCACCACACTAGCAGCCTAGCACTGCGACGACCAGGTGTAGCCCGCGCTGCGGCAGCGGCTGCAGGCGCGCCAGCCGCCGCCCCGCCCGCCGCCAGGTGCGCCTCCACCACGCCACACCACCACACCACCACACCACCACACCACCACACCACCACACCACCACACTAGCAGCCTAGCACTGCGACGACCAGGTGTCGCCCGCGCTGCGGCAGCGGATGCAGGCGCGCCAGCCGCCGCCCCGCCCGCCGCCAGGTGCGCCTCCACCACGCCACACCACCACACCACCACACCACCACACCACCACACCACCACACCACCACACCACCACACTAGCAGCCTAGCACTGCGACGACCAGGTGTCGCCCGCGCTGCGGCAGCGGCTGCAGGCGCGCCAGCCGCCGCCCCGCCCGCCGCCAGGTGCGCCTCCACCACGCCACACCACCACACCACCACACCACCACACTAGCAGCCTAGCACTGCGACGACCAGGTGTCGCCCGCGCTGCGGCAGCGGCTGCAGGCGCGCCAGCCGCCGCCCCGCCCGCCGCCAGGTGCGCCTCCACCACGCCACACCACCACAACACCACACCACCACACCACCACACCACCACACTAGCAGCCTAGCACTGCGACGACCAGGTGTCGCCCGCGCTGCGGCAGCGGCTGCAGGCGCGCCAGCCGCCGCCCCGCCCGCCGCCAGGTGCGCCTCCACCACGCCACACCACCACACCACCACACCACCACACCACCACACTAGCAGCCTAGCACTGCGACGACCAGGTGTCACCCGCGCTGCGGCAGCGGCTGCAGGCGCGCCAGCCGCCGCCCCGCCCGCCGCCAGGTGCGCCTCCACCACGCCACACCACCACACCACCACACCACCACACCACCACACCACCACACTAGCAGCCTAGCACTGCGACGACCAGGTGTAGCCCGCGCTGCGGCAGCGGCTGCAGGCGCGCCAGCCGCCGCCCCGCCCGCCGCCCGGTGCGCCTCCACCACGCCACACCACCACACCACCACACCACCACACCACCACACCACCACACCACCACACTAGCAGCCTAGCACTGCGACGACCAGGTGTCGCCCGCGCTGCGGCAGCGGCTGCAGGCGCGCCAGCCGCCGCCCCGCCCGCCGCCAGGTGCGCCTCCACCACGCCACACCACCACACCACCACACCACCACACTAGCAGCCTAGCACTGCGACGACCAGGTGTAGCCCGCGCTGCGGCAGCGGCTGCAGGCGCGCCAGCCGCCGCCCCGCCCGCCGCCAGGTGCGCCTCCACCACGCCACACCACCACACCACCACACCACCACACCACCACACCACCACACCACCACACCACCACACTAGCAGCCTAGCACTGCGACGACCAGGTGTCGCCCGCGCTGCGGCAGCGGCTGCAGGCGCGCCAGCCGCCGCCCCGCCCGCCGCCAGGTGCGCCTCACCACACCACCACACTACCACACCACCACACCACCACACCACCACACTAGCAGCCTAGCACTGCGACGACCAGGTGTCGCCCGCGCTGCGGCAGCGGCTGCAGGCGCGCCAGCCGCCGCCCCGCCCGCCGCCAGGTGCGCCTCCACCACGCCACACCACCACACCACCACACCACCACACCACCACACCACCACACCACCACACCACCACACTAGCAGCCTAGCACTGCGACGACCAGGTGTCGCCCGCGCTGCGGCAGCGGCTGCAGGCGCGCCAGCCGCCGCCCCGCCCGCCGCCAGGTGCGCCTCCACCACGCCACACCACCACACCACCACACCACCACACCACCACACCACCACACCACCACACCACCACACTAGCAGCCTAGCACTGCGACGACCAGGTGTCGCCCGCGCTGCGGCAGCGGCTGCAGGCGCGCCAGCCGCCGCCCCGCCCGCCGCCAGGTGCGCCTCCACCACGCCACACCACCACACCACCACACCACCACACCACCACACCACCACACCACCACACCACCACACCACCACACCACCACACTAGCAGCCTAGCACTGCGACGACCAGGTGTCGCCCGCGCTGCGGCAGCGGACGTATTATGTATATGTGTATGTGTATGTGTGTGTGTGTGTGTGTGTGTGTGTATATATATATACTAGCTGACTCGGCAAACGTTGTTTTACCATATACATTATTTTTAGAACTATACATGAAAATTTATCCTACTACAATTATTATATTGGATTGCCATCTTGCACCGTATAAAAATCGCGATTAAAAAACAGGAGTTGATCGTAAAACGGTGAAAATTTGAGGTTGTATGTATTATTCAATGTTAAATCTTAATAAAATAAAAATGGAAAAATTTGTCAAAAAAATAAAAAAAAAATTTTTTGGGGAGTGTCATCCTTATCATTGAGGGGTATGAAAAATAGATGTTGGCCGATTCTCAGACCTAGCCGATATGCACATAAAATTTTATAAAAATCGGTAAAGCCTTTTCGGAGGAGTTTGGTAACAAACAGTGTGACACGAGAATTTTATATATAAGATTATATATATATATATATATATATATATATATATATATATATATATATATATATATATATATATATATATATATATATATATATATATATATATATATATATATATATATATATATATATATATATATATAAAATGTATATGTGTATGTTTGTATTATTTTTATGTATTATTTATTTTAATATTTATGTGTTTACAGGGTTTATGTATTTTGTGTAATTTATAATGTTTAGTTTGTATTATTCTTTGTGTGTATACATATCTTATGAATGTGTTTATACGAGGTTTGTCCGGAAAGTACGTATAAAAGTTTTTTAAAAATTTTATTTTACAATTATTCAGGTAAATCAATTTTATCCCCTTCAAAGTACTCCCCCTGTGACATAATGCACTTGTGCCAACGCCGTTTCCACTGTGAGAAGGCTCCTTGAAAGTCCTCTGGTTGTAGGTTTCTCAGCTGCCCCGTCGTAGCTTTTTTTATCTCATTTATGTCCCCCAAATGCCGCCCCCGAAGTACCAATTTGGTTTTTGGGAACAAGAAGAAGTCACACGGGGCCAAATCCGGCGAATAGGGGGTGTTCGGTCACCGTAATGGAATTTTTACTCAAAAACTCACGGAACGATCTTGGCGCAAATTTTTTTCATTTGAAGTTCGTTTCTTAGAATTTCGTGGACCACGGTTTTGCCCAAATTAAGCTCTTCAGCCACCTGTCTGACCGTTAAACGACGGTCCCCATTAACACAAGTTCGAATTCTTTCCACGTTTTCGTCGGAATGTGAAGTGGAAGGACGTCCTGAACGTGGGTCATCTTGAACGCTTTCTCGGCCCTCTCTGAATCTTTTTAGCCACTTGTGGACGGTTGGTTCCTTCACAGCATCATCCCCATAAACTGTTCTGAGATCGGCAAAAATTTCACGGCCATTCTTGCCGAGTTTCGAGAGAAACTTGATTACGACGCGCTGCTCTTCAACGGAAGCGGGCTCCATGCCGACGGGGTTTCGTTAAGAGGTAACTTCACAGATGGCGTGACAAGCCAGTTCGCACCGCACGGCGGTCAGACCAGAACTGAAGCATTGTTAGGGACATAAGGAAGGGGTCCTGCGCTTACCTGGCCTCCCCACTCCTCTTTCTCGCATTCCAGAACACTTTTATACGAACTTTCCGGACAGACCTCGTACAATGTACGCAGATCGCATGACTGTCTATTTTTATTTTTTAAAATAACATCCAATTTACATGAAAAGGTTTTGCTGGAAGAAATCTCTTATTAGAGATAAGCTCGCCTTTGTACATTAACTGTTGTTATTGTTAATATTGGTTAACGATTGGTCGACAGGCGTGCTGGCGCCGCTGGCCGTCAGGCAGGAGATGCTGCAGCTGCGACGCCAGTCCGTGCTCAACGCGAAGCTGTCGCTCTACCTCGCCGGACAGTACAGCAAGTTCTACAAACGGGTGATGTGTCTTTTATTTATTTATTTATTTATTACTACCTGCAGTTAACAGATGATCAAACTCCAACACAGTACAGGTAATTACAACTTGTACGTACATGACAAGTTATTTACAATAATTAATACTAATCATCTATACTAATATTATAAAGAGGAAAGATTTGTATTTTTGTGTGTATGTATGTTTGTAATGAATAAACTCAAAAACTACTTTGCCGATTACAAAAATTCTTTCATCGTTAGAAAGCTACATTCACCCTGAGTAACATAGGCTATATTTATTGCTAGAAAAAAATTGGGATTCTTACTAAAACTTTAGTAACGTAACTGAAGGTGTAAAAAAATGCGATACTATATCTTTCGTCGCGTGCGCTGCGGAAACTATTGGTGATAGAACAAAAGTATGTTCTACAATATTGAAGAAAATATCACTAACTACAAAAAACTTCGCGACACTATATGTCCAACTATTATCGTTATGTCACAATAACCACTTTTTAAAATGTTGTATAAATGTCCACCCGTGCGAAGCCGGGGCGGGCCGCTAGTTAACTATAAAAGATTACGATCATATTTAATTTACGATAATCATATATATTACAATGTCAAAATCAAGAAAAATGTCAATATATACATTAGGGCAGTGTTTCCCAACAATCCAAACATTTTTTGTGCCATGCCCCACTTGAATGTTTACTATATTTATTATTTTTTTTACTTGGTGCAATAAAGTGTAGAATAAATATTTATTTATTTATTTATTTAAGAAGTTCTTAAGAAAAAAAATGAGAACAATGGCGGACTTACCCCATAAAAGTGATGAGTTTTTCTTTTATATTTGTTACATAATAAGTTGTTTTGGACAATTCTGTTTTTAATCTTAAGGGGTATGTTTTTATACAACTTAGAATGGCAAATAAGCTGACGGCCCACCTGATGGAAAGTGGTAACCGTCGCCTATAGACATGAGCAGTGTCATGGACATAACAGCCGCATGGCTGTGTTTCGGTTTGAAGGGTGGGATATGGCGTGAATTTACTGGGTACAAAGGAATAACACCCGAGTCCTCAGGAATGGCAACGCATGGGGGGGGGGGGGTATACCTTGTGTCACGAGAAACGAGTCTACGTACATCTGGGGACACCATTCAGAATATACAGACCAGACTCAATTCAGAAATATATTCCTAAATTGGTCCGACCGAGAATCGAACCCGTGGCGTCGTTTATGCAAAGCAATTTTAATTAGCTCGCATAAAATGTGAAGGGAATTTTTGAATTTAGAACGTACCTATTTTTACTTATAAGCAATTATATTTTTTAAATAAATTATAACCAGCCAGTCTCGCATATATAAAAACTTTTTCTCGCAATACTTTTTAAGTGGCCTGGTAGGGTAATCGTCAATGTTCTGAACTTCTTTTGGGGCTTTGCGGTAGCGACTCAAGTGGTAGTACTAAGCAGTATAATTATGTTTGCGATGGTAAATCTATTTTTTTTATACAACTTAGAATGGCAAACAAGTTGACGGTCCACCTGATGGAAAGTGGTAACCGTCGCCTATACACATGAGCAGTACCATGAACATAACAGAGTATACTGTTTCGCCCATGACACCCCCCATGCGTTGCCATTCCATTGCCATCTAGTTGTTTAATAATAATATTAATGCCCCTTACAGACGTTAGACTACAAGAAACTGGCTTGGAGGCAAAGCAAAACCATTAGGAGGCTGTTGAACAAGCAGCGAGAACAGGACGCGGCTATAGGTTGGTACTAACTTATTAGATTTTCAAAATTTATAGATGAAACATATTACCAGAATTTTTAGTTAAACTTTCAGGTATACTGAGTAAACAGCTTCCAATTTATTGCTGTAATTTTTTTCTTGATGTCAGAACAAACATATAGACAGACAGCCTGTCTGGCAAAATTCCTAAAAAATATTGTTTTGATTTCCATTGCTCTTGTAAAGTTTATTCATATTAATTTGTCTGGGCACGAAAAAGAATGGTGACATGTTTTTTCTTACACATATGTCTTTCTTCTTTAAATGGATCTAACATCCATAAATAATACTAATATATAATAATATAAAATACCAGTTGCCATTGCGGCTTACCCAGACCTAAGGGACTACAGATATCTTAAACCGCGCGATATCGTTAAGGTAACACAAAGGATCTATGAAGTGATGGTATAAGGCGGGGGGAAGCACAAAAGATCCCGATGGTGGCCGTGCAACGGCCTAGCTGACTCCATATGTGAATATAAGTTTTCGAAAATACATGTTTCAATTTTACATTTGTTCCCAAAACTTTACACTAAGATTCCCTGTGTCGTGAAGTCTTGGGCCCTCATCTACTTACAAAACTTATTAACTAATATATAAACTACTAACTAATATATAAACTACTAACTAATATATAAACTTTAGATACATAATTAAGATTTATACACATTTTTACACATATCTTGTCACACACACACACACACACACACACACACACACACACACACACACACACACACACACACACACACACACACACACACGCACACGCACACGCACACGCACACGCACACGCACACGCACACGCACACGCACACGCACACACATAAATACACTTATACATTTACCAAAATTATGTTGCATGAATATATGTTGCAGCGGACCTGAAGCGCCGCATCGAAGAGTGTGACATAAAGTACAGCGAGCTCACGCACACCAACCAGGCGGCGGGAGGGAAGGCCTTGCCCCGTGAGTATGCTATTACTTATTGTTTTTTTTTTTAATTGGTGATAATGGAATGGTACCCCGCCTGCGCTATCGGTATACACCGGCGGGGCACCAGGGAGAGATGATAAGTGACGCTGGGAACTACTTATGGTTATTACTTTCTATAGGTGAAGGAAAATTTGCCATGTAGGTCCCGGCATAGAATAGGCCACCGCTTCCTTTCCCGTGGGTGTCGTAAGAGGCGACTAAGAAAGGGCGAGCTTTTGATGGAGAGATGGGCAGCAGCGTCCGTCTTAAAACATCATTAAAAGTCAAACTGCTGTTGCCAACCCGCCTGCCAAGCGTGGCAACTACTGGTAAAAACCTTCTTATGGGGAAGGCTATGTTTAGAAGTGGACAGTTTTTGTTCAAGGATGTTAATGGAATGGTAACCCGTCTGCGCTATCGGTATACACTGGCTGGACACCAGCGAGGGATGATAGGTGAGGATGAAGCAGGTCAGTTAGCCCATCGTGACGAATTCAACAAGAATTGTTCACGATGGTTTCCAGGGGGAACCACGTGGAGGTCGACCTAATAAGGCATATTGCTAGCAATGGAGCTGTCAAACTCCACTGCTAACAATCCTTTTCCCCCCGCAACTTTCCATCAGGTGGGCGGTCAGCTAACCATTCCATAGTTGCATACATGATGATGGATGACTGACGACCCTGTCGTGTTGCTTACAGCGGGTGTGGGTGCAAGTGATGCGGTTGGTGTCCCGGGCAGTGGAGGGGGAGTGGGGGCCGGTCTGCGTCACTTCGGCAGCCAGATCAAGCTCGACCTGTCCGTGCTGCCCATCGGCACCGGCAAGCGGTCGCAGGGGAAGCGTAAGTACACGCAGCTTGTTACACAACCATATATACACACATGTACACGCAAAAGTTCACACACACATTCACGCACACGTACATGCGCACGCGCACGCTCACGCACACGCACACGCTCGCGCATGATCTTGCGTACACACACACATATAATATTTTCCTATAATAAATATTATAAACGTGATAGTTTGTGGCGAAGTATAGATTTATTTATTTATTTATTCATTAGTACACATATGTGTACATGGCGGACTTAATGCTAAAAGCATTCTCTCCCAGTCTACCATAGGGAAGTGTCAGAATACTTGAATGCGGTACTAGTAATTATTGATATACATACATACTAAAATTAAATATATAAACGAATAAATATATATGAATAACAAATATACTTACACATATATGATATATACTATATTATACACGAAATTAAGAATAATATAAAGTACTTACTGCTCGGATAAAGTACGAGTATAAAAGTGAGCGTTAAAATTTTTTTTTAAAAGACTGTTTAGTCGGTGGTCTCTTAATGGCATCAGGATTTAGATAAATGTTTGTTAATTTTTCTTTCAAAAGCTATTGAATGGATTTGAATGAAATTTGATACCTACATGGATAGGTTATGCGACAGTTAGGTATCTGTACTAGAAAACCTATTTTAATTTCTGTAAGCATGCATTTGGCAACACGCTTCCCGTCTCCTACAGGACACGCTCAGCCTAGTTTAGAGACCAATCTTAAACTTGGAACTTATAAAAACATATTTTAGTAATAAATACATTTTTACATTTACATAACTTTTTTGATGGGTTAAAATGGTATGGTAGCCCCGCCTGCGCTAACGCGATACCCTGGCGGAGCACCAGTGAAGGGTGATAGGTGAGAATGAAAACAGGCCAGTTAGCCCATCGTGATGATTCATCAAGAATTAACCATGATAGTTTCCAGGGAGAACCGCGAGGAGGTAGACCTGGTTGGCTATATTGCTAGCAATGGGATTCTCAGTCTCCATTACTAACAATCCCTTTCCCCCTAAAGGACATATCATAACTTAGTACATACGATACTTTATTTACTGTGCTAAGCAAATTTTATGGATATTCTTACTTAAACACTTTTTAAATATTAATTTTTTACATACATACATATCCGTTACGCCTGTCTCCTATTAGTTTAGGCAGAAACATTGGAACGCCAAATGCAGAGGAACCGAAAGAGATCTGTTTGAATAAAAGAACTAATAGAAGATTTACTTATTATTTAATCGATTTTGGATTTGTATTACTGTTTACAACATCAGGAAACTGATGTTGTAAACAGTAACAGACTGTCTTATGGGTGGATCAATTATTTGTTTGTTTATATTTTCGTTAACTTCTATTGCAACAATCCACAATTGTTTTGCTAAATGTTTATACGTACAACGCCATCTATCGGTGTTATTATTATTGTCGCTAGATGGCGTTATTTATAATTAAACAGCATACCACCTGTTTATAAAAATAGCGGTAAATTCTAAAAATATGTCTCCATTTCGTTTTCCCTTTATATATTATTATATCTATTTCTATATCTAAGTTTTTTTTTTATATATTTTTTCCAGTGTTACCAAACATCAAACCGCGTAAGCCCCTAATCAAGCTGCCGAGCCTGTCAGACGAGCCCCCCGCTAAACAGATGAAGATGGACGATGCCCCATCCACATCACAGAGCCCCCGCAGCAAATCCCTGTCGACCATCGCCAAGATACGGGGCATCACCAACGAGATCCGCCACCTCACGAACTTGACCAATTTCGAGGGTAAACTAAAACGCACCTTAAGTCTAACGTCGTTGGATCTAATTGAAAGTGAATGCAAAAAACAGAAGTTAGATTAAGTTTTTTCAAGTAATACCTAGACATTAATGATATATAACGTTTTGTCCATATTGTTATTTTGAATCGTATTATTAGAGCTTCATTTGGGGTATAAGAGAAATAAAGCCAAGCGCTTTATATATTGTGTATGACTATAAAGAGATATCGTTTAAACATTGCTGGGTTTTTTAATTCCTTTTTAACTATGCTTTTGTAATCTGTTGTTTACATACCTTTATATTTATGGTGGTAAAATAACGTAAGGAATTTAAGTGAATGGCATACTGTAAGTTATAGTGTGGTGATGGTAAAAATTAAATGAAGTCATGGGAAAAATACTATATTCTAACATACTGGTTACTTTTTCACCTTTAACAGTATTTTTTTTTTATTCTGTTATAAAGTTATTGAACATATTTGTCCAAACGTCAAAGGGGAAACGATGAAATGGACAAAGGTATAATGGTTGGATTAGTTTTATGTATTAAGCAGTCGAAATAACCGGCTTTATTGGTAAAAATAAAGGAGTTTTCTCCCGCGAACGTTCAGGATATAATGAGCTCCCTGCTGAGGTTTTCCTTAGAGATTACAGTATGAAGTTCTTCAGAAAGGTTTCTTCAAGGTCGGCTACGCGCGCGAAATACACTTGGTATTACAGGCGTTCACACGCTACAGTGACCGCTTACCATCAGGTGAGCCGTGTACTAAAAAAAAAGTATATTAATTCGTAAGCAATAAGTACATATGTATGTTTATATTTTATCATAGAAAATAGGTCTCGATTAAAATTAAAAAATCGAATGTGGAAAATATTAATCCAATTACTTGCAACACTGAAATGAAGGCGTTATTTTAATAAAAAAAATTAGAATGAATTATAAACATGCGTGTATAAAATGTATGTATTTATATTATGTATATATACATACTTAAATATATATTATGTATTGATGTTTATCACTGACCCATGTCGTGTTACTTGTTACAGTTTTTATATCAAAAAGCATACAGCTAGGTTCTTCAAAAGGGGGGCAAAGAGGTTTCTTTAGGGACGGCAACGCGCGCGTAATACCTCTGGTATTGCAGGTGTTCATAGGCTACGGTAACCACTTACCATCAGGTGGGCCGTATGCTTGTTTGCCACCTTAGTGGTATAAAAAAAAAGCTAGACCAGTAGTTTTGATATAATTTTAATTTCCAATATAAGCCTCTTATATATTGTCTCACCAGAGGGAGACTTTGTACAAAAGTCGATTGCTTGGGTAGCTCTGTCCCATTCGTGTTTCAACCGTGAAGCAGTTGTGTTTGCATGGCTGTGTTTCGGTTTGAAGGGTGGGATATGGCGTGAATTTACGGGGTACAGAGGAATAACACTTGAGTCCTCAGGAATGGCAACGCATGGGGGGTATCATGAGCGAAACAGTATACCCTGTTATGTCTATGGTACTGCTCATGTCTATAGGCGACGGTTACCACTTTACATCAGGTGGGCCGTCAGCTTGTTTGCCGTTCTAAGTTGTATAAAAAAAAACATGACGTTGACAGAAATAACTGAAAAAATTACGACCGATTGACACTTAAAAAAATAGTCTAATGTCCATTTAGTTGACTAAATGTTGACCCATTTTTGACACTCTATCTATATATAATCTAAGAGTTTTACTAATGGAAGGTGGCGTAATGGGCCAGGTCGTCAAGTTCACTAAAATGCGCTCGAACGCAGTGATGACTGGTTCATTCGTCATACTCGTGAACGGGTGCTTTCTGTAAGGACTCGTCTGCTCTGGTCACTGTAACTTATTTATTTTATTGATTTGTTTTAATATATACTATATATTTTAAATTTTATGATCACTAAAATATGGTCGAGCGCAATGATGGCTGGTTCATTCGTCATACTCGTGAACGGGTGCTGCCTGCAGGGACTGGTCTGCTCTGGTCACTGTAACTGATTTATTTTATTGATTTGTTATAGTTTTTTATTTATTCATTAGTACATATATGTGTACATGGCGGACTTAATGCTAAAAGCATTCTCTCCCAGTCGACCATGGGGAAGTGTCAGAATACTCGAATGCGGTACTAGTAATTATTGATATACATACATACTAAAATTACATATATAAACGAATAAATATATATAAATAACAAATATGCTTACACACATATGATGTATACTATATTATACACGAAATTGAGAATAATATAAAGCACTTACTGCTCGGATAAAGATAAAAAGTGAGCGTGAACGCTTTTTTTTGAAAGACGGTTTAGTCGGTTCTTGGAGTAAAGATTCCGTAGTGATATCAAATTTTCATTTTAGAGTTAATTTTTTGGGTATTGATTTTAAACCGAAACTCTAAAAATATGAATTGACTCCATTATTACTTCTTTGTTTATTTTATATATATATATATATATATATATATATATATATATATATATATATATATATATATATATATATATATATATATATATATATATATATATATATATATATATATTTATCCATAAAAAAATATATACTGAGACTCTTACAAAATTAAATATGATTAATAAGTATATTTATTTATTTATTTATAGCAAGGCAAACAGATTACAAATTAATACATTTATAAAATAAATATTAAATAAAACTGCATTAAATTTGCACTCCAACAACTGCTCCGCATAACATTCGATATTATATACATTAAAAGAATGACGGCTATAAATTTAAAGTAACAAATTGGCAGCCTTAATGTAACATTGCAAGGATTGTTTGAAGATATCAAGCTCCTTGCATACATTGTTATATTTTCTGCATTTATGTCAATTGGATATTTTGTACAGAAGGGGAAAAATGTTAGGACACTTGATACGACACGACGAACTTATGAACATTATAATAGAAGGTAAGATAGAAGGAAGGAGGGGAGAGGGAGACCGAGACGTAGTTACATCAGACAGATCAAGGAACGAGTTGGTGTAGTGTCGTATCAAGAGGTGAAGAGACTCGCTGGAAATCGTAGTGAGTGGCAAGAGCTCCACCGACAAGAGCGCAGCTCTTAAATAGGATAGATAGAGAGATAGGATATTTTGTGTTTTTTTTTTTTTAATTAAAAATTATACGTTTTCCGAAATTTAAAAATTTATGTCGTATATCAAGTATATTATAATTAAGATTTAATATCGTACAGTGATTGTTTGCGATTTGGGATCATAAATCGGTTATTTGCGTAACTGACATGTAGGTTGTGAAAAACGTGCGGAAATAAAACCCAGTATTGTGTTCGTGAAACTGAACAACTTTTCCGACAACTGAATAATAATAACAATTTTTATTTCAGACTTTTGGTCCATTAAATATTTATTAGTAACAATATTCTTAAAAACTAATGTTAGTAAATTTACATACACAATACACATACACACACGTACACACATACAATATATTAAGCAGTATACAGATAATCACCGCTGCACAATGCCATTGGAAATTGCGCAGCAGTGATTAACGTACACACAGTGCAGCCTGCTCGCTATCATACTCAGGATGCTGTTGGCGCTGGCACGTACTCTGCGCACCAGAGACTAACTGAATGATAAAAAAAAAAAAAACAACAGATCAATAATGTCTGTTTACCTAAAGAGATAGTGTGTCAGCAATAACGGTATAATATTTTAAAAAAATGGCGCGCTCTTTTTAATAAATTGTATTAATATTATAATTGGTGACTTTTATTACTTTTTATCTATTGGTTATTTTATTAATTTGTATTTAATATACTATTATTAATATTATAAGGATTTTTTTTGTTTTTTTTTTTTTTGATGGGTGAAAATAGTATGGTAACCCCGCCTGCGCTAACGGGATACGCTGGCGGAGCACCAGTGGAGGGTGATAGATGAGAATGAAAACAGGCCAGTTAGCCCATCGTGATGAATTCATCGGGAATTAACCATGATAGTTTCCAGGGGGAACCGCGAGGAGGTGGACCTGGTTGGGTATATTGCTAGCAATGGGATTCTCAGTCTCTATTACTAACAATCCCTTTCCCCCCTAATTCAAGGGGTTAAACTTGTGAACATATATAATACTCGATGCTCCATCTAGGTTTATATCGATCTACTTCAGTTGGTCTGAATCTAATTAAATATAATGAAAATTCCAACAGTTTCCTCAAAAGTTATTATAGGATTTGTAATATAAATTGTAATATAATTATTAATTACTAGTTTAGTTGTAAGTGATTAATAATAATTCTAGTTTAATTGGCATTTTAAAGGCGACTGAATTATTTAGCCAAAATATTCATAAACTTATCGTAACAATTACCCACTAACAAATATATGTGATTTATTATTATTATGTTAGATTAAGATATATGGATATATATTCAAAAAACATAAAAAAATATATATTATAAATAATATACTTACATATAATTGTATACTGGCAGTGTTATTTGTATTCTGTGGTACATATACGTTTTACGATTTGGCGCCATTTTTTTTTAGTACGTTTGTTACGTTGTGGAACAGGCTAAGGTCGGAGACCGTGCTGCCTAGTCTTCAATATGATAATTTGTCTGGAACATATTTGGCGCCAATACGCACATGTCAAAAACTTGTCAAGTTGTTTCTCTTTTTAATTTTACTTTTTTATTTACGGTGTTCCATAATGATCTGCAAAGTATTGAATACGTCCAGGGATTTATTTTAAAAACGTTTTTGTTAGAAAAGTAATAATTTTAATAAATTTTGACAATATTAATTTTAAGATATTATTACGTATGGTTATTATGTTAAATTCTTTTGCAGTAAATTTTCTAACACCACGTTTATATTTTTAAGGTGTTTATTTTGTCTTGTGAAATTTTTTAGTAAACATTTTGTTTGTTTTTCTTATTTTGTAATTTTCATGGAAAATTACTGGCTGTATTTTAACATATATTTTATACACATATAGTATATAAAGTACTCATGATATTTAATAGATAGTTTATCGATGACAGAAACTGCTCTATGGTAGAGCAGTTATTTTACGTATAATAACAATAGTGTATGGGATTCTGTTACTAAAATTAAGAGAAATAAAATTAATTATTGTATTTATTATGTTTTTTATTTCAATATTAATATTGTTCCGGGTGTATTACATTAAATATGAATTACATTAAATATAGGTTCTTTGTCATATACTCGTATTTAATAGTATTTCAAGCAAGTCAACTCTTAGTGTAATTAAATTCGTCTCGATGGATCAGTTGGTCCATCACGATGGTTTAAAGGTTCCCGTGGAAGCCGATCCTATAGTGTATATTGCTAACAATAGGCTTGTCAATCCCTATTATTAAGATCCCGTTCCCCCCAATATTACTAGGGACGTAAAGACTGCATTAGATCAGTTACTAAAGAAACCTCTTTACTTCTTTTTTTAAAGAATTCCATGCTGTGGTCTCTTGGAGAAACCTCAGCAGGGAGTTCATTCCGCAGCCTGAGTGTTCGTGGGAGAAAACATCTCTGAAACCGCATTGTACGCGACCTTTTAGGCTGTGAGCATCACATTGAATAATTCTTTTGAGCGCAGTTTGTAATACCCCTGATATTGCAGACGTTCATATGTTACTGTAACCGCTTACCATCGAGTGGCTGTATGCTTGATTGCCACTTCAGTGGTATAAAAAATGATTTTTAGTATCTTAGCAGGGTTAAATTGGACTAAGTTTTGTCGTCTCTAATCACAACAATTAATAAATAACGTTATATTTCTCAGTTACTGTTACTACTTTGCCCTATAACAACCGCCCTATGACTACAGCAACCTAGAGGGGGAAAGGGATTGTTGGTAATTGATTTTGACAGCCCCATTGCTAGCAATATGCCCTATTAGGTCGACCTCCACACGGTTCCCCCTGGAAACCCTAGTAAACAATTCTTGTTGAATTCGTCACGATGGGCTAACTGACCTACTTCATCCTCACCTATCATCCTTCACTGGTGCCCCGCCGGTATATACCGATAGCGCGGGTGGGGTTACCATTCCATTATCATCCATTAAAAAAAATAGCAACCTAGATTACAATAAACGCAAATTTAACCGACTTCAAAAATGAAGTTGTTGTCGACTCCGATTCATGTTTGGTCAATTTTTGTCATGTTTGAAGTGGTTACTTTGTAAAATAGGTATCTAATAGGTGATATGATGATGATGAATGGAATTCTGGCAAATAAATCAATCTATCTATCTAATTTTATAAATATATATTGTTTGCTTTGAGAGGTAGGATAGCTTTTATATCGATAAGAATAGAACCGGTGGCGTTCGAGGGTAATAAAAAGTTATTTTTTATGCAACATAGAATGGAAAACAACCTGGCGGACCACCTGATGAAAAGTGGTCTCAATGTCGCCTATAGACATGAAAAGTACTATGGACATAACAGTATACTGTGTCGCCAATAATACCCTTAATGTCTTGCTATTCCTGAGAACTAAGGTGTTATATCTCCGTACTCTGTAATTTAAATAATTAATTAAATCTATACTTATAATAAATCTGTAGCGAGGTCAATTCTGTACATGAAATATATTTCCAAAATAACTATCAGGGGGTGATTAGTGATCGATACTGATGCCAAAAATGCAATCAGTAAAATTTTTGTCTGTCTGTCTGTATGTTCGTTATAGAAACAAAAACTACTCGACGGATTTTAACGAAACTTATTCTTCATACTCTTGTGCAGGTTATAGTATACTTTTCATCACGCTACGATCAATAGGAGCGGAGCAGTGAAGGGAAATGTTGGGAAAACGGGAGAAGTTACTCCATTTTTAAGCTTCCGTCGCGTGCGCAGCCTTAATGGTCACTTTAAAATGTAAAAATGTCCACTCGCGCGACGCCGGAACGGATCGCTAGTTAATAAAACAAGATCGTACTCGCAGAATGTATAAATTTATTGCACATTCCCACAAAATATTTGAATTATAATTAGGTAGTTAACAATGTTTTTGAAGCATTCTGACTGTGATGATTACAAGCAATAGAGACCAATTATACATACATACATATACCGCCTGTGTACATTGTGGTATAACCTAATATCTATAGAACATACAAAAGTATATAAATAATAAGTTATTTTACTAAATTAAGTGTTATTTTGCGGAATTTCTTATCACTGATTCGTTGATTAGGATAATTTTGTTTAAATCCTTAATCATTAAATTAAAAAAACATACAAAATTATCAGTCATTAAAATAAGTCATTCGCAGTTTTGACGCCCAACATAAGGCTCCGAGCAGCGATCTATTAATATATTAACTTGCGTGAAGACGTCTCTTTTAGAGGTGAAAAGTGTTGCAAAACCTGCGTAGACGGAATGACGGTCGGAGATTGATGACTAATATAGAAGGTTGTAAAGTTTATGGTAATAATAAAAGTTGTTCCAGTGTTTCTAATAGTAGCGGAAATAATTTGTCAGCCGACCTATAGAAATGAGTAAAGTTTTCAAATAAAATGATCGACTATTAACGATAATGGCGCGAATTCAGAGGTGTGGTTGCTCTAAACTTATCTTTTAAGCTAACATTTTAATTTGATAGTTTTGCGAGTTTTATGGGACAACATATACTAAAGTTATAATATATTTTTGACTTAAGCATATTAGAGAATTAGTTCATATTGCTCCTTACAATAAATATTACAATAAAGGTTTAAAGAAATAACATTTCAAAATCGGTCCTATTGTAAGTAATGAAACAGCCAATTTTAATTGCATTGTAACATTTTTCTAAATTAGTTTAACTCGCCAAATTTAATTTTAATTCTTCTGTAGGAATACTACTCTTAGTAAATATGGATTCTTAGCGATTGAATTAAATACAACATTAGTAAAAATATAATAAAAATATAAATACCTTTATAAATTAGACATCTAAAGGAATGTTTAGCAGAGAATCGAGTTAGGTTATGAATAATTATCAGTACCTGCGTATGTATATATATATATATATAGTTTTAGAGTATTGATTTATAAACGTAACCCTAAAATTCAAAAACACTTTACATGTTACAAGTGCAATAATATATATATATATATATATATATATATATATATATATATATATATATATATATATATATATATATATATATACGTAATATAAAGATTTATCTATGCTATTAATATTAACATGAAAGTACTTAGAGAGTATATCCTATAGGCTTGGCTTAGCATATCCTATAGGAGATGCTAAGCGTATATGTTTAATAATTAATATTGTTTTTTTTTTTTAAAAAACCCACTGCAACTGTGATGTAATCAGTTTTGTTTTAAAAACTAAACTACTGAATTTTTTTTCAAGATTTTCATAAAATCTCTATGGGAACAACCTGTAAGTATATTCTCTCAGATAAGAAAAGATTTAAAGATTTCCAAATAGGTTTACAACTAACTGAGTTATGAAGTAATAAACATAAAAAAAATACAACTTAATCGAGATTTTTCTTTTTAAAGTTGGTTGAATAAATATGTATATACCTATGTCGTTGTAATTATATATTTACATGTAACACATAGGTCGCACTTGTACAAGTACACAGTAAGTTATACAATTGGGTAACTAATTGTCCATTATCTCGTAGAAAGTCGTTACTAAGTAGGTCCCCGTATAAATCTTTTCCGTTTACCCGTTGTTTATCTACCATCTACATTAATCATGTTTATATTATCTCGTTTGTTTTTTTAGGCTTAGCTAATTTTAAAACTTTCTCGTTTTACACATATTTATTAATCACTTTATTGCACCTAATACATAAAAGTGTACAATGACAATTGGAAAATTCAATTTACAAATTATAAATAAATATATTTAAATAGACATATAAAAAAATTAAAACATATTTAAATATTTTTTTAAATATTTATTTACATGTTTAAATTTAATTTTTAGTATCTTTATAAGTAGATTTTGTATTGTAACAATAATTTTTATGCTTTGTAAAAAAACAAAGTTTTTGTTCCACAGAAAAAAAAAACTACTACAATTGTGGCAAAACAAGTTATTTTTATTTCAAAACTAAACTACTGAACAGATTTACTACAGACTAATGTGTACGTATATACTTTCATATAAATATTATTTTTTTAAATCGGTTTATAAATTGTAACAATTATAAGGTAACAAACATAATAAATTACAAGCTAAATGAGAACCATTTTGTTTTTGGAGTAGGTTGAAAACTGTATTCTGCAAGTCATTTTATTTATTTATTTACTCATTAAAATAATTTAAATATTCAATAGGTAAGACGTTATTTGCAACAATTATAAGTGACGTTCCAATATTTGATTGTGTTCACAATATTTCTTATTTCCTTTAACGGACAATGACATTTCACATACTTATCATTAACAATAAAGTCTGATTGTGTAATAAATTACGTGGAGTGACGCTGACTGGGAACGCAATGTCACATCACATTACTGCGACTTTCCGAGTTTTCACTTTTCGTATACGAGTAGTGCGGTACAGGTTTTGAGTTCGTATAAATTTTGTAACCATTTTTCTTCCGTACCATTACGTCTGTGTACGTCGTCACGTCTCGTCGAATTTCGAAGTCAGAAATTTTTGATATTATCAACTGTACACAATGATCTCGTAATAGCAAATAGGTAACTTATTTTAATATAACGTAGTTTGTTTTTTTTTTTAATGTAAGTACTTATTTTGATTATCTAAGTTTTATACTTATTATAAGAACTATTATTACAGATTTATTTTTACAAATTACTGTTACTGTTACTGTAACTTACAATTGTTTATTATTTTTTAATGTACAAAGGATTGACTCTAAATACATGTGAATAATATTAATTATATTGTGAATAATCAAAAAGTTTGGAGTAAACAAGAAATAAAAACTTAGGAAATGGAGACATTTTTAAATAACACTGGCAAGATTTTGGCTGTTACTTTGTGAAATTTTATTGTTGTGTTAAAATTGCTTCATTTAATAATATTTAATAAATAATTGTTATTGCCTTTTGTTTTATTTGCATTCCTTTTTATATTTCTACCTAATTGTAATGTCACAATTTATTATTAAATTATTTACATGTTTATAAATCAATGACATAAATAAAAAAAAAAAACCTTTACAATATGGCTTCTCGTAATATTAACCTTACAAAAATAAATAGGTCGCTAATTTTCTACCTAAAAAACAAATATTTGAGATTTTTTTTTATATTTTAATTATCAACTCTTTGATATAACTTACATTATTTATATCAATTGGATAATAATAATAAAATGCATTTTATATTATTCAGTTCTTGTCGTTTGCTTCTAAAAACGCTCACTTGTAATTTACTTCGGAAAAAAACCTTTTCTTGTAGCTTGCTTCGGAACGTACTAAGAGTATATAATTTATATAACAACCGCTTAGATATACAAATTTTCATTAATGTAAATGATCATACGTTATGTCCGCGTGGAATCCTTCAGGGCCGGCAGAATATTTCACCTTTTGCATTCTACCGTCTGGCAGTAGCACGTGATAGTGCCCGTTGGTTGCTTCGCCGTGCTTCGCTTCCGAGTGCCCGAAGTCGTTGCCGCTGTGGTGATCCCTGACCCGGTATCCGAACTCATATTTCGCCGCGTAATGGAGCTGGAATGTTAAGTAGGTATTGGTAAGTTTTATAATATTCTGTCCTGTTCTATTCAGATGGATTGGAAAGAAACAGATATATGGATATAGCTTTTTAATGCATGTTAAATATAACCCATCTAATGAAAAGTGGTAACAGTTACTTATCGGTAATAATAGCACTGTAAACATCATAGAATATCGCCGTAATACCCATGGGAACTCTCACGCGTTGCTACACCTGTTGATTAAGATGTGCTTCCGTACCGCCGGAACGTAATTTTGCAGCTATACTGCTTAATACTAGAAATACAGGACAGACGATTTTATTGTGCTAGGGGCTGAACGGCAAGCTAGTCAGAGAAATTTCTGATATACGTAACTCCATGGAAGCACCAACGTTAGAGGAAAACTATGGCGGTTCAATACATTTTATAATTCTCGAATGTTACCCATGAATTGGTTGTTAGCGACAGTTTCTGTTTATCGGTTTGTAATTTACAATATTTATAAATAAACAATACGTATTTTGTATACGAGTATTTTTTTTTGATGAGTGAAAATGGTATGGTAACCCCGCCTGCGCTAATGGGATACGCTGACGGGGCACCAGTGAAGGGCGATGGATGAGAATGAAAACAGGCCAGTTAGCCCGTCATGATGAATTCATTAGAAATTAACCATGATAGTTTCCAGGGGGAACCGCGAGGAGGTCGACCTGGTTGGGTATATTGCTAGCAATCTGACTGAAAATCCTTCAAAAAAATTTTCAGTCTCCATTAGTAACAATCCCTCCCGTATACGAGTATTTACATATATTTAATTACTTGTATAAAAAAACCCCAAATGACGATCTTAATTTAAGCTTAAGCCTTATTGGAGAGCTAATGTAAATCTTAGCCGTTGCAGGTTTCTCCCAACAATATCTCTATATGTGTATCGTATATAAAAAATAAAAAATGAACAAGAATTTGTTTTTATATTATGTAATAATATAAGCTAATTAAATGTAGGTATAAAATATTTAATAAAATATATTAAGTACAGAGTACTAGGCAGTACGAGCACGCTTAGGCAGGTAAAAGTTTACTAAGTTATAAAATAAAAATGATAAAAAAAATAATGTCATGTAATTTATTAAATATTTGTGATGTAATAATTATTTGGCTTATTTATTATGAATCAAAACGTATTTACATGTTATGCTAATGTAATACATAATTTAGCATATAATACTGTATGACATAAAGTGTTTAAAATTGGCAAAATAAAGAATTATGTTAGAAAAATCACATTGAATATGCAACTATAACTAGGTATAATTAATAATATTATACAATAATCAAATAATAGATGTGCTGAGATAATCACTTATTAATGTTAATTATATATATATATATATATATATATATATATATATATATATCAACTTTTATAATTTAATTGAATTTTTTATTAGTTAAAAAAAACAAGCAGACAAACAAACATTTTGTTATATATATATTTATATCACGACGCTTGGTCACGGCACTCGCTCGCAAGATGCGCGCGCAGGTCGCGCAGGCGCTTTGTGATTGTTGGCTGCGCGCGCATACCGCGCACGGGCCAGCGACCAGAGACAGTGTTTTGTTAACTTGGACAATTTAAACATTTATTCGTTTTATTGTGAAATACTTATTGCTTTTTTTTAATTATTGTTTAAATTTATTGACAAGATGAACCCTACTATCAATCCTACATACTTATGTAACAATCTGCGTTCAATGTATAAATTTATTATATATATAAAATATATATGACTTTCAGGCGGCCGTTTTAAATGTTTTTCAACATTAATTTTAACTTATTTAATATGTTAGTTTAATAAATAGATATTAGTAATAAATAAACTAGTTATGGAAAAATAAAATTAAGATATTTATCGTTGCGTAGGGTTTCGTTAATACTCACAATGGTTATATATTTAAAATGCTTTTAAAATATCCAGTTTAAAAGCATTACAATTGTTATTTAAATTAAATAACTTTAAACAAAACATTTGGATTTAATTTATAGATTTTTCTAACCTCCAAATTCTTATAAATTAATGAAGGCACCAGATTACAAAAAAAAAAATGATTTTTTTATGTTCCAAACGTAAATTCTTTCCAAACGTAAACGTAAGTTTTTTAAAGGATGCGTAATTTTTTAAGTTTATGTAATTGACTTTTTAAACTAGGTGTATAATTCCTTTGTTTCCTTTTTTTATATTTCCTTGGATAGCGTGCAACCCGTTCATATGGTATTTGGTATAAATCTAAATGTTCAATATTGAGATTGCGATGGCCAAGTAGATGTTTTAGTTGCGATTGACTAATCATATATACTGGCTCAAGTAGAGCTAAAGTATCGTCAACGTGATCAGCAAAATTGGGCACGCCATAAGTTACTGGTATTCTTGGCACGCGATAAGAATATTTTCTTGTATATGTGTTGGAATCAGACGAAAAGCTTGCATGTGGTTTAATTTGTCTGTATTTATTGGAAAAACTACCAGTTAAATCTACATTTTGATTGTAACTAACAGAAGGAGCGTAGTTACGATAACCGTGATTTGATATTGGAAACAATTGTGATTGTTTTATATTAGGAACATCGTATTCATAATCAGTACTAAAATCATCGTCATATTCATTAAATTCGTCGTCATCGTATGTTACTTCATAATTATCTCTTCTAAATGGAATTTTACTAGGTCTTCGACGAGGAATTTCTTCATAATCATCAGTAAAGTCTACGACTTCACCTTTAGCAAACTGAGGTGTTGTAAGAAAGGTTTCAACTGCAGGACGTCGTTTATTTGGGATAGTTTTAATAAATGGTTGTGATGTATGTAAAGAATTGGTGGGATTATCTGTAGTGGTAGTAGTGGGTAGTTCTGTGGAACTATATGTTGCATTTGATAAAAGGAAAGGAGATGTATCTAGAGTAGCTCTCTTGTTTCGTTTAGACGAGTCTTTGGCTTTAACAATACTTTCAATTTTGTAACCTAAAGGATCAATACTTACATTATCTACACCATAAGCTGAAACACCTGTTCCATCTTCCGATAGATGTTGGACGCCAGTATACTGAGCATTATGATGTAGGTACCTTTCACTCTCATCACCCGCGCCACCTTTATTTTGATTGTGCAATTCCAACGGCTGCACATACGCTGAAGCTTGAGGTTTCTCGCCTTCGTTTGTACTCAAATAATATTGTACTTTAGCTTCACTAGGCTTATATCCTGACGTAATAGTTTGGCTTGCTACTTCAACTTTATAATAGTTATTACTCTTAACAGTTGTAGTCTCAACGTCTTGTGGTTGTGCAGATAAAACAGTCTGAATACCGTATGCTTGTATTTTTGTATTTTTATTTGGATCTGAAATATCATCTACTTCTTCTGTAATGGGTGTATGGTCTTTTAAGTTAGTTGTATAGGCACTGGTATAAGTTGGTGGCACTTGCCCATATATTGAATGTTCATTATGTTGGTTTAAATTTTGTGCAGGATCATCTTTCATATAAAAATATAAATCAATCGGAGTGTCGAGTTCTTTGGGTGTTTCATTTGTATTGTAGCTGGAACTAATCAAAGCGTTTAATTCGGATAGTTGATCGTGTGGATTTTTTTTAAGTATAGAATTCAGTGTTGCTATATCTTGCGCGGACTCGTAGTTTTGCATTTGACTGTATTGTTTAGGATAAACATATTGAGTTTTACTTGGAACGGCCTCAGTATATAACTTAGTATTTTCCTCATCCGTTATTTCATTGTTACCATTAGGTTTTATAGTTACTCCTTGATCATAAGTTGGTGCTGGAGAGACATAAATAGTTTTATATCTTTGTGGTTGCATGTATTGTTGATAATTGTCTGAACCGTAAGATCTGTGGTTTCTATTTTTTTCAGTCTTCAGGGCGGCGTCTTTTGTTAATTTAACAACTTCTGGTATAACTTTTACTCCTCTTCTTAATGTTTCTTGTTTATTTTGGGACGGTCTGTTTTTTAGTTTAGGTTCAGTATTACCTTGTTTTTTGTCTCTCAGATTGGATTGTTGTTTTTCTAGTTCTAATTGGTGGCTCTCTTGTGATTCGTGGTAGGCTCTCATGTAACTATCCATTGGCCGCGGTATGTTAGCCCACCTTTGTAACTGCGCTCGATGTTGTCTTACTCGCTCCGCATTGAACATAGCTTGCTGGTTTTGTGCGTGCAATCTCGCATTTTGCTGTGAATTTCCTGCTAAAGGATTACCATACGGCAAATTTCCGGGAACGTTAAATGATTTGAAATCGTCTATTCTATCTACAGGTTGTTCGTTGACGACCTCAAAAACAGGTCTGGCACTAGTTTTGGATGGTTTCGCTGTGGTAGTTTTGACTATCAAGAGTATTAGAGTTAGGAACTTAATTTGGTGTACTGTAGACTGCGCCATTGTACCTGAAAAAAGTAAAAGATTATTTTTTTTTTATGTAAAGTTATTATTAGAGACATTGATATAAAAATCTATTAGTCATACTGCAGTAAAGAAGTTATACTTAAAATAGTACAAAATTTAAAAGTTGATAAAATGAAACTTGTTGTTGTAGGATATTGTATAAATGGAGATAAATAATGATGGTAAATAACTAGGAAATAAATTAAATTTTTTTTCTTTAATTGTAAAAATACGAGTATTTATTTAGGCACGTTTACGAAACGAGTGCAGAATATGATTTACAGTGTTTAATTTTGAGTTGATACTATATCTTGGACTTTTTTTAATATCAACAGTTAGGAGACGTTCATCATCATCGGCATCATCATTTTAGCCATTATCTGTCCACTACTGAACATAGTTCCCTCCCCCATAGGCTGCCATATAAAGAACGGTCCTGAGCCACCTGCATCTACGAGTACTGACTTCCTGCAATGCAATTTAAGTTGTCACTCCTAGTCGTCCTACACTGCGTTTGACCATACGGGGTCGCTATTCAAGAACCTTTCTTCCTAGGAGACGTTAAAAATTAAACGAATTAAACGACAATTATCTTATTTTTGAAAATCATTTGGGAAACTGTGAAATATTTGGTTTCGACTTTTTCTTTCGATTTTACTCGGCTGTTAATTACTTTATTTCCTCGACTGTAATGGTAGGCTAATACTGTTACTGACGTAGACCTAATATAATGTACGTATATACTTGATAATCTCCTTAGATTATCAGTAGCCTTCTACTGATCAGTGTACTTGTCCATAATTAACGTGTATGGTACAACTTTTTGCCATTACTGCGCCTAGCTCAAAGTCGCGCGAGCACTTTCACCTGTTACGTGCTCTTGTAGGCTTATGAATGAATATGTATGTAAAGACAGACATGTCAACGCATCTTATTATATATTTTATATCATCAGTATATCACTTCCATTAATTCCCAAAAAAAAATCAACGTTTATTATGCCTAGACCATTTTCCTCACAAATATTTGTAACCATAATTTTATTTTTGCATGTTCTTTTTTTTTAAATTTATAATTGTCCATGTTTCTTTTGTAACTGTTATTAGTATGCGCCAAATTTTTTTTTCTTTTTTTTTTAATCGACTTAAAAAAGTAGATTGTTGATTTTGCAACAAACAACTATAATTGACGTTGACACTGATGCTTCTTTCCACTTGGGTGATGCTGAAGAGAACTCTTTTAGATTTAAGCTTACCTTGGTACATGTGCTTACCTCTGTCATATTTTTTTGTATTTTTTTTTTAATGGGATATATTCTTGAATGTTATATTATTAGTGCGTACAATAAAATAAAAATAAATAAATACACAACATATTTGAATTTAGAACGGAATAAGTCTGTCTATATATAAGTAAATCTTGTTCCGCTATTTGTTTTTTTGCTGCATAATGAAAAACGCCAGCTTCAAGGTCATAGAATATAGAATTAACAAATACAATTTGACGAATTATAGAAAACTACTTTGTATCCACGATTTATTTTACCAGAGGGAGACTGTACAAAAATCGATTGCTTGGGTACCTCTGTCCCATTCGTGTTTCAACCGTGAAGCAGTTGTGTTTGCATGGCTGTGTTTCGGTCTGAAGGGTGGGATATGGCGTGAATTTACTGGGTACAGAGGAATAACACCTGAGTCCTTAGGAATGGCAACGCATGGGGGGTATCATGGGCGAAACAGAATACTCTGTTATGTCCATGGTACTGCTCATGTCTATAGGCGATGGTTACCATTTTCCATCAGGTGGGCCGTCAGCTTGTTTGCCATTCTAAGTTGTATGAAAAAAAAGACTGACCGCGTAATCGGAATATGTTCTATCTCCTGAAGCCTAGTTCCTTCTCAATTTCATACAGAGTACGTGTACAAACAAAGTCTTTTTCACATTTATAATATTATTAAACATTCCCTACTATAGGTCAACTAACCTATTTCATCCTCTCCTATCATCCTTCACTGGTAGCCGATGGCGTAGGCAAGGAATGACAACGCATGGGGGGTATCATGGGCGAAACAGTATACTCTGTTATGTCCATGGTACTGCTCACGTCTATAGGCGACGGTTACCACTTTCCATCAGGTGGGCCGTCAGCTTGTTTGCCATTCTAAGTTGCATATAAAAAAATTAAAAAAAAAAACCATTTAAAAATCATCAATTAAAAAATCAGACAAATTGAGGACTGCTTATGGTTTTTTTTTTAATTTCTCGCGAAGAGACGCATGTAGCAGCTTGATACAGTTACTTTTATCCCGTGCATGGATACATTCTCAGTCTTGTACAGATCTATTGAATGTGTTCTTCAGGTATAATAAACAAGCCGTCGGAGATGTGGTGAGTGCGGAAGCGAACCCATGTCTCCGACATATGGCACCTCGAGGGTATATCGTCTGGTTTTTGGTGGGTACACCCTCACCTTACGGGGGGATTTCCACAGTACCCATTCACCTCCCACAAGGTGTATGGGTCTGCATAAAGCATTTTCCAGACGTTAAAAAAAAGGTATAATAAACATAGAGGTTAAAGATTCTAATTTATAGAATGGCAGACGTGCCTACCGACTCGATATCATTTCGGAGTCAGTTTTCCCTGAATTTAGGTCATTAAATGATTCGATTTCCTCGTATTACCTGATGGCGATTCATTTCCGCGTTATTAAGGATAATTTGAAACTTCTGACTGCTAACTTTTGGGAAATACCGATTGATTTTAAAAAGAGGAACTTCGTAAAGGATTCTGTGTATATTCTAAGAATTGTTATTATTTTCCTCAATTGTCAATTTGTCTTGGATGTTTACTTTTTTATTTTTTAATTGTAAATGTTTACTTTTTAGTTGGTATCGTCTAAATGAACAGCATCGCATCGCATTTTATTCTTGTGCCGCCTTGTGACATTATGTTGGATGGAACCAGAGGGAGACTTTGTACAAAAGTCGATTGTTTGTGTACTTCTGTCCCATTCGTGTTTCAATCGTAAAGCAGCTGTGTTTGAATGGCTGTGTTTCGGTTTGAAGGGTGGGATATGGCGTGAATTTACTGGGTACAGAGGAATAACACCTGAGTCCTCAGGAATGGCAACGCATGGGAGGTATCATGGGCGAAACAGTATACTCTGTTATGTCCATGGTACTGCTCGTGTCTATAGGCGACGGTTACCACTTTCCATCAGGTGGGCCGTCAGCTTGTTTTGCATTCTAAGTTGTATAAAAAAAAACCAACAATCCCATTTCAAGGAAACAATAAAGAGTATTTAACTATGTTGAAATGACTGTATTACTTTAGCTACCAAACCACTTTATATATATATTTATATATTTTGATCGAACTTAGTGATATTTTTAATTTGCTTCACATCCTTGTTCTTGAATATATTTTTGAATTTTTTTAGGTAACTGGTTTTAAGTTTCAAATGTTGTTTTCGCCACGTATGTCTTCTCTGTATAGTATTTTAAAGTAATGGACGTATTTTTTTTTTATTTAGTCCGCGCTATGCTGGCTCCCTAATTGCAGTGTCATTATTCTAAAAGCAAGATTATTTTAGGTTTTTATATACACAGCATACATTTATTCAAATTTTTTTAATGGATGATAATGGAATAGTGTTCTTGCCTACACTATCGCTATATGCTGATGAGGCATCAGTAAGAGATGATAGTTGAGAATGAAAAGGCAGGTCAGTCAGCCCATCGTGACTAGAACTCCACTAGAATTAATCACGACGGTTTCCAGGGGGAACGTGGAGGTCGACCTGATAGGGTGTGTTGCTAGCAAAAACCCTATTACTAACAATCCCTTTCCCTCCCTGAAAAGACAGGTTAGTTAGCCCGTCGCGGTTTATACAGCTGGAATTCAGCACGACGGTTTCCAGTGAGTAGTAGGTTTGCGCGGATTCTGGCTCACTCGGCGGCTGCCTTCCAAAAAAAGCTCATTCGACAAGACTCGTTTCTAGGTGGTTAAGTTAATCTTCAACTTTTATATGTGCATCATGTTGCGGCTTAGGGGTGGTCTTTAGCCACCCCAGTCGAACCTTAACCTACTGTCACTAGGTGTGGGTACTTCATAAGACTCGTTTGCATCTTGCAGATTTTTTTAGACACTCGGACACTCGGACACTCGGACACTCGGACACTCGGACACTCGGACACTCGGATACTCGGACACTCGGACACTCGGACACTCGGACACTCGGACACTCGGACACTCGGACACTCGGACACTCGGACACTCGGACACTCGGACACTCGGACACTCGGACACTCGGACACTCTGACACACGGACACTCGGACACTCGGACACTCGGACACTCGGACACTCGGACACTCGGACACTCGGACACTCGGACACTCGGACACTCGGACACTCGGACACTCGGACACTCGGACACTCGGACACTGGACACTGGACGCACTAACACTTTGCACTCAGACACTAGACACTCAGATTCGGGTAGAAAAAATCTCTGCAATGTCGCGTTCTTATTTATAAATATTGGATGCCATTGTTTTGGTTTTTAGAGATAAAGTGGTTGTAACCATATGGAATGTAAAACACCATCTAAAAAAATCTGCAAGATGCAAACGAGTCTTATGAAGTACCCACACCTAGAGACAGTAGGTTAAGGTTCGACTGGGGTGGCTAAAGGCCACCCCTAAGCCGCAACATGATGCACATATAAAAGTTGAAGATTAACTTAACCACCTAGAAACGAGTCTTTTCGAATGAGCTTTTTTTGGGAGGCAGCCGCCGAGTGAGCCAGAATTCGCGCAAATAAACTACTCTCCGTATTCCAATAGAATCCGCCTTCAATTGGAACGAATCTTGTCGAATGAGCTTTTTTTGGGAGGCAGCCGCCGAGTGAGCCAGAATCCGCTACTACTCCAGTGGGGACCATGTGGAGGTCGACCTGACAGGGTATATTGCTAGTACTGGGAATGGTAGTCCGCATTA